TAACCCTAACCCTAACCCTAACCCTAACCCTAACCCTAACCCTAACCCTAACCCTAACCCTAACCCTAACCCTAAAAACCCTTTATAATTAAAAGGAAAGTTAATTAAAATAAGTAGTAAAAACCTTATTTTTTTAAAATATAATTTTATTAATATTATTTATATTAAAATATATATAATATATTTTCTTTTTACTAAAAGTAGCTTTATTATTTATAAGTGTTTTATTATTAATAATATTAAACTATTACTTTTTTATTAAATTATTTATATTAAAAGCTATATTATTAATATTTATAATTAATTTATTTATTTTAAAAGCTTAAAAGTTAGCTAAGTTTATAATTTTATTAGCTACTTTAAGCTAAAATAATAAAAAGTTATTATTAATTATTATTAAAGGTAAATTAATATTTTTATAGCTTTTTTAAGCTATAAAATTAGGTTAATAAAAATTAAAATAGTTTTTATATTATTATAGTATAAAGGCTTAATTTAGCTATAAAAATATATTAATTTTTATTAAAGTTTACTTAGTAAAAAAAAAGGTAAGGGCAATATAGCTGTGTATGCGCCCTAAAAGCTATTTATAATATAGCAGTAGGCTAATAAGATAAGCCTATTGATAAGGGCCCTATGGGTCCTAGCCCAGAGGGCCCCGCTGGCGTTCAGCCCCACGCCCTCACACCTAGTACCCTCGGAAGCCCTGGGGCTGCGGCTCCCGCTCATTATCGCAAGGACGATGGCCGCGGCGCCATGCAGCTTTAGCATCTGCCGGCCATTCGGGAGTTGTGAGGAAGGCAGTATCTTGTAAATAGTCTACAGGAATGGTGATGTCGTCTAAAATACACAGGAGAGCTGTCGCCGAGCAAGGCGAACCTGATAGAGAACTTTAAAAGCACCCTGCCAATAAATTTCAGGGCCACCTACACTGCTTACCGGCTCAGCAGCTTCTGGCTTGTCATCTTCGGCTTTGTCACCCTCTACCTCCACGTGGCGCTCGTCCTGGCTCACTTCGCTATCATCGCGTTTGGTGACTGGTGGACGAGCAATGCCTGAACCAACCTTGGCGATCTCCTCGTTCTGGATATGCGCTCCTCCGCGGCACAATCGGCAGCTTTGCTCGCCCAATTGAGCGGTGATGACCCGGACTCCCGGACTTGGGGTCTCATTGTACGGATGCGTAACACTGATGGCGGTAATGACACAAGTGGTGAGCTGGAAATGGTCCTCGAGGATGTTCATAGGTTAGTTGCCGCTGAAGTGCCGGAATAGAAAGCAAGTTTGTTGTCATGCACAATACATTAGCTTATAGCCGAGGGACCCTGTGCACTTAAGCGGCATTTGCTAACTCTTAGAGAAAGAGCAGTGGATTTTGTATACGGTTGATAAAGTGTGAAATATAAGTGAATATTAAATGTATAATAAAGACTTAAAGATAAAAACAAGAATCTCTTACCTATATAAAAACTAAAACAATAAACATAAACATTAAATTAAACATTAAACTCTTTTACTAATAATATAACTTTAAGTTTAATTATAAAAATATATAAATAAAAATATATAAAAATCTAATAAGTTTATATTAAATTTTAATTTAAAATTATAAAATAAATCCTCGCATTTAAATTTATTTTCTTACAGGGGACAAACATAATTTCTGCTGCATTAATTACTATTATCAGCGCAGGTCCAGACTTTGCCGACGCTGCCGGTCGCCATCGAATTGCCCGACGAATACAAACCAAGCCCAAACACCACGAAGCCAATTGTAATTTGAGCAGCGTTAACGAACGTGAGAGCGATGTTCTTACTGCCACGGAACCACGCGCCCCTATTCAGTACGAACCACACATAGCCGGGAATGATAAATCCGAACCACGAGCCGAAGAGGGCGCTGATGAAGCCCAACAAATCACTGAAAATGGGGATGGATTGGGAGACGACCCAAGCAAGTACCCAAGCGGTGGTGCCGATGCCGATCCAGGTGCCTGAAGCGACGAGGCCACGGCTGTGCAGGTAGGGTGTGTCCCGAAAGAGCCGCAGGAAGATATACTTTGCCATCACGTGCGCGAATATAACTCCGGCGATGATGATCTGTGAACTCGGGTCAGCACAACTATACAGAGTCTATGTATGCCAGACCACACCGAGCGTGGACTTACCGTTGGAAGAGCAACTCCCCACGCGACCTTGGCCACCGTCTTGCTGGCGCTGCTTAGCGCGGGACTTGCGACATTCTCGCCACCGTAACGGTACACGACGATGGAGACGACAAGATACGCAATGATCATGAACGATTGCTGAACTAGGAGCGCCTTTGGGAATTCCCGGGGGTCACGCAGCTCCGAGATGAAGCTCACCCACGCTAGGTGCCCAGCATAGGCGAACACGACGTTGGCCATGCTGTTGAAGGCGGTCGGCAGCGAGGGGTGTAAAGTGGCCGACATTGCGTCATAAGAGGCCCGGGGGGAGACGGCAAGAGCGATTATAGTGATAAGCACAGCGGACATGATACTCATGAACGCTGGATCTGTTTAGCCTTGGCCAGTTGACAGGGTGATGCGGTACTCACAGATAATTGCCAGGAATGAGACCTTCTTCAACGTCCGGGGGATTGTCAGGAGGGTGAACACTACAATTCCCACCACACCGAACACAATCGTGCACGTCCCGTGGTTTGAGAGCGTGTTGAGCGCGATCGTCCAAGTCAGGAGATGGCTACCCATGACGAAGATACCGACAATGACGAACGCAGCCCCAAATACTTCCCTGCCAATCCGCCCGAACAATAGTTGGCCGATATCAGTGTAGTTGGCCACCTCGGGATGTCGCATCCGGAACTGCCACAGTACGTACCCCCCATATGTACATAGCAAGCCTATTCCGATGAGCGCCAACACGCCGGCGACGAGTCCATTCGTGGATAGGACGGCTGGCAGTGACAGGATTCCAAGCGAGATGTTCTCGGCCACCATAACCATTGAGGCCTGCCACCAGTGCATCGTCTTGTACTTCACTTCGGCGTCTGTCTCGTCACCGAAAGCGTCTAGCGCCGGCTGGACTTTCTCGTCCCCTACGGACTCGGCGCAAGTGTTGTCGGCATGAGGACTGGCGGTGGAAGAACCGAGCTTTTCAATCTTGTCGCCGCCTCCATGGTGCGGTGCAGTAATCGGGGCGATGTGGTCTTGCCTGGTCATGCTGAGATGATAGAGAGCTTTGATCGCCACGTCTGCTTCGTCAAGCCGGTAGAAGAATAAAAGGATGATTTTCGCAACAGGATCACAGGGAGTTGGTTCGGCAAGTTTCGAGAGAACTTATAACCGATGGTGTTTGAAAGGAACGCGGAAGGGGTGCGGGCGGGATACGGAAGCGTGAAGCATAGGTACAGGCGAGCCTAGCCGGCGTTATATCTACTAAATATATTCACCAAGCAAGGTTTTATACTAATCCAGTAAAGCCGGGAGATTTTGAGATAAGCCCCAGTGAAATTGACGGAATGAGCATCACAGCTTTTCACGTCAGGCCATTTTTAGACCAGAAGTCTGAGTTTTCAAACCCAGCGGAGGTCTTGACGACCAGAACGGCCAGTTGCTCGGAGATGTTGACAGAAGAATTCTGATCTTATCAGATCATCTATGACCAATGATAACCTGCGTCGGGAGTTCGTATTACCTCAGTATATAAAGGTGACCCAGAAAACAAACCCATTAAGTGGGGTCTCTAGTCGTATCGTTGTAACGTACTGGACATTCCGTCCGTGTGTTAAAAATAAATGATCCGATTATCCGATTACATAAATAAGCCACTGGCCTCTTTGGGACTAGAGTTGCTCTTTCACATTTCACTGTTCAGCCATTTCAACTAATGTTTAAGAGATGCTATTACTAAAGTTGCATATGAATCCGATGTAACAGCTATGGATAACAGCGAAGTATAGTACTCGTTGAACTTGTTAACTATAGTAGCAACAATTGCAAGTCCTATATATATATAGCACATTCAAATATATAAAGCATCTCAGGTTAGAATGTCCAGGATTATACCAATTGAAAGCAACCTCAAGGTGAAAGATTGTGGGGTTGCACCAGCAAATCAACATCTTTCATTGCTTTATTAAACAATATTCGTTAAAGCAAGCTCTGCTGCAGTCCTTGGTTTTCACTATCTGCATTATCTGATGTCGGTCGCTCTTGCCTAACAGTCTTGCTGTTCTTGATCTCGACTGTTTCAGCCAGGAATTACACGTGCTCGGTGAGGGAGGGAGTCCAAGAAAGAGTCAGACGCTGAAGACCAGGTCGTGGGCATGTGGGCAATTCTTTCACATGCGAGACAAGGCACAGTGGCAGCAGCTGATCATGTACAAGGAGTGGGTTCGTGAATCACCCCACAGAAGATTAGACGAGAATCATCTCAGCAAGGGTGATTCCGGTCTCGGTCAGCTAATTCAGGGGGTGCCAGGTCGTAACCATAAGTGTACGGACTAGATGGTCGGAATGAGGCATGAAGCCGCGGGTTCTCAGCGATGGTATTAATGGAGCGGTCAATAGCTCCGCAACCGTACGTAAGGAAGTTGAGATTTTTGCCGAGGTCGTTTGACATGAGAACCGGGATCGCAACCCTCACACGACTAGTTAATACCCATTCACGTACGTAGGTAGCGACATCGGCCGCGGCGGCCGCGGCGGTCGGCTCGTATTTCCGGAGAGCCGCGTCCATTTCAGCCCTCCTGATGAATGTCCGCCTTTTAAACTCGACGACGGCGAAAGGGCGGCCGGCCCGGCTGGAAGTCGCCTTGTAGAAATTGATGTCCGTTCCGCATGCCGTCGCCCAAGTTGTCCTCGCACTGTGAGGCGAAGGTTCCGTTAACGATGGGGTTTGCGTTGACAGCCCAGCAGACCGGGTGGAGTAGATACAGGGTCGCGTTCCGTACGACGCCAGCCTCGTTCCAGTGCATAATAGCTTCCTCCTGATTTTAATTGCACTTGCTACTGGAATTGGTTGAATAATGCGTGCTTCAGGGCTTGCAAATCTCTTTTGCTGTTTCGGAGGTTAGTAACTCAAGTCCGCCGTCAGCCGGACTAGAATTTGTTTTGCAAAGGGCGAATTACAAATCTTGGTGACACTGTGCTTTTGAATATTTTCTTACCCTTATAGGCGGTGTCGTGTGACTTGAAAGTAGGTGTACGTTGGCAGGGCAGAGCTGAATAGTTAAAGAAGAGATGGAAACTAAGCTATAGTAAACGAAAGTGGCAGCTGAGATTTTATATGAAAATGCGGGGAAGAAAATGTTTTTAAATTAATATAATGTTTTCTTGAACAATTTTTCTCTTAAACTTTCATCTAATACTGTTAAGTAAAATTAACAGCTGCTTATAAGCACTAAAGCTTCTTAAATATTATATTACACCAGTGTATAAATGCTTCCACAAACAATTCAAAGCCAACCCTTAAGCTCAGTTTAAGTAGCTTGGAAAATTGCTAAAACGAAATCTCCGTTACTTTAGGAGGTTACTTCGAATTTGAATACTCTCCCTAGATGATAAAGCAACAACAACGGCCGCCATATCGTGCCCTGAAAGCTGTCAAACCCCACCGATGTGTGTAGACCATCAACACGCTCATATCTGTGGGAAACGCACGTGGCGCTTACATCATTACGCTGAAATGCCTCCGCATGCTGAAAGGTTAGTTGTACTCTCCGCTGCTCTTTTCACTAGTTTTGATGCAACCACGGAAAATCCGGTGCTGAGTTTCTTCTGGTCCATGGCATTTTAGTCGGTCGCACAAGTAACTGAGCAACTGCTTGGTGCCTACTCGACAGACAAGAGACTCTCGCCTGCCGAATTGATCATCACACACGTTGACGTCTACAAGTTATTCATCCAGTGCAGCCAGTTCGCCACAGATCCTAACATCAAAGCGAGTTTCGCTGCTAAATCTCAAGGCTCCCGCGAACAGGCTGACGTGGTCCTCGCGCAGTTGCCATTACACTTACCGGCTGACATGGACTATGTCTTAGCCCTGAGTATGGCTGTCAGTTCCCGACCTGCCCCCAGCACCATTCGGTTGAACCATATTTCCTGGACATGGCTTTTGAATAACATCGCTCCGCCCTAATCTGCGCCCATGCTAAGCCGTTGCAGACCGAATATTGTATGAGCCAGTGCAAAGCAACAATGGCGTGGACCTACATCAGCATAGCGTCCCAGATAAGCCATGCCATGGGCTCGCATCGCATATCTCCCGAAGAAGAACAGGACCTCAACCCTGAGGCCGGCAAAAGGACGAAGCTATTTTGGGCCGTGCATATACTTGAGAAAAGCCTTTCCTTACAACTCAGTTGATATTCAACACTGCGCATGATATTACGATACCCTTAAGCAAATCCGCACGGGCTACCAAATAGGAGGCTCGCTGGGCGTCCTTTTACCAAAGTGACTTCGGGCATCCCAGATTGAAGGCAGAGTGTACGATGAGATCTACTGCCCGGAGGCTCTGCAACAGTGTTCGAGTAAAAGGATGGTCGGACCAGGCAACTGATAGCCGACTTGAAAGAGATAAGGTGGACCACGTTCTTACTCAGTGGGATCTCAAACCATTCTCCAATGTGTCTGATCTACCGCAGCATGTCTGCCACTGAAGAAAATGGATCCTTCCACAAAGAATGCATTAACACGGCCAGGCAGGCGCTCGCAGAGCATCACAAGAGCATGGCTCTGATTGAATCTCATGACATACATCTGTTCAACATATGCATAACTTAGTCAGGTCCACATTGCTCGCCTGTATCCAAGTGGAACTGACGAGTATCGCATACAGGACCCTGCTAACGTCCTCGTTTGTACCCTTCTTCGCCCTCCTTGCCAGCGCGATGTGGGCGGTAAACCTTAATGACTTGGATACTATACGCTCTGTGATTAACTCCCTGGAAATGGGCTGGGATTTATCCAGCTTCGGTGCCTCTCGGCTCTTGAAAACGTCCAAGCCCCTATACACCACCGCCTGCCGATACATCGAAGTCAATCCCGGGCCACGCCGACGGCCAACGCGGTATCCTTTAAAGACCTTTACCAAGAGATGGCGCCAACGGCTGTCCCTGCCAGTTGGGAGAACCTTTCGGCCTTGAAAACACTAGATCAATTTGTGTTCCCAGCTTATGCCTTAAACATTACGGGTGACCAACAGGGTGCTATTGTCAGTACAGTCATTGCAAACATGTACAGCACCTCCCCCTCGAGAGCAAGTCCCGGGCTGTCTGTGGACAGTGGAAAGCCCGGAGACGCTGTTCATGACTACTCGAGGGCAGCCGCGAGTATGCAAGCTTCTCAGCTGGGTGAATTATTCCTCCAGGAGCCGTTACAAGGTGGACTTCCTGGCCCGACATTAAACAAACGGTAAAGTGGTGAGTTCGTCTCTTCTTAGTTGCATTGGCAATGATGTTGTCTTTGGTGTTGGGGCGGGCATAGACAGGGTTCGAAACTTTGGATCGTGCCGACAAACGGTTTACCCCTAGCTGGCACCCAACTCAGGGTGACGCTCTTCCTGCTCAGCCTTGTGGGAGTTCCTGGATCGATTGACTTAGAGTTTAAGATTATCAAAACCTAGCCCCTGTGTCATCACTCACCGAGTTAGTCTACTATCTAGCTGCGAAAAGGTAGGCACTGCGCGGGGCTAAGGCCCGCATGGATGCGGGTGGTGCGGCCGCACGTCCCGCTCCTTAAGTCCGGCATGGTTGGATGTGTTGCCTGGCATAGTGGGCGGCTATAGAACCTAACTGCACAGCTCTAGGGTTCGAATGAAAGTATAAAAGAAGAGCTTGTCCCACTTCCTTCCACCAAAGGATTCAGACACAAATTCTACAAGCTTTGTACCCGCCATACTCTCCGTTTCTCAGGAACGTCGTCCGCGAGCTGTGATTTGAAGTGTGAGCCGTTGTTAAGTCATGTCTCCCACCAAGTTCCCAACCAGACGTCTCGGACGAGATGGTCCAGAGGTTTCGGCCATTGGCTTCGGGCTGATGGGCTTGGGTGGCGTTAGCTATGGTCCTGGAGGGTATGTAAACCCTTGAGTCTCAGATACGGTTGGCTCTGTTCTCTCGCGTCTTCAAAGATACATGTTGGCTTTGCTGACCCTTCTTAGCGCCGACGAGGAGCGTTTCGTCGTTCTGGATCGGGCCTGGGAGCTCGGTTGTACCTTTTGGGATTCGTCGGACGTCTACGGCGACAGTGAGGTGCTAATCGGAAAATGGTTCAAGATGCACCCCGAAAGACGAAGCGATATCTTCTTGGCTACCAAATTTGCTATCAAGGTATCTGCAGACGGTATTGGGATGGACAGTTCTCCCGAATACTGCCGCCAGGCCTGCGAAGAAAGCCTACGAAAGCTGGGCGTCGACTGCATCGACCTGTACTACATACATCGACTTGACGAGAAGACACCCATCGAAAAGACTGTGCAGGAGATGGTCAAGCTGCAGAACGACGGAAAGATCAAGCACTTTGGCATCTCGGAATGCAGCTCCACGTCCCTGCGCCGAGCCCATGCCGTGCACCCCATCTCAGCGGTTCAGATTGAATACAACCCCTGGGACCTGGCCATCGAGAACGAGGACGGCACACAACTGCTCGCCACCTGCCGTGAGCTCGGTGTCGCCACTGTGGCCTATTCACCGCTCGGGCGCGGCATTTTGACCGGCCAGGTAAGGTCTACAGATGACTTCGCACCGGATGACTTCCGCCGCATACTTGAACGTTACAACAAGGAAAATTTCCCAAAGAACCTGGCGATTGTCGACAAGCTCGCGGAAATCGCCGAGACGAAGCACGCCACCCCTGGCCAGCTGGCGCTTGCGTGGTTGATGAAGCAGGGCGAGGATATCATTCCTATCCCTGGGACGAAGAGGGTCAAGTATCTGGAGGAAAATATTGGTGCAGCTGAAGTGCAGGTCACAGACGAGGAGGAGAGGGAGATCAGGCTCAAGGTAGATGAGGCTGGCGTCAGAGGAGCTCGTGCTCCTCCGGGTCTTTTGAATGTGTTTGCAAATACGCCGTCTCTCTGAGCTGAAGACGCTGCTCTTTTCTACCTCAACTCGACCACTCCTCAGTTTTTGCGAGTAAAGGGATTGGTTTAGACGTAAAAGAGGTCGTTGGTGGATCATGAATCTACCAAACACTTCCTGCATATCCTCGCTCAGGCCGCCAACCCGCCCCCCTTTTATAAGCTATAGTTACGCTTTTAATCAAAGCCTACATCTGGACACGCTTTCCTCAGCCACTCTTTAGAAGCTAGCTAGCTGGTATGGCCAAAAGGGGGTTAACGCGGCGAGACCCACGGGTACATTCACGATTCTAGAGAGAGGCGCATGTTTACATTCCGCTCTCCTTCCTCCCTGTGGCTAAAAGGATTGCACACAAGCTACATAGTGCACAAAGGGAGGCGGCCATGAGTTAGTTCAGTATATTGGATTTGTTATTGTTTGTATAAGAGGGGGTGCAGCTGAAGCTTGCAGCCTATGGCATTCTCGCCTAACTACAGAGATACTCTAGCACAAAAATAGACAGACGACAAGAAGCATCGATGAATGTCATTCGCAGCAGCACCACAAATGAGGGTCAACGGAATATAGAGCAACCTTTGTAATTTGCTCCTTCCGCTAAGCCTTTGCTACCTCGTCCAGTAAGTCTCACGATAATTCTCTATCACCGGGGCGTCTAAAGATAGCCCACAGTATGTCAATGAGCTCACCCTGCTTTCTCAGTTAGAGCAGAATGTAAGCATAAAGTTCGAAGGATGCGTTAGTCGCGGGAATGCGGAACCAAGTTAACAGAATGTAGAAGTTTACAGGAATTTATCAATTCTATTATCGATATTGCTCTAAATTCTAAGATCTTGAGCTTATGAATTGTTTCCCGTAGCAACTCCCCAGAAGTATCCACACCAACTACCCAGGATAAGTAACATGCAAGCTCCAAATGCTGTCATAGAGATAGCCTTATTTCTCTGGCGGTCCTCTTCGAAGAACCGCCTTCTTCGCTCCTGGAGGATGTCAAATCTAGCCATGCGCTGCTTGCGTGTCCATTGTAGATGTCTCAGGTCCACCGTTCTCCAAGCTATGGTGGCGAGCACAAGTGACACAAACACTGACACACCTGCTAGGACAGCGTATACGATAACCACGTTGTCGTATGAGTTATGATCACGGTCCTGGATAACACCGGTAATAACTCGTACGATAATATTCATCCTGTTTTATCTCATCAGTTATTTGTTTCGTCTTCAAGTTTAATGATGGCCAGCTCACGCATTATTCATGGTGATCTTAAGTGCATAGGCAGAGCCAAATGCAGAGGGGTCCCAGAGGGATGTGCGGATGCTGTCAATAATGGTTGTGGGACCAAAGCAGTACGCAAAAGCAAAGACACCCAAGGATGCAGCGGCACCGGTCACGTTGCCGCCGAAGCACAGCAGAAGCATTGATGTAAACATGCCAACTCCGCAGAATACGACTGCGATAACATATTAACAAGAGTCGTGTGGTTACGTTCTAAGCCTTCCCTTTACTTACGGATGGAAATGCGGTTGCCAAACATGTCGAGAAAGACACCAAGTAGTGGTACAATGAAAAATCCTGTTTTTTTTAGCTTCTCAACGTTAGTGGCTGGCTAGAAACACAGTTCGTCACTCACCTGCATACTGCGAGGTTGCCGTATACCACCCTGCAGTGATGGAACTAACACCGAACCTCTGCTCAGCAAGTTCAGTAACATTCTGGAGGAACACGATAGCTGTACTAGTTTCGAAGAGCGAAAACGCTTGTATGGCCCAAAATGACCATGGTAACTCGAGAACCTTCCTAAATTCGAATTTCTTGGATTTCTCTTTCAGGATCTGGCCAGTTGCCGGATCACGTACTCCGTGGAACTTCGAGTTAGCAACTTTTGTGAACCAGTAGAACACAATTGTCATAACATTTGTGAAAAGATTCATAAAGACGGCAATCCAGAAGACCCAGGCAAAGTTTCCGGTTCGAGCAGCAATAATGTTAGCAGACGACTTTCCGGCAAACGCGCCAATCTTGCCAATTCCTAGCTCAAAGCCCAATGTCGAAGCGAAGCCATTCCCTGGAGCGAACCACGAGGAGAATACCTTGTACTGGGCGACTTGAGTCGCGATATCTCCGAGGGCTTGAATAACACGCCCAGCGACCATGAACTTGTATGAGCGAGTTTGTGCAGCTCCCGCGACAAGGATGGCTCCGATAGAGAAGATTGCATTCCCATACAGCATGGCACCTAGGTGATGTTTCAATACACAAAAGGTACGCGGATAAACGTAAGAAGATGATCACTAACCTGCACCACCAATACGATCGGTCACGATTCCGCTAACCAACATGAGAGCCGTGACCATGAAATCCTCGCTCGCTTCCAGCAGGGCAAATTGTGTGTTGTCAATTTTCATCTCCTTCTTCATCGTCGTCTTCATTGCACCCGTAATACCTCCACTCCATTGGGATCCAAAGCCAATGAAGGTGACAAGGAGGATAGCTGCCAATTTCCAGGTTAGGGGCGGCGGCCGGAGGCTGCTATGGGCTGAAGCAACATCACCCTCATCCTGCGCAGAATCGGGGTTGGCAGTGATTGTCACCTCGTTCTTTTTGGCGTCAAGGCCCTCGGATATAGGGGTCTCGTCCGAGCCGACTGCGACTACTGAGCCGAGCTCGATAGTCATGGCGATTCGTGTTCCCAGTAGAAAGGATAGACAAAGTGAGCAGGACGAACTGCAACTGTGAGTGACTTGTGAGGTGGAGAAACCGTTCCGGAACGAATTTTTGGAGGACATGATTTTTGGTTTATACCGCATGGGCGGGAAACCTCAATTTACGTGAGCCCATTCATCTCAATATCGGCAGCGTATGAAGCTGACTAGTGGTAGAGTTTTTTATCAGATCCATCAGATAACATGATGCTCGGCGGGTCTAACGGAGGACTCTAGCCTGTTGCGTTGCTTGGCAGACCCGCTCGTATTTGAGCACACTGCTCGTAATTGCGAACTGTAGCATTGCAACCTAATCGTTATCGGTTATCCAAGCTTTGCGGTTGTTCCACTTGCCAAGATGTTAAGATACCTAAGTAGCAAAGATCTCGCCGTTCTTTCTGGCCCGCTCAATTGACATGGGGCTCGCCGACAGCGGAACTGACCGACTGATCGACAGCGGACAGCTGCTCCAGCCCGGAACACGTTTTCATCTTCTGAACTCCGATTCGAGAATCACTTTCTCTCACTTTCGCGATACTTCCTCCTTGTATGTCTTCTTTCTGGCCTGAAGTGCGCCAGCAAACACGGAGTACAGGTGGACAAGGGGTTTAGTACTATTTAAAGATTGCCACCTGGGGGCCACTTCCAAACTTAGACTCTAGCTAGAAGTCCATCTTAAAAGCGAGCACATTTTGCTAGTCTCAGTCGACCCTGCGACGCAAGACATGTATCCTCACAACTGGAATCAACGGGAACGAGCATTTAGAAAATGGCTGAGTTAAAACCATGATAATCAGTAGCAATTGTCATAAATTTGTATTAGAATCTATTCTCTTCGATATTTCTATGTCTTTAAACTTAGAGACTTTGAGACAAGAAGACGTAACATTCTATTAAGTATAACTAAATATCGAATTTAAAATATAGTTTTATATTTTAAACATTGTATTTCGATTTTAATAGTGTTGTTTAAGTGAAATACAGAAAGCTAAACTGTTTTTGTTTTTAATATTGCAGCATAAATATTGTTTATTACTATATAATTAATTAAAGTTGTGCTTTAAACTATAAAACAAAGAAAGGTTGTAAGTATATTGTATAAAACCGATTTGTTGAATGCGATAAAGGAGATCAATAATATAGGAACGTCATTTTACAAGAGATTTAAATAGGTGAGAATGGCTCCGAGGGAAACGTTCCAGCACTTATTAAGGTCTCTTAATAACAAAAAGCTTTTTTAAGTGAAGAACAGCATTCGGCACGGTTTCTGGATGGATACTTAACCTCTTTAAGTAGAATCATCATTTCCCCGCATTCGTATCATCCCACAGAGTGGTAAGTTATATCCTTCTCTTAACCGGTCTCACTTCTTTAAATCTCAGTATTTAACCTCTCAGGCGGAGGAAGATGGCGTTCTAGCGCTAGGTTTAAGCGGGGTTATTGATCCTTTTATCGAATAAACTAACCGTTTGTCCGGTTAAAAATGCTGTTTACTCTCCTTTGATACCGAGAATGAAGAAACGTGACAGGCAATTGCTGCCGCATTAAGTGTTTGAAAAAGAATAGAAGAGAAAAGTTCCATTAAAGACTGAAGGAATAGTTTAGCTGGTAAACTATAAGAATGAATCGTTCTGCAGTCCAAACTCTTGATTGCATCCGCCTGCTATGATTTACCAATATGAAGAATTATGACCTTGTTCGTGACCCCCCCCCCCCCCACTCTCCTAGACTGTAATGCATGAGTGCAATGATCTCTTCATGTCTTCATGGTCCCAGCTGCTCAGCTTATTCTCACTCGTCAATAAGGAAATCTGGCTTTTCTCAAAGACGACTTCCCAAATTCCCCATGTGCATCCTCTCTGACCTGTAATGACGCACAACTCGGATCGTCGACGCCAAATTGCGCTACTTCGTAGCGGCTTTGCCCTTCCCAGAGCCGTCAATAACCGACGGAAATCGGTGTGTTGGATTCAGAGCATGGCCCACAATGTCCCTCTCGACAACCTTGATGTGCTAACATGCACGACGCTGCCCGGCGGACGATTACGTACAGGCCGTCCGACGGGATCTCAGCGACGGTCCACTTCAAGGAGCGCGCCTCGTTCGCCGACTTCAAAGCTGTAGTACCTCATGCATGATAGCATCCTCGGGCGCGGGCGGCGTCTACGACCCGGAGACGGGGTTGAGGGCCTGGGCGAGGCTCTCGGTATCGCCGGATGGCCACGCAGTGAGCCTCGCGGAGTCTGTCGTTATGGACGAGGTGCTCTAGTATTGACCAGTTGACGTACATACAAACCAAGTGGCTCCTGTGAGCAGGGCAGATAGGCCGTTTTGGGAAGCTGTGGGTAGCACTATCTCAAAAGGCATCAACTCGTGCAGCTAGCAATGGGATTCCAATAATCTTGAATCGACCGCCAATAGCGAGCCGAATGCTATTGGCGGCCGCTTTATGCACTCACCAGTCTTTGAGCCAGTGGAATGATCGATTACAGCAGAGCGTCATCTACCAGCTTCCGCCATATGTCCTGAACGAGGCGATCACTAGCTGCCAGCCCCATGTAGTCCTGTTTTCTAATTGGCTCATGGGCACGCACCCATTGGGATTCATGGTCTGGGCCAACAACTTCTTTGGCGAATAGCTTGTTGGGACTCAACCAGCTCCTTGGAGAGGGCATTCTGGCAGACCTGAGCGAGGAGAAGGATTTTATTAAATAGTTAGAGCAAAGAAATTCGTGGATTTACCTGCTCAGATCCATCTACTCCCTGATGAAACTAGGCTCTTCTATACCCCTTCTCATCAAAGGGCGCTAGAAGTCGGTGTTCGCTGTAGCCTACATGGTAGAAAACAGTCCGGGAGCTGTGGAGAAGGTCATGCACACCGTCGAGCTGAATCCGGAGAACCCCTTCGAAAAGGTGGATGGAACGGTCAAGCAAATGGAGTTGCCAGGTACCTGGAGGAGGCCAGGAAGACTTTTACTGAAGTAATCGAAGAAAATCTCCAGGCGTAGGCCTACAAGCCACCAGAAAACGTGAACGTCGACATCATATCCGATGTCGTCATCGCTGGGGATATCCAAGTCGGCTTGCAGCCACTGTTGACTGACGACGCAGTTGACTCTCTCATCAATGAGGTGCATGTTGACCCGTCTCTGTAGAGGTTAGCGAGCAGGATCTTGCGGCAGCGATTCTCGACGCCGCAGGGCGACATGTGGTTGAAGAGCTCCTGAAACCTGGCGGCCTGGCGCAGACCTGGACGGCGCAGACCTGGACGGCGCAGACCTGGACGACGAGAGAGGTTCTTGACCATGTTCTATGCCGCCTCCATTGCCGGACGGAAAGCCCCCGCATTACTTTTGCCCATCCAGGCGGAAACAATCGACAACAAGAAGGAGCTCGGTCGTCCGAAGAGCCATCCGGAACACAAATCATAAGGACTTGGAGAAATGCTTCACCAGGGAGCTCTCGATAACATATAGAAGTGTGCAGTGCAGATAAGTGGAAGAAGTCCGCCGAGAAAGCTAAGGACTCGAAGAACTTGCACGACGATATCAAATATAAAAACGAGATCAAGTCTAAATGAATCAGATGTAAGGCGTAGAGCATAAGGCGAGTGTTATAACAGTTGAAAAGTATAATTGAAGAAGATATAAACAATGATTGAATATAGTAGGTGGGCCAAAAGCTGGAGCTGGGTGGGCCGATGTTGACTGCGGATAAGAATTAATCGGAGAAACGGTATTGCATTTATCCGGCTGCGTGGTATCATTCCGGCTTGATAGTAGAAGCTTATCTTTGATGTCAACGGTAGCCACTGCAGGCTCCGCATTTTGACTTTGACTGACTTGATACTCATTGGTGACATTGCCGCCCTCACCAACTAGACCGGATTTTGCTCTGCGAACACATATCGTCCACTTTACACCGGAAATCAGTGTCATTTCATGATTCTCTACCTCGTGGTCTGCGAGATCCGAGTATCTCGTGGCAAGATGAGTTCCCATGGACTGAACGCAAAGAGACCTCGTCTGGAGGGGCGGACGATGCTGGCATGCATTGGCTGCAAACAGAAGAAGCTGAAGGTAAATTATCGCTGTTCTCCAAGTCCTCTTCGCGTTGAACGACTTATATGATTGTGCCTCACGAAGCTTACACCGTCTCGTCAGTGTGACGCACAAACACCCAAATGTCAGAATTGCGCCAAGACTGGACGAGGTACTGTGAAAATGAACTCATCTCCGACTGTTGTTTTCTGCGATTATTTGTTGACATCTCGGCATAGACTGTTTTGTAGAGGACCCCGGTACAGGCCTCCACCGGCCTCGGGATTATATGAAATCCCTTGAGGCGAGAGTGGCGTACCTCGAGGGACTTCTTCAAGAAGCCAGGCCAGAGGTAGCAATTGACCACTTCGCTGCCAATGGAGAGAGCAGCCCCAGCGTTTTGGTGCAACAACGCCCTCAGGCTGAAAATTTCCATTCTGTACGGGGGCCTCAGGGAGCCTCGCCTGGCGTTGGGGAGCAGCCTGATGTCTTGTCTTCAGAGGTTGCTTTCCTATGCCTCAGCGCTACTGGTAGTGAGCCACACTTCTTCGGGGCTTCATCCGCTGTCTCATTCTCCCGCATCGTCAGCGCGGTCATGGGGCTGGGCAGATCCGGATCGGCAGCGAGCGACTCGCAGCCTAGCATTCGAGGTGCAGGCGCCCGACAGAGGGGAGCTCATTTCGATACCCAGGCAGCTCATCAGGTCCCAATTCGCCTGCCTACCCCAGAGATGAAGGGAATTCTAACCGAGTCATATTTCAGCAACATTCACCCGCAATATCCTGTCATACACCGCCCCACGTTTCGGACTTGGGAGGATGAGTGCTGGCGTGCAGTCTCTGATGGGACCCTCGACCGTGTTGCAGACATTTCCCTTTTTTCAGTTCTTATGGTTTACGCAATCGGGTCTCTGGTACAGGGCCAATCTCACTACGAATCAGCCGAAAAATATCATGCCATGGCGTTGGATCGAGTCCCGGCTATACTGGATCTCGACAGCCTTGAGTCAGTACAAGCACTTTTGTTTTGTGCTGTCTACTCGATCAGGTCGCCCGTGGGCGCAAGTCTTTGGAAGCTCTCCGGAATGGCCATTCGCCTTTGCATCGAGTTGGGATACCATCTCGACGCAGAGAAGTATCATAGACATGTGGATCCCTTGACAAAGGAAATGACGAAAAGATGTTTCTGGGTGGCATATGACATTGATCGTGTCGCTGCTTTCACCCTTGGCCGGCCGGTTGGTATTCCGGAAACCTCAATCGACGTCGACCTACCGCTGGATATTGACGATGAGAAAGTCACAGCCAGTGGCATCACCTCTAGCCCTCGAAGGGAAGCCGCCGATCCACCAACATCAATGTCGGGAGCAATACACGCGATCAGATTGCGGAGGCTTTGGACCAAGATGAATGATCAACTTTATCCACCCAAGGGTCGCCGGTCTTGCGGAGATGTCTGCTTGCAACAACGCATCATCGACTCTCTGCGGAAAGACCTTGACGATTGGCACACCGCAACACCAGACCAACTCGATCATTCAGCATCTCACCCTTTGTCTGTCTTCGCATCGAAGTCGTGGTTCCAGCTTGCATACGATTATACGGTTCTACTTTTGTATCGCCACTACATGTTTGCATCACACAGCGGCAGAAATGGCGTTGGCGTAAACGATTCTACCGTCGTCAGCGACATGGCCGAAGCCGCAAATACCGCTTTGGAGGAGTGCTTTGTCCGCGCCAGACAAATCTGCTTAGGCTACCGCCGGATCTACCAAAGCTCATCAGTCCAATTCACCTGGGGCAGCGTTCACATCCTTTTCCTGGCTGGACTCACATATCTCTTCTGTCTGTGGCACTCCTCGGCTCTCCGGTCCAAGGCCAAACAATCTGACGTAATGAGCACTTGTATGGCGTGTAACACAGTTTTGATCATCGTTGCTGAACGGTGGAATTTGGCGACTAGCTATAGAGTCGCATTCGAAACCTTGAGCGAACGGACTATAAGAATGATCTGTGGTGACATGGACGACCCTTCGAATTCAGTTCCACTTCCTTTCGCAACAAATGAACAAACATTTGGCCCACATGCAGCTGCTCAAGACGCCGCTGGTACGGCTGAACCACTATTCCAGGACTGGATCATGGGGTTAGAAGATATAAGGATACCACGAGAGTCCGAATGGTTCGTGAATGATCTGTTAAGAGATGTCCATGCAGGTGGTTTCACACCGTGAATTACTCTGCAGTTGGCCAATAACTTGCTATACAAAGGCTTGCCCTACGTCTGTATGGGTCTCATCCATCTACTATCGTGGTTTTAGACCACAGCTTGAAACAGAGCTGACACATGGTCTAGATCCAGCCCTAACTCGCTCGCACACTCTTCTATGCTGCGGCGCTGCACTTCACGTACATCTGATCTGCGTCAAATACTGGACAGCCCATAGCTGCCTCGTACACGCTTTGTTCCCCTTTCCCTGCTGATCCGGATCCATCAGCGGCTGTGGCCTTCTTGCTCGCCGCTTGCAGGTTGGACCGTAAGATGCCTGCAGCCGAGAAGAGCAGGAAGTCATCACAAGCGATCGGGCGTGCCATCAAGACATTTTCACCAACAAGCTTATGGAGGAAATCTGACATAACTTCTTCACTGGCCCCCTCTAATGCTGTGAGTTCCTCTTTGGCTCCAGTATCGCACCGGCTTACTTTCATGGCCCGAGCCCGCACAGAGGAAGCGGATGCGTTCTTCCAGCACCAGAAAACTCGTTTGCCTAAAGAGAATTGGACAATTTCTCGTGGGTGGGCCCTCAATTCGATCCTTCGTTCGAAGACTTCCCTTGATCGCAGCAGTCTGAGCCATGCCAACATCCAGCGCCCTTGGCGTCAAGTGGTTAATGTGCGCGGAGTTGAGGCATGCGATATCCGCTGGGATGGGATGTTCCGTACGTAGTATTACGTATTCGTCGTAAGTGGCAGCTGCGGTTGGCTGCCAACTGAAGGAATGGATATCTCCTTGCATGAACAAGGCGCCTTGTTCGTGATTTAGACGACCGTCTTGCTGCATCTCGACCGTATCGATAAGGTCGAGGAGGGTGTCGCTGAAGATGTTATGCTTTACTGAGAAGCCGCACAGAGAGCTCCGGAACCTCTTTCGACGCCAGTAGGCCAGGTTGGAGGAGGGCAGGAAACATCCAGAAGGGATTCGCCGCGAGCGCCACGGTGCCGATGGGGCGAAAGCAGGTGACGTGCATGGGAAAACTAACCTACAGGGCGCGTTCCAAGTATCAAGAAGATTCGTCTTACCGTGCGCATTTACTGTGAGAATCCAGCCGGACAGCACCATGTTTCTCTAATATGAGCCGTTAGGGATGCTTGTAAACATCGGCCAAGGAGGGGTTATGTGATCGGACATCTTCGTGGACAATAAGAACAACATCAATCAAGTTGCCGTACAAAGAGACTTCCTCCTTCTACATGGCTGGAATCACTAAGTTGAATGTTGCCCGCAAGTTCTCGGCGTCGATATACTTGTTTCCGCCGGATGGTTTTGGTGGCAGTGTAGCTTGTCTATAGATGAGCGTGGCGGACATACTGATGATCATTTCAGTCGAGAATTGGTGTGGAATGTATTTTGGAGTGTCTTGAGCTTTTGAACAGGAACAAAGAAAGCTCAAGTCTTCTCCTACAGAAAGTACAAGATATACATGACAAACGTATTGTTTGTTCTTTGTGACAACGGTTTAAACCACTGCGGCTAGATACTATATTAGGCTTCGGAAGACGCACTTTCGGCATAAGGAAGGCTGAGGACATTGGCTCCACGATCTACTTTTGGGCTAAACTAATAGAATTCATTACTCACATGAGACACCGATAGCTTGGGTTTTGCTTTCAGACGCCTCCCGATGTCTTCTTTTTCGAACTATGTAAAACCATTGTGAATTACACTATAGTTATTCAGCTCGGCTGCTTCCGTGACTGGTCCCGCTTCGAGGGGAAATCCACCTGCAGTGGCACCTGGGCGACCAGAGTCTGTGACACCATCGGCCAACCTCGGAGGTTGCCGAACCACATAATTAGCTGAATCTTGGGGTAGGGATGGAATATGGGATGACCAACCTCAATGAAGGTGACTGATATAATCTCGGACTACATCTAACACTGTGCGATAGTGCTCTCAACACCCTTGCGCCTGCCGAGACATCAAGTAATTCACAACTGTCCTTCACAGTCCGTCGAGCATCATGACCACGACTGCGAAAACGACAACGACAGCCCAGGCACCGGCACCGGTAGTAGCCGCCGAAGTGAGCGCCCTGAATACCGCATCTCATAGTGACGCCGGGCAGGTCAAGAGACTGCATCATATTCCTTTCCCAGAGACCAAAGAAGCCACGCGGCAATGGCAGTTACAGCAGATGGCCGGGGCTTTCCGCATCTTCGCTAAGCTGGGGTTCGCGGACGGCGCCAGTGGGCACATCAGCCTACGGGACCCGGTGAACCCAGACACATTCTGGATCAACCCGTATGGTGTGCACTTCGGACTGCTAAAGGTGTCCGACATGGTCCACGTTGATGGCAAGGGCAATCGCATTGGTGGCGGGCACAAGCCTGTCAACACCGCCGGGTTCATTATCCACTCTGCATTGCACCAGAGGCGGCCGGATATCAATGCCGCCTGTCACCTGCACAGTCCATACGGAAGGGCGTGGAGTACCTTTGGGCGGGAAATTGATATGTTGAACCAAGGTAGGACATCTTTGCCCTGGCTGTGGAGCCAGCTCTTGACACAATACCATGACTAATGTCAGTAGATTCGTGCATGTTCTATAAGGACCTCGCCGTCTACCCGTCATTCGGAGGCGTTGTCTTTGCTGCAGAGGAGGGTCAGAGGATAGCGGATGCTCTGGGCCCTACCAAGAAGAACATTATCCTGCAGAATCATGGGCTCCTGACTGCGGGACGCACGGTCGCAGAGGCTGCCGCCTTCTTCATTGCCTTGGAACGTGCATGCCAGGCACAATTCCTCGTCGAGTCTGCTATAGCACCTGGGACTGTGGGAGGGTCCTTAACGGGACTGCAGAAGATGACTGTGGGTGACGAAGAGGCGCAATATACTAAAGACGGGACAGGCACGCCGAGCGCCATGTATATGCAATTTGACCCGGAGTATGAAATGATTCTGCAGGAATCTGATGGTAGCTTCCTACAGTAATGAAGATATGTCTAGCAATTAAAGCTGGCTCGATCATCTCTCGTTTTATGGGTGGTAGCCATTGATTTCGCTTTATTGATCCTATCTACTCCTTCCAGACCACAGGGCTTTTCCTCCTCAAGCCGGAGTAAAACCATAGTGCCATGGTATAGACGTCGTACACCATCACCTCATTTCCTAAAGCTTCTTGGATGGCTTCAGCAAATGATGGCATTTGAGTGCATTCCAAGACAATGGCTTGGATTGTCGGTTTATCTGCAACCAACTCCTTTGCAGTCGTTATCAATTCATCTCTGATGTCTGCGTGCACATACGGCCTGCTGCCCTTGATTACACCCCTTAGGTGCCCATCTGCGGGCGCACCTCGTATATGGATCCTGGCAAAAGCTGAAGTCGGCACTGAAAGCTTCTTCAAGTGCTGTAGGTTGAGGCGCTGGTCGTCGTAGGTCACTATTCCAATGCTTTTTGAGGGCGGCAGCAATGATAGGACGGAGGGAACCTGAATAAGTGCTGAAGTCGCGATGGGTACAGGAAGTCGATCAGCGAGTCTAGTTAGTTGAATGCATCAGCGCTCGATGTCTTTAAGAGAACGACTTTTGAAATGTAATCATACAACTTTTTCACAGTCCAAGGGAGGCTGACGACCAACAAAACCTGTAAATCAAAGAGTGGAGGGAATAAACGAGATACAATGAACTCAGTTTCCTCATGCCTTGTCACATGGAACCTGCATGCCCAAACGCTGATGGGGTTGACAGCTTCGGGATTCCGGACAAGCAAGACAATATGCAGCAGACAGAGGCAGGAAAAAAGACAACACACTCTGGTTGTGCCATCGCTAAAAAGCCGCAACTCGTTATAATACCCACACAGCCTTTCGCTGCCAATTTCAGACCAGCCTCCACAAAACGATCAATGAATGCTTCATCGTATCCTTTATTAGTTACAACCACCGACTCTGTCGAATTCTTTGCCTGCTCTCGAAGAATAGGAAACGGCCACGTTCTGTTATTGTAAGGATCACCGGGAGGCCGGTGAAAATGAATATCAATTGAGATGAACCCCAAAGGGGGAAGAGTAGCATCGATAGAAGTTTCACTCATGGCAGCAAACAAAAGTTGCCTTGATAGAGGGTACCGGTGCCCTTTAAGCTAGCCTGAGCGTAAAACCGAAAAAGAAAATATTGAAGTGCGTCATGGTCCAATCATTAATTCTAGTCTCGTATTTGGGGTGAGTTGGCATTAAGATAAACTGTAAACACTAGCACACTTGGTCAGTCTGTCTTAGGGCGACATATGGGAGCGCAAGCTTTCACATTTTTCTGTCAGCGTTGGTTGTCAGCCCCCGCACCACCAAACTCGGCTTCTGCCGATTTGGTCTAAGTCGATCTAGTCGGAGCCCTCCAGTTCCGCTGCGGATTGGGGTCTCGGGAGAATCCGACGTAGTGGGCCGGCCCCTTCTTTTGGCAACTCCATGTGGGGCGGAGCACATGACACGCTCTCAATGTCTTGAAGTTAGGGCAACGATCAGAGCTATTGGTTTAGGTGAGAACGATTCTCAATTTTGATGGTATAATCGTTATCAGATTATCTGTTTTATAGCTGATAGACGAGCAATCTGTCATCGCTAATGGAGACCTACTTAGTGTTCTGCCACGGCAGCCTTTACACTGATATTTGAGAGTCGTTCATCAGCTTCACCTTCACCCAGCCCTTGGGAGGATATACTGCGACACATTGAAGCAAGACTCGACTTCGAGCAACGAGTATGACGATCAAGGAAAGGAAACCTCGTGTGGTGGCCCTCGGCCAACCCAAATATGCCGGCGACGACTATTTAGCCGAATTCTCAAAGGAGTTCGACTTCTCCGTCTTGGAGGCATACAACCGCACTGAAACGATGAGCCTTCTCCCCAGATCCATCAAGGACGATGGACCCATTGACGCTTTCATAATCCGGATGGGCACACCGCCGTACGAGCCCTTCGACCAGGAAATGCTCGGTGTATTGGCGGAGACCAGCCCAAAGTGTCGAATCATCACATCTGCTAGTGCGGGCTACAATGAGTTCCCTGTGGAGTGGCTTGCCGATCAAGGAATCTGGTTCACGAATACCGTCGATGCTGTCGCCGAAGCAACTGCAGACATGGCCCTATTCTTGGTATTAGCCGTCTTGAGGAATACAACCAACGCCGAGAAAAGCGCCAGGGGAGGGACGTGGCGAGCAATGCCGGGCTTAGTGCCTGCCAGGGACCCAACAAGCCTAACGCTGGGAATAGTTGGTCTTGGAGCTATCGGAAAAGTGAGCACTTCCTTGTACAGCTGACTGAGACAAAGTCCTGATTTTCGAGTATAGTATTTAGCAAAGAAGGCCGCTGTTTTCAACATGAAGATTAAGTACTACAACCGGAATAGACTCCCTGCTGATGAAGAGGCAAAGTACGGTGCTGAGTACTGCACGCTGAACGAGCTTTTGGGTACTTCGGACGTCATCTCGCTTAACTGTCCTCTTAACGCCAGTACTACCAATCTCATCGGGCAGGCCGATTTTGCAGCCATGAAAGACGGATGCTTCGTTGTCAATACTGCTCGTGGAGGTGTGATAGATGAAAAGGCATTCAAAGATGCGTTGCAGTCTGGTAAGGTCGCAAGAGCTGGACTCGACGTGTTCTGTAACGAGCCCAATGTCGACCCTTGGTTCTTGGAGAGCGACAAAGTTATCATACAGCCGCATCTAGGAGGCCTTACAGATATGGCATTTCAAAAGGCGGAGAGAGAATGTTTCGAGAATATAAGACAAGTGTTCCGTTATGGTAAGCCGCGGTCACCGGTGATAGATATTACCAAACGTGGTTCGCAATAGGGCGTCATTCAATGATGTAAAACCGACAATAGCGGTACCAGTGAAAGATTTACGAAAGATATTCTTTATCATATTTTATGTTTCAGACTTTGAATGTCACCTTTGAAATTAAATATACACGACAACGTTAAGAATTAATTGGATCTAATAATAATCAACATTCGTATCCGACACAACGATTCCAGACATAAAAACATTACATTTATAATCCAAATATCAGGAAAGTGTCACCATTATCTCGAGAACAACATTGCTATGTTTATAAGCAGCGTTGTCTCACATTCTCGTTCATGTCCGATCAACTCCCTTGCGGGACTTCACGTCTTCATTATCCGACGGCGCATCGGGTGTCAGACTGAACAAACGTACATAGATGTTAGCTCAAGCTTAGTATAATTTTCATCACAGAATGAGACACCGATGCTCTGGGAAAGTACTCACCTAACGCTGTGGGAGTCAATAATTTGTGTTATCCCATTTTCCGCATCTGCACGTTGTTTCTTCTTCCCTCGTGAGCCAAAAGCAAACCAAGAGCCCTCAAATAACTCGTCCAAGTTCTCCAGCTTTTCACCGGCGGTCTCGGGTACCATAACGAACACATAAAGCAAGGACACAAAGCACCAGCCAGCAAAAAAGATGAACGCTCCCCAATTGTCAGTTTTAGCGAGAATGATGGGCGTCGCCTTGTTGATGCCGAAGAAGAATAGCCAGTGGAAAGTCTGGGAAAGAGCACTGCCAAAGGATCGGAGGTGATTTGGCCAGAGCTCTGCGCCAAAGACGTAAGGTAGTATGAGAAGGCCGACAGCGTAACCGAAACCATAGATGAAGATCGAAACAACCGCTAGTTGGCTCGCACTGTCTGGCGCATCGCTGGACTGCTTGTATTTGAGATAAACACCAAGGTAGATATCAGATAGCATCTGGATCGTGATTCCCGTGAACAAACTGCGTCGGCGGCCGAGTGCATCAATAAAAAAGAAACTTGCGATCAACGTGTAGAAGAACTTCGACATGCTGTACATGCCGCTGATAAATAGGCTGTGTCCGGTTCCTCCTCCCAGACCCACGAGGCTCAAGATGGTCGTCAGGTATGAGGTCACGCTGTTGGCCCCGGAAAGTTGGGCCAAGCCATAGCAGATGAGACATTGTTGAACGCGTCGAAGATTTGCGGGGACTAAGAATGCGTCTTTGCACAATGTGAAAAAGCCAGGATTTGGACCAAACACCTCCTGTTCTTTTCCAATTTGAGCCATGATGCCCGCGATCTCATCCGCGACCCGCGGGCTCTCGGCAGCAAGCCCACGAAGGGCGACCAGTGTGTCAACGGCGTCCTCGTCCTTACCAGCAAGAAATAGCCAACGAGGGCTTTCATAGAGCGTGAAGGAGATACCGACCAGAAGGGCTGCTGCAATAGTTGGCGCAAAGAAGACAATCTGGTACTGAAGCCGGCTCGTCGCTATGTGGGTGAATACTCCATAGACAGTAAAGACCGACACTGTCAGTGACAGGAGCATTACAACACTGAACCAAGAAGCAATCAGTCCACGAATCTCTGCTGGGGCGACCTCGACAAGAGCCATCGGTCCCATAACTGTCAAAGCACCAATTCCAAGTCCAGACACAATGCGTGCCGCATATAATGTGCCCAGGTTTCCCATTGAGAACGTGGCAATGATTTGCCCAATCATCCACACCAGCATATAGAGGCGAAAGGACCAGAGCCTTCCAATTCTGTCGTTGACGAAGAAAGACAGAGCAGAGCCAACTCCGGCTCCGATGTAGACAAGGGATATGAAATCTGACTTTTGTTTCGCATTGTCAGAAAGGCCAAAATCGGCGTCGAAGCCTGGAAGAGAAGGTATAACTGATGAGGATCCTTGGTCCCACGCTGCATGATAAAACGTCAGTGGCGAGTCATCCGATCCACAATGCGCAACGACGTACTGATTGGAATCGCCGAAGTGGCGTAAAGAGCAGCTGTCAGGAGGAGCTTGCGGTTGCAGATGATCTCGCGTGGCGAGGCTCGAATCGCCCGGACATATTGCGCGAAGGTCGACTCCGTCAAGACTTTGGTGACCGCCATACTGTCGGATTTCGTGTTGGTGTCTGTCAAGCCCCAGGGGTGGGAGGTTTGATGAGTCAAACGTGTCTTCGTGGACGGAAGGGTACCTAGGTAGCACCGATGGTCTCTAGAGTCACAGCAAACATAGGTTTGTAAGTAGAGCACGCAGATTCATGGCGACGGCATCAACAGCAAAGGAGATAGACACATCAGAGTTGCGCATTCATCTTGTTCACATTCGACTGGACATTGCAATTCGCGATCCTCTGGTTGACAGGCCAGAGTTGTTGAATCAGCGTCCAGGGCTTAATCCGTGCCTTGTACAGGCATCAAGGCTTATCTCTCTGACCTATATGACCGGTTCGGGATGTCCCGGTGCCTACTTATCTAGTGGCAGGGACCTTGCCACGCGAATGGGCTTTGATAGAGTCATCCCCTATGCAAGCACTCCCCCTCACTTTACTTAGCCTTTGCAGCGAGGTAGCCCTTGACGCTTGATGCACCTTGCGTCGGCTTCTCCCGAGCAACATCGAAGTCGCCCTGAAAACAGTCGACACAAGATGTTGAGGAATCATACCACGCTCCCGGGGGCCTCTTTTGAAATCACTTAGATATTCTAAGCAAAGTATCAGACTACTGACTATACTACCCAGTCAATTGGTTAACATCTGTCTATCTGAAAGAATCGAGCAGCTGTAATTCTGTGTTTCCAAAACACCTTTCCTGTCCCAGTCCGCTACTCAGCCCCGCCCCGACAGTCAAACGAAAATGGCCCGACCTTCAGTGACTAAGCATGATCCAATTATTATTGTTGGAGCTGGCATCTTTGGTCTCAGCACTGCCATTCACCTTGCCCAGAGAGGCTATGATGATGTTACAATTTTTGACAAGCAGCCCTATCATAAAAGCTTGTATTCCTACTTTAACGGTTGCGATGCGGCCTCAGCAGGTGCGCGGCCCGACATCTGGGGCCATCCTGTATCTTCAATCTATGAATTCTGACATCTGTAGATATGAATAAAATCATACGGACGGCATACGGCAGTCAAGCAGAGTATAGTGACTTGACAGTAAAGGCGCTGCAAGAGTGGAACGCGTGGAATGATGAAATTGCAACTGGTCACGACCTGCCTCCCGGCATGACAAAAGCAGATCGCGTCTTCATCAATAACTCCCATCTCACTCTATCTGATGAAGCGGAACTCCCCGAATTTGAACGGCACAGTGTTGTCAACACGGCACGTGATGGTCAGGAGCCCACCCAGCTGGTGACCAACGACCCAAACGATGAGGCCCTGGCCGTGGCCAAAGGGCGGAAGTATTGCATGGATCCATTCCGACGAGCTCAGCGTGGTTTGAACAACGTTGGCCTGCTGGACACCATAGGCGGCACAGCCATCGCGGACAAGGCGTGTCGCTTCGCTCTATACAAATCTCAAAGGCTAGGTGTCAAATCTATCCTCGGCGCCGAAGCCGGATGCCTCGAAACATTTGCCTATGATGGAGGGCATGTAGCGGGCATCAAAACCCGTGATGGAAACCTGCATACAGCAAAACTCATAATCCTGGCTTGCGGAGGCTGGACACCCTCTTTACTTCCACAGCTGGACGGACTGTGCGAGACGACTGCTGGATCTGTAGCTCTACTCAAGATCCCACAGTCATCTCCGTTGTACAGCCGCTTCGCCCCAGAGAACTTTCCATCTTGGACGTTCAACATGCGTCATGGTGCGGAAGGCGGTCTTTATGGTTTCGCAAGGGACGATGACGGCTGGCTGAAATTTGGTTACCGAGGGACGAAATATATCAACCCTACGGTACAGGCGGACGGTAAGGAACGCAGCACGCCCATAACAAGATGGTCGGAGGAGAAGATCACGACGATACCACAACAAGCGCTGCGCGTCATTCGGCGATTCATAGCCGAAAATCTGCCCGAGCTGGCTGATGAGGGCATCGACATCTCTATGACCAGGATGTGTTGGTATACTGATACTTTTGACAATCACTTTCTCATTGACTACGTTCCAGGGACAACTCAGTCCCTAATGATTGCGACTGGAGGCAGCGGTCATGCTTTCAAATATCTGCCCAACATCGGACAGTGGGTCGTGGATATTATGGAGGGGACAGCCACAGACAAGCCGGCGGCAAAGATGTGGCAATGGAGAACTCTCAATAGCATCGACAAGCCAGTGAATATTCTGATGGAGGGAAAGAGCGGGACACGAGCCTTAAAGAATGTTGCATTGGCAGACGAAATGCTATCGGGCCGGATATCCTCCCCAAAATTATAAATCCAATCACTGAGAAACTACAACAACCCAGGCATTCTCTTAGAGAATTCCCACTGCCGAGAATGCGACTCCAACAACAAATGTACCTTAATTCGATACGCGGGCGACGTCCCCAAGAGGATGGCTTGGAGTATCTCAATTTGAAGCAGAGTAGCTGTTCACAGCGAGCAGAAATTGGCAATTGTTTATCAAAAGACGACACACTACTTTTCAGAATGCAAACTTGGAAGCTCGAGTAACTGAGTAAACCGGCAATCGCATAGACAGCCTGTCGAGCGCCGGTTCAGGGCTGAGAGACAACTAAGGCTTATTATACAAAGTGGTTGTAATAAATAGTAAGAGCACATCTACTTGCCGAAACTTATGTGTGTGGAACGGTTATTATACATAAAGTGAGCTTATTCACTCCTGCAATTTATTATTTATGATGTCTGTCTCAAATAACCAGAATTGCAAAGTTAGTTGACCTTAGCGTTGCAGTCCTTGTATGCCGGGAGCTTAAACAACCGCTTCGCATTCTCCCTGCCGATTTTGGCCCTGTCCGCAATGCTCATCTCAGTATTATCAAACCAGGTACAAGCCGGCTCGAACTTCTCAAAAGGGTAGTCTACGGAGAACAAGATTCTATCCGATCCGACTTCGTTCATACAGAAGTTGAGCGTGGTGGAAGAAAAGTGACCGCTCGTGGTGATCCAGACATTTTCGTTGAAGTATTCTCGAATTGTCCTTTTACAGTCCAGGCCAAGGGGCTTCTTGACATCTTCAAACCAATGGTTGATTCTCCACAGGTCGAAGGGAATGTGTTCTCCTAGGTGGCCCAGAATAATCTGTAATTTCGGATGGCGGTCGAAAACCCCGTTCGTCACCATACCCAGGACATGTAAAGAAACTCCTTGCGCAAAGGAGAGAGGTGGGCCAACGAGCCATTCGCGGTCTTTCCAGAGTTTCTCGTAGATGCTCCCTGTCGGGTTACGAGGATGAAGATAAAAGGGGACATCGAGCTCGGTACAGGTCTGCCAGAAGACATCCCACTCGGGCTTGTCGTAAAAGATCATATCGTCCCCCTCCTGTCCCGCGCGTTGGGTATCGTTTACCAACGCGCCCTTAAATCCATATTGGGTGATACAGCGGCGAAGCTCAGCAGCTGCCTCCTTGGGGTCATGCATTGAAAGAGTCCTTCTCGGTTGGTTAGTGAAACAGTACAGCGGATATTATACTAACAACTCTCACTTACGCGAATGCACCCAGACGGTCCTCGTGCCCTTTGATCTTCTCGGCCACGTAGTCATTGATCTCTAAAGCCAGTGCTTGAGCCTCCTTAGGATCGCTGACGTCTTGGACACCTGGAGCAGTATAGGAAAGGATTGTGTAACCGACTCCATGCTTGTCAGCCTGCTTGATGCGGATGTCTGTGAGATCCATAATCTCCTGGAGATGGCGATCTGGCTCGGGGCTGAAGAGACCAGCCCACCACCGAGCCTTCTGAGAGAAGCGGGGGAGGTCGAAAGCCTCCTCGAGAATGACCTTGCCGTGCATTGTGATTCAATGAGATTTAATATGACAAGGTGTGGTTTAGGTGTATACTATTCTTCTAATTGTGTTGGGGACAGGCATATGGGTTTGTTCTGCCTAACAGCCCTTGACTTTAAATATTCGATGTATCTGGATCTCCCTTCATGTCCAAGTCGCGAACCCCCGAGCGTCTCCCGCCTGAAACGTCGCCGAACATACAATGGTCTGGGTGCCATCGTTTGGTTACTACTTGGCCTCCATTACATGCACAATCCCCTATCCGCCCGAGCCTGGGAGCGGGCCGCGGTCTTCGTCCCCACATCCGCCGATCCAAGCAACTTGGCCAGGGGGGCGAAAGTGTTGTCCCTTGACCCAGAATAGAATTCGACCCACGACTTCGGAGCTTCGAACCTAAAGCAAAATCAGTCCGGTCGGCGGGGCGTCTTTAGAAACTAACGATGCGAGCGTTTTCCTGTGAAGATGTGTACAGCGGGAGCTAAGGAAAATCCGGGGTAAAACGGCGGGGGCTTCATCCCTCACCCGCTCACCCCCTTCGAAGCGGCACAAACCCCTACGACGCTGAGAGGACACATGCGAGGCCATCAAATTGAGACTGAACCTGTAGCGAATGGCATACCATCAAATTACAAAGAGTCCCATACTAGTAGTTTGGAGTAGTTGTATGCGCGAAACCTCGAGACCCGTGTTAGTACACAGAGGTCCCTCATTAATAGTTTGTTGAACTTGGTGGACTTACTCTCTACGCCTTCTTAGTCAACCTCTCTACCCCCCCCCCCCCCCGCCCCCAGCCTCCCTTCATCTGTTCTATTCCAACGGTACTTCTTCAGGCGATATCACATCGCTAGCCGATTGTCCAATTCCTCTCGTCGTCTCTCCCTCAAACATTGCCTTTATCTATCTTTGCCTAATGGATTTATTTCTAATGAAATCCGAGGCTGGTAACGACAAGTCCACTCTATACTGATTTTTGATAAAATTAAATACTTCAGGAATATCTGCGTTTTTATTATTAGAGATGACCTCGTAGTTAACTATTGGCCCTGTACCAATGTGTTCGCTAGGAAGAGCAAAATCATAAAGAAACAAATTACACAAGGATACGTGACGAGCTTCCATACATCTTCAAGCCTTCGCAGGATGGCCATCCATCCATTCATCCAAAATGCCAGCGAAATCAGGAGGTGTGTACGGCTCAACCAATTCCTTCATCCATGAAGTCTTCCGATGCGTCCTCAGCCCCATATCTCTCATCAACATATTGGCATAAGGCAGTCCTTCAAATACAAAGTCCGGCAGACTTGCCCCGTACCCACAGGGGTATCGCCACTTTCCCCATTGGGTGTGCAGCATTATTTCCTGCACGACCTCCTCTGGCGTCTTCGCCATCCTGTCTAGCTTACCATCAAGGAATGCTGCGATCCAAGCCGCCTGGACTGTGGCGCAGACAGCTGTGCTGACCGTCGAGACCATGCCGGCAAAGGCCAGGTTCCTTGACTTCAGCATCGTTGAGGGTACGATAAAGCGGTAATACCGCAAAGGGTCAGCCTCTTTGGGTTGAAAGCGCAGCTGAGGTTGGTCCTTGAGGCGTGGGAACATTGTTAGAACATCGCTATCGGCTTTAGCGTTCAGCTTGAGCCTATCTGCCTCGACAAGAGCCTGTGGCAGACCGAGACCAACGTCGTCGAGGCCGGTGAACTGGATGGATGATTCCTTCCTCCAGCCCGTGGAGCAAACCATACCGTCTGCTTCCAGAATCTCTCCAGAGGACAGCACCACCTTGCCTGGCTCAAGATGGTCGATGTTATCAATGTGTACCCGAATCTTGCCGTCCTTCACTAAGTCAAACAGGGGAGTGTCATAGTTCAGAATGCTCAGCCCGCTCCCGATCCAAAACGCCGGGTTCCACGGCTTCAATTTGGCCAATTCTGGATGTGAATCATAGCGGATGGCGCCCAACACGTCTCCCTGCAAGACCTTCCAAAAGCAATCTACCAAAAGCCTGCCGACTCTTGTCCCGTGCAAGAAATTTATAGCCCCGGCGTGACCACCCTCTGCGCCCCATGGACACGGGCTAAACCACGTTAGACATCGCGTATTGAGCAGCGTGTCCAGCCTTCGCTTCAGCGGCGTGACGAACCGCGGTGAAATCCACACCGGCCCATGCCCATTCGGCCGGATAACGAGGTCAACCGTTGCACCAGCCTGCACAAGCGCGTAGGCGACGTCGTATGCGGACTTCGCGCCGCCAACGACGACGGCCTTTTCAGCAGTCTCGAATTCTGCAGCACGACGGCAGAAGTCCTTGGCATGGAAAAGCGGTCTGTCAAAGGCCTCGGCTCCAGAGTATTGGGGAAAGTTGGGCGTGGAGGTGAGGCCGGTGGCAAGAATGAGCTTGTTGGTGGTGACTTGGCGCTGTGTCTTGTCGGGGACAGTGGTGGTGACGGTGAGTCTCCAACCCGTGATATCACCGGATTCAGACTCGGGGGAGCGTAGGGCCTCGACGTTGTCGACCTTGGTGTGGAATTGAATGCGCTCCATCACACCGTACTTCTTCGCGAAGTCCGTCAGGTAGCGGTGAAGCACGGCGCCGGGGATGTGGCCGCCCTCTTTGACGCCATAGACGTCTTCGGACATGGGGAAATCAGGATACTCGTACGATCCCACCATGTTGTTGGACTTGAGCCCAGGGTAGAGACGAGCTTCCGACCAGGTGCCTCCACAGCTCTCGGCTGACTCCAGCACGGCGATGCGCTCATGTGCATGAGTCTCTATGTAGGCCCTGGCAGCTGCCAAGCCGAACCAGCCTGGGAGTTTCTGTTAGGATCAAAGGCGACCAGTGTGGAGGGCGAAGCTGCATACCGGCTCCGACTACCACCATATCATAATTCCACTCTGCCATGCTGAGATTCGCAGGCGATGAGACCCAATTCGATCTGTTGTCTAAGGATAGAAGGAGGCTTGCAGTGATTCTGCTTAATCATTGATAAGCGCAGCGAAGTTGTTCGAAGAGAGATGGCGGGCGCTGTTCTAGTCCCTCTTTGTCGCCTTTATGGTTAAGGGGGACGGACACACTGTCTCCTTAATCTGGCTGGCGGCTACTGGGCCGCTGAACATCATTACCAAGCCCATAACCGACGTGGCTATCTGGCACCATAGAATCAAGATAATGGTCAGTCCTGTCGATGAGCCTCCACGCAACCTCCAATGCGCCCCTAAACTAGAGTTTGCCTTATCTCTCCGGCGCTGCTGTGGGGTCGCGCGTCTCGACCGGCGGCTTGGTCGCAGGGAAGGATCCTAGACCGGCTGATTGTGGGGTGCATGGAATGTCGAGATACGAAGGTTGATCGTTGAGCGGATGTATCTGGCGTGTCGGCTGTTGCACCTGCGAATAGCAAGCATATCCCTGCGCACTAGTCCGTAGTGGCAGATAGAGCTCAGACTCGGGCGGCATCTGCCCCATGAGGAGAAAAGGCACCTCCCTAAGCGCACAGCGGTGCTCGCCGTCCTTCCGGTGCTCTTTCTTTGTGATGAAACTGCTTCGGTGAGGTTTATTACCAGTTGGTTCAATTTCTTCGTAATCTGGGCGCTACTAGCAAAGAAGTAGCCCAAAAGGGCCATTGCGGTAACAAGTACTGTGGTATAAGGATAAATGTGATGACTCAATCAATATCGAGAAGTAGGCAGTGTAAGATTTGAATCAACCCTTTGCCGTGTTACCAGGTTTCGCCGGCATATTTGCAAAGGCCTTTAAATTTGATTCTTCGAGAGCCTGATCAGATATGCCTTCATTCAGACTCGGTCATGAGCTTCGTAATCTGGCGTATATAAACTCTAATCTGACTTCTTTTTAGGAGTAATTGACCAGGTCAGTTACTTAGATGGCTTGGGTTATCTGTATTATTCGCAGGACCAGACGCCGGGGGGGAATGAAAAGTCTACCCCGAGGGAGGTTTGTCCAGAAGTGTTTTGAATAGTATGCTAAATGAAGCCCTTAAAACATCAGGATGTGCAAGCTTGAGTCAACTGTGTAAGGAGCTTTCAAACACCGACGAAAGCCCACTCTCTGATATTTGCTGGAAATGTAGAAAAGACAATGGAGCCAAGATGATATTCGTGCTGTGAACTTCGGGAGGTCAACGAACAATATGAGATTGAGCTGTCTCCTTGTTAGCTTCTGTCAATGGTTTAGAGGGTTTAAAGGCACAGCGGTGGAAGTTGTTTTCATCTTATGGAGTATTTTGAGATCCCACACCTCAGCAATGCCCAGAAGCACTTAAATTCGCATGCTTTGTAAAAATATACTAAACTACTAGTAGCTGATGACCCCATCGATGGTTCCAGCATGTAAGCCGCCCGTAATCTGAATATCCGCTGCCGTTGTGTGCCTACTCGCATCGCTCAACAGGTATACCACCGCTCCCGTGAGATCATTCTGCGTGCTGAGTCTCTGCAGCGGCGGAGCCAACCACATCTGATCACCTTCTCTCTTGCTCTTCATATCCCGCACCTTCCTCGTCATTTCACTATCCACGAAACCGGGGGAAATAGTGTTCACACGGATGTTATGTGGGGCAAGCTCGACGGCCAGCGCTTTAGATAACATAAGTATACCACCCTTGCTTGCGTTATATGCTGCCATGCGACTGGTTGATTGTCAGAATTGTTTATTGTCTCTTCGGGAAAGGGCGGAAATATAAAGACACGGGCTGCCTGAGATTGTCTCTGACGCTTGAACGCATCATGACGGTCCAGGATCGCTCGAAAAGATGGAATTTTGCCTCTTGCCGAAACAGACTGACACCATTTTCCACTGGGAGACTTACTAGCCGGGAAGCGCGATGTGACTTGACTGCGAGGCGATGAGGACGATGCTGCCGCCTTTCCCTTGCGATAAAAATTGTTTTGTAGCCAGTTGAGCCGCGAAAAATGTGCCCCGGACCTGGGCTTGGCATTAGTGAAGATTCACTCAAGGCAGCGAAGGAGACACCCACATTGATCTCCTGTATTCTGGTAAACTCCTCCCACGTCTGCTCAACGAATGGCTTGTCAATGGCAATGCCTGCCGCAGGTACCAACCCATCTATAGAGCCCAGCTCCTGGACAGCTCTGGCGAATGCAGCGTTCAGACTCTCTTCTTTTGTAACGTCCGTCTGTATGTAGACTGTTTTTGTGCCAAAACTTTGGCTGAGGCTGTTCCACTCTTTCTCATCCACTGGCTTGTCCTGAATGTCCATCACGGCCACATTTCCGCCCATTTCACATATCGCTCGCGTTACTGCGAAGCCAATCCCTTGCGCGGCCCCCGTCACAACGTAATTGCGTCCGCGCAGTTCGAACATAGGACGAACATCTTCTAGAGGGTACGACATTTCCACAAATTGTCCTCTGGTGTCCAAGTTGAGAGAATGGAGTTTGAAAGCTTCAAGCGGGATTCCTTGATGGTGACAGGTGTCATTTAGTAGACGTATGGTCAACATCAAATACTTGAGCTCTCAGGAGAGCCTTGAAGGAGGGGGGAGGATTTTTTTTGCCTAGCGCCAGGGATGGCATCAGCGGCTAATACACCCATATCTCAAACAAAATCCGGAATGGGCAACGCTTGGCACATTGCCGCCAAAGCTAACGACGGAACGCACGGGGCTTCTAGCGCGTCTCCGCACAAGATGACTTGCTTTTACAGATAAGCGGTCGGCCCATTGCCGACACGATCATGAACGGCAGAGTCTGTAGGGCAAGCTATTTTCGACATCAAAGATACAAAAGATCAACTAAGATTGCATGTCGGAATCAATACCATTGAACACTCCCTATTCATCGATACTCATGGGAATACCTGGAAGAGTTGCCTCACCATGTTCAACGACATCAGCAAGCCCCCTCCTCCACTGCCGAGCCCGGAGCTCACCAAGATCATGCCCGGCGTGTCTCTCCTCCGGCCTCTGAGTCGCCTCGGCACTGGTCCCGGGATGATCATTCTAACACACGACTACCAGGACTCATTGGCCATCAATGAGGGTGTGCCATCACCGTTGGTCAAGTGGGCAGAGGAAGGATATGCTGTCATTGAGATCCAGGCCACAGCACTTACCACTGCTAAGGGAGATATCATCAAATCTGCCGTTGAGACCCTCAGAGATTGCGACAAATGCGAACCAAAAGATAAGGTTGGGCTTGTTGGTCAGTGTTCCTACTTCCAAACAACATTATGCACAACGTTAGCCAGTCTGACAAGCACTGCATACAAAGCCTATGAGCCCAAATTGTGGAACACAGTAGCATCAACTCTTTCAAATCATCATTCCATCGTTGCAGCCGCCGTGTATGCGGACGCACCGAATGAGCTGTCATCCGAATCTCTCGCTGGCCTATCAATCCCAGTAATACACCACCTCGCTGGCAAGGGCCCAGCTGTACCGCCAAAGTCAGATCTGTTAAAGCAGTATTTTTATCCTAATACCAAGTCCTATAAATTTGCTACCCCTTTTCAGCCCTCTTTTCACTATAATTCCGAAAACATCTCTCATACTCGAAACCTTACCCTCTTGAAAGAGAAGATGGGCGGTCCATATTTCGATTTGGAGTTTATCTGGGAAGAGCATACTTATTATGAGTTTGCGGACCGATCCATGGAACACACTATGAGTACTATGGTCCAGGAGCCATACGTGAATCATATACCAACAGTAAGCTGATAGGCTGGGCCTAAGAAAGAAAAAGATATTAGTACAAGGAAACTGACTATGGTCCTTCAGATGACCGGCGGTATTGGCCGCGCAAAACTCTCCCATTTCTACCAACACAACTTTATCTTCAACAATTCTGCGGATACCGAATTAGAATTGATTAGTCGAACAAAAGGCATTGATCGCATCATTGATGAGTTCATTTTCAAGTTCACCCACGATCAAATGATTGACTGGATGTACGTTGATCTGCTCTTTTTTGGTCCTTATCCTGCCTCAACCCCAAATTCTCGACTGATTTCTCTGCAGGCTACCTGGAGTGCCGCCTACGAATAAGAAAGTTGAAATTCCTTTCACAGCCGTAGTAAATATCCGCGGCGATCGGCTATACCATGAACACATAGCTTGGGACCAGAGCAGCGTCTTGCAACAGCTTGGCCTCTTGCCCGAATACCTTCCTTTCCCATATCGCCTGCCAGAGGAAATGGCGGCGGCTGCAAACAAAAGTTTCGAGTATCGCCTACCGGTAGCAGGTATAGAAACCGCTCACAAGATGAGGGACAGAAATGCAGGCCCATCGAACGAAATGTTCAAGTTCAAAATCCGCGAGGTCTGATTTGTATAAAGTGTACCATGTATATATAAATTCAAATCTTCTCCGCAATTATAAAATAAGAATCCACCTGACCTCAATTTGCCACCATCGGCGGCAGGTAACTTGCCCTTTGTGTCGTCTTCACGTTGAACTCTCTGTCAGCAGAAATATTAACCCACCTCTCCCCTGCAAACAATGTATACTCGGACTCTATGTGTGAACTGTTCGCCAATGCCTTAAGCACAAAGCCCGCCATTGTCATACTTCTCGGCCTTGCCCTCTGGATCGATGTCTTCCATAGTAATACTACAGATACATAAAATTCCATCCGGCTGTAGCCAACTGTCCCACTTTGTCATCATACCCTCGATTTGCTCTCTTCTGTGAACGATCAGTGGGAGAATGTGGAACACGGTATCGAACATCATTCCGTCGGGAGGATCGCATGCTCACATATCCACGATATAGAAGCGACTGACGGTATCGCATGCTTATCCTGGAAGACAATGGCATCGGAGATGTCAATACCAGTGAAAACGTGTCCAGAGGCTGCCAGTGACACTCCCACGCCTTTTCCTGTACCACAGCCCGCACCAAGAATCTAGGAGCTTGGTGGGAGGAGCGGGATAGTGTAGCCCAGGAAAGAAAGGAGACGATCATTGTGGCTGAACCCCGTCTCGTATTTGGGGGCCAACTGCACAAAGGGGTAGAACGACGTATCTGGAGGTTTCATCGCGGTTGGGTTTCGATGACTGATCTTTAGTTGATGCTTTCGTGGGCCCGGCTATGCTTGGCTATCCACGGAGCACCAAGGAGGCAGGATCATATCATCTAAACCAGTTTCATGGACAGGAGTTATCGCACGTGTTCATTCGGATAGTCTACAATCACTTTATTCGCCAAGATTCTTGACAACCGCACAGTGAAGTACATGCAGATATCGCGTAATTCTTATAAATTATCCGACAGTTCCTTCTGTTTACCCCTCCTTGCAGCCAGTCAAGTCTTTTCCATTGGATATACCAGGGTTGATAGCTTATCTCCTGCTTTTCCGTGGTCATATTACTCAATTAACTGTGAAGCGAAAGTGTTGAATTTTCCCTAAAGGGCGGTGACAATCCATTTTCAGGGTGCTAGAGACAGTTGGGAACCGCGTAGTAATAAAGATTGCATCAAGAGCAACCATTTCCGGCCTCATTGTTTGTAAGTGGCCCGGTGGCCTCATGGTGTAGCATGCTGTAGGCCAGGCCATCATATACTCGCGCTGCTCGAACTATTGCAGTGATTAAGAATAGCGACCTAGTTATAAAATGAAAACCAGCAAAACAATTGAATCTTTCAATGAACGGGTTCGAAGACACCGTTTTTTAAGTAAATTCTTTACGTCAACATCAAACTTAATCTCTTCCTCGTGATGAGCACCTGGCTACCTTAAAAGGTACATGCTTCATTCAGCAGTGTTCCCCAGAGCACCAACTTGCTATAAAGGATCATCAAAGCTCATTGCGTATCCGTCCCAAAGAATTCGCAGCATGAGGTCATTGTCTGCCGGTGATGCCCACTGTTCTGGGAGGAACTCAGACATAGTAATTGAGCTGAGGGTGTCACTTCCATCCCAGAACCCCGCCTCGCCGGCAGCAGGGTTGTCGTCCACGTTGAAGTCCGGCGTTGGGAGTTGCGACATACCCGTGCCTCCATTAAGAGGAATTTGTGACTGGCCCTGCCCTGTATCAACAACAATGGCACTCCTTTCGCAAACTCCGTCGAGGACTCCATTATCTTGTTTCTGTGCACTCACAGCAGACGCAAAATCATAGGACAATATTTGCTCGACAAAAGGAATCCCCGACTCATTCCGTTCTCGCCGTATTTGTCGCTTGTAGTTGTCGATAGCGTCGGAAAATGTAGAGAGGATCCTGTGATACTGCCGTGCCTGCGCGCTGAGCCGACCAAGGATAGAAAGGACGTGCTGCGACCCACGGAACGCCTCTCGGGCCCCAGTATCAGATGAATCATTCGCTAATAGGGCGAATCCTAACACCAAGCCTGCTGCAAATATCCATGCTTTGATAATACACATGTTACCCATGAAGACGCCGGCATCGACGGCTTCTCGGCACATCTGAGCCATGTAGATTGCAGCTCCAATACAAGAACGGGAGAGGTCGGCGACAGCGTCCGCTCCGTTGTTCCCTTTTCGATTATTCTGGCGTTGTCTCTCCTTTTCTTTGGATGCATTGCAATGCAACTGAGGCATGACATGCTGGATAAGAAATTGTCTTGTGACGAGTATGATACCAAAGTAGTACGTCCCTGCTACATGGACGTTCCCAATCATCTTCTCTCGGTAGCCTGGATCATCCTGCAAAGGTTTGTCTCCTTGTTGCGGCCGTTGGCGAAGGGATACGGGTAGTACTTGGCTCCACTCTTGTAGAAGCTGAAGGAAGTGCTCGGCCGAGGAAGACTCCAGAGCTCCGTCATCAGCAAATTTGCCAACGACGGTCTCGAGAATTGAACATGATTCGTAAGTAGCTCTGAGCGCCAGGGCTCGATGACAACTGACGCTGTGTTCCTGCTCGATATCACCAGAAGTGACATCAACACACCTCAGCGATGGAGCACTGCCCCGTCTTCCTAAAATGGAAGAGCATATGATGTCGAAAACTCTGATACTCTTGGCCACCCTTAGCCTGTGAAATTGGAAAGGTCAGAGTTATCCTAAAGGTTGAAAAATGATCTCATCAGAAGATAACTAACCTGGAATCTTGTTCAGCTTTCGGAGCGTGCTTGTGTTTAGCCGCGGTATGAAGCCCCAGGACATCGGCAGACTTCGCTGCAACACCCAGGTACATAAATGCCGAGTTTCGACGGCAGGCCCCAAACATATAAAATGCGAGGAGAACAAATGCCCTCGCCAGATTTATGGTTGGATCTTCCAGCATTTTCTCGAAAGCCATCTGTCTACCCCGATTGAAGTACTTAGAAGCAAGCATGCGGTCATCCCTTGACCCCCCTCTGACCTGATACCCGATTGCGAGCATGAGGTACAGTGAAGCAAGGGCTGCCCTGTCTATCGGTCGTGAAGCCGGCGATTTGTTGGCATTTTGTTCCTCTGTAGCCAAGCTTATAAGCTCGGTAAGCTCATCTTGACTGTACAGGTCCAGAAACCCGCTCGACTGTAAGTCTCTTAGCTGACAACGACGATCAAACGGAGCGCATGGAAACATGACCTACGGCATCCAGAAAGCAATTAATGAGACCCTTCTTTTCGTTTTCACCCAAGCCGTCGTAGAAGATCCCACCATCGACATCCGATCCAGTCATCTCAAACCAGTTATGACTATGTCGACGGTCGGTGAAACCGGATGGCCCAACATAATGTTTGATTGTCTTTTGTAAAAATCGTAAGAATGATAGTGCCGCTGTGTTACCGACGAAGACTAGTTTTGCCAAGTAAGTTAACTTGATTTGTATAGCAGGGCCATTGTATCGTAGATAGGGTAATTAAAAGCAACAAGCTTTCTTTAAATGTCAAATACATGGATTGCTCAATACCTTTGTCACCGCTCGAACTAGACAGCATCAAAGGTCGCTGCTGGTTGGCTCTTTCAACCGAGTTTCTTGAGTCTGGAACGTAGTCGGTCTCACTGTCTGCATCTTCGTCTACTACCTCGTCGACTTCCGCGTCTTGTGACGCAAGAGATCGGTCGCCAACCTGAGCTCTTGGCGGCTGAGCTGGTATGGTGAGTATTGATCTGAAACCCGCTGGAGAGGCATCGGTGGCAACAGCAATGGAGCTTGCCTGGGGTGACTTGGATTCAGAGTGCCGACTCCTCCTGCCCCTGGCCGTCGGCCTGTATGTGCACGTGTCCTGGGTCCCTTTCTTGAGACACAATCGACATGGCTGGTTACCGTCACATCTCTTCTTCGAGGCCTTGCAGGCATCACATGCTCTAGCTGAGCGCTGTCTATCCTGCGGCTTGACCTTGGGTCGTGGCATGGCTGGAGTCAACGACACAGTCGCTGCAAGCGGCGGAACGGAGGTCCTGGAGGCTTTCCGGAGCAGAGGACCCACTGGCGAACAGGCCGAAGCGGAGCCGGGCTTGAGGAATCTATCGGTAGGCACCTCGTACGATATACGGCATTGAACGGATGTTTACCGCAGCGGGCAATGTCTTGTTCCCTTCAATACTTGGCTAGCATTGCTGAAATGAGGCGGGACGCGGATCCTGAGGACTAGGGGCTTCAGCCGAAGCGGAGCGGCAAGAGATAAGCTCGCCCGTTGCCGACTCCTTCGGCAATTCGCCTTCTCCAAATACCTGTCCATCTGAGTGCATCATCCGCAGGGCTGAAACTCTTCAGTGGTCGGCCAATTTTGAGTAACCGCGACACGAGTGCGGAGGTATCGATCGGCGAACTAACCAACAATATCCGAAAGGTAGGAGTAGCACCGTTTCGTTATCCGCATTGAAAGGGTTGGAGGACATTCGACATCGTTATAATGGACACCGAAATCATCACGATGGTCGAACACATTGTGCATCGACTGACACAGCCCACGTTGAACCCGGCGGCCCCTGACCATAACACTACTCTATAATTCTGCCACACAGCATTCTCTCGTTAGCACCTATAGTACCTCCATATCATTTTTAACTACAACTCACTCACTACGGAAAATGGGCTCTTACTCCGACCCAAGCCCTGCATGGCGCCACCTCAATGTGGGTGTTGTCGGCGGCGGTATTGGTGGCATGTCTGTTGCTATTGCTCTTCGTCGTGCTGGCCACAGTGTGACCATCTACGAGAGAAATGACTTCGCTGGGGAGGTTGGAGCATCAGTATCCTGCGCTGCCAATGGAGCCCGTTGGCTACACGAGTGGGGTGTCGACGTCGAGCAGGGCGACCCCGTCGTTCTGAAGAAACTCATCAACAGGGGCTGGAACACGGGTGAGCCGGTCAGCGTCTATAGCCTGGATGACTATAAGGAGAGATGGGGATACCATTATTATATGTTCCACCGTCAATACATGCATGAGATGTTGAAGAATTGCGCCTTGCAGGAGGAGGGAGAAGGAGAGCCAGCCAAGTTGTGTGTGAACCATAAGGCAAGTCAAACAAATATTTCTGTGATAACGAGGGTCGGGCTGATTTGAAAATTCAGTGCGAGAATATTGACCTCAAAGCTGGTCTTGTCACCTTCGTGAACGGCCATACAGCTCGACATGACCTCATCATTGGCGCCGACGGAATCGGTTCGGTAGTGCGCCGACTTATTGGCCTCACTCCAGATAAAAAGCCAGCAGACTCTTCCTGTCTCCATGCTAATGTGCGGACAGAAGACGCTGTTCGTCTAGGCCTCGTTGACTATTCAAAGAATGCGGCACTAGAGTACTGGGGTGGGCAAGAGGGCAAGTGGGACAAGATTGTGCTCAGCCCATGCAACGGTGGCAAGTTATTGTCCTACTACTGCTTCTTCCCACGTGAAGCTGGCGACTACACCAGTCAAAGCTGGGGCGGCGACGATAGACCAGTCGGAGAGCTGCTGGCTCCGTATCCGCAACTAGACAAGCAAGTTAGAGATCACCTCGCCATCAGCACCGAGATTCAACCGTGGCGGCTGTGGATACAGTAAGTATTAGAGATTCATAGCGCTCTAGGTCCACATGCTAATTCCTCAACACTTAGCCAACCGTATCCTTACATCGTCAAGGACACAACATGCTTGCTCGGCGATGCGGGCCATCCGGTGCGTTTCAACCTAACCGCCCCCACAGGTTTTCAGACGCCGAGCTGACTTCACTATCAAGATGTTCCCACATCAGAGCCAAGGCGCCTGTATGGCCATTGAAGATGCTGCCGCACTAGGCATATTGTTCAGCAAGCCGTACTTCAACGGCGACGTCACTGAGGCCCTGGGGGTGTATCAGAAGATCCGCCTACCACGAGCTACCAAGGTTCAAGCCGCTGCAGCAAAAGCTGCGGTTAACATCAACGAAAGAATCGGTACGTCAAAGCTGTCTCAGCCTTTATAGGTTTCTATTCCTTCGGACTGACGCAAGATTTCAGGATTCTCCAGTAATACAAATTTCAAGGGGTACAAGGTTGCAGATGAAAAGCAAAAACTAACAATCGAAGAGATGAATGCGTAAGCTCTAGATGCGACGCTGAAATGGCATTGATGGATGGAAAGGATGCTAACTTCTCACTGTAGATATGATATGTACAAGGATATCGAGGAGATTTTGGCCGAACAAAGGCACACATCATACACTGACAAGTACATTAAGGGGCTGCCAGTTGGTTTGAAAATGTCAAACGGTGTCACAGTTGGGAAGGATTAAGAGTTAACGAAGGAATCTTTAAGCATAACTCAGACCTATTTCACACAAATGAGAGGTACCTTGGTCATGTCTAAACATGACCTGTTTATGTACAAGTAGTCACTTGAGAATTCCCGCAGACTGGAACCACTTAAACTTATGCAAACAATAGCCCGCATGCTCTCAATTATTTACAGTTTTGGCAACGGGGATGCACCTGTTTCGGACACTTCCTCAGGCTAAGCACATGCTTGGTAAGACATCAGGCCTGACAAGTGTTCGTGGTGCACCGGGCAGTACGTAGGTGTCCGTCAGGGGCATCATGCAGGAGGCATTGTGTTGCGGTACTCATACCCAAATCGCGCCGGAGGCGTGCACCTGCCAAGTCATCGGCCCCGCGGTAGAGGCCAACAACACTTGCGAGGTACTGAGATGGGGTAATAGTACTGAGTAGGTCCTCTCCGCGTTGGTCTACGAGACGCCTGCGGCCCACGAGACGACGGCCAGCCTTGACTTCATCAGCCGGCAAGCCTCGGGTATCTCGAAGCCCACTTTTCAGAAGATCCTACGGCAGATTAAAATACCTTGACAGCAATGAACCGATTGCGCTGCTCCCCAACGTGAAAGTCACTACCCATAACGAAGTGGGAACATGCTGCCAAATCTGAACTGTAATAGCACTTGTATGACAAATGGTAAGTCTGTGCTGGGGATAGGGAGCTCATGGTGATTACAGATTTCTCATTATCATCCTACCATACGCTCTCTCTTAATGAGCAGATGTGAATTGGTAGTATAGATACAGATTAGTTCTAGCCCAAGCTGTTCCAGATGATCTTCAGTCGCATAGGTTGCTACTCAAAACAGAGCAATGAACTCTTTCATGCTTTTAAGCATTTTACAGCGAAGTATGATTTACTGTATTATGGAGCGAATCAATAGTATTGAGAATTTATTTTACCTTGCATATACAAGCTGAGAGAATGTATTAGATTACGTCGTTGTGCTACTTAGTTTCCCCCGATTCTGCAATGAGATCAAAAGTTTTGAACTGGCGAGCGGGAATCTGCCTTTGGAACAGAATATCCAATTCTTCGTACGTCCTTCCCCGACTCTCCGGTAGCCGATAGTAACACCAAAGTAGGCACAAGAGGCTGATACCACCGAACAGGAAACCAGCCTTCCCACCCCAGTTGCCCTCGTCGCTATTCAGCATGTAAGGGACCGCGATTGTGAATATGATAGACGCTGCTGCTTGCACGGCGGTCCCGATCGCAATTGTCTTAGTCCTCAATCTGGTTGCCGAGATTTCCGAGATGATAACGAAGCAGATGGGTCCTACGGTCATTTGGTAGATAAACGTCCAAACATCCATCATTGTCGCCATCGCCCAGACAGCTCCAGTATTATTCGAGGGGATGCTGAGAAACCCGATTATGAAGAGGATAGTCGTCATTAATACCATGCCGCTATTGTAGATCGTCCGACGGCCCAATTTGAACTAGCAACCATCAGCTTCTTTTCTCCACAGAGGTTTCAAAGGAATAGGTGTGGCATACATAGGCCATCAAAGGCCAGGAAATCAACGTGCCCACGAACCCCATGGCTGTATTGCCAACACCCACTAAGAAGCATCATGTCAGTCTTGTCGTTGGTTGTGCATCCCTTAAGGTGGTATAAACTTACTATCGAACGCATTCGAGCTGGACAGACCGGCTTGTTCAAAGAAGTAATTGGCATAGCCAATGAGCGGGTTACCACCAATGACCTGGATGAGATAGACCATAACTGATATTTCGGTTCTTGGAAGGTTGCTGCCCCTGAAACAGTCAATATACGTCGTCGTAGACTCCATTTCCTGTTCCAGCAAATCAGTTTGCTCGATTCCCAGCAGCATCTGTTCAATGTCCGGACGGTTCTTCGCCGAGGTGAGTCGCAGCAGGGATTTCCGGGCGTCTTCTATCCGACCCTGTCGAACAAGCCAGTATGGAGACTCAGGGGCAAACGGCAGAGCAGCCAGGATGACCACTGGCCAGACCCATTGGACCGCCTGGACGATGTCAACAATTGTTGGCGAGCCGAAAGGTCATGCATGATCACTCACGAAAGGGATTCTGTAGGCCCACTCATCCAATCGGGTTTCAACGCCCGCCGCACAACCCTGGCCGATGAACTGTCCGATGACAAATGCCAGGTTCACAGACGCTGTCAACACACCGCGCAGTGCAAGCGGGCAGATCTCCGAGGCGTATGTCGGCGCGATAACGACGTAAAACCCGTATGCCAGTCCTCCAAGGACTTCACCCGCACATAGCATCCCGATGGATGAGGCGAAGAACTGCACAAAGACAAATATGATCGAATAGACGCAGCACACTGCAAGGGGAATGCGCCGGCCCCAACGCTCCATCGGCCATCCGCTTGCAAGAGCACCCAGGATCTGACCGATGGGATTTCCCATGCCAAGGCCTGTCTGCCACTGAGCCGGGATCTCATATGAGTTTGTGCCGTCCACGGGCTTGCCGTATTTCTGTTGGAATGCAGGTAGCGCATAAAACGACGTGATTATTTGCGCATCGAAGCCGGCCATGATCACGGCGATGCAGAAGAATCCCGCCCAGAATGTTGCGGCCGGGTACTGCCTTACGGCTTGCCAGAACCCGGTTTCGTGCTCGATGGTTGTAATCTCCCGCGTGGCGTCGATCTCGAGGACGCGGGTTTGCTTAGGCGACAGCTCCCCGGGCGCGACATGGCCGCCTTTCTCTGGGTTTGTGGCGGACATGTCGATCAACTATTGTGACTTCTAGCCGCTGAGGAGTTTGGTTAGTGGAAGTATTCTAAAGTGCACACGTGCGACCCTTTATATAATGTTCCGGCGGTCGATCGCTGATGCATCCCTCACAGATGGAGCTGGGATTGGATCTAGGGTCTCCACATCGAGATGGTTGTCCTTTTTCGCCGTGGATGTTGTCAGAGTTTTATTTCTAAAAGATCTGTAAGATAGCGTTTGTTCAAGTTGCGGTCGACGCGGATCAGTATCCCCCCAACTCAGCCAGCTCAGACCACGCTGTGGCAGTTCTCTTATCTTGATAAACTCTCGAGAACGGCAGCGCCTGCTATAGCACCATTCACCGGCAACTATATCTCTATCCTCATGGTTACATCGCGAAGGTGTCATGACTCTTTTCACTGGACGGTTACATTATTTTGGTAGTATACTTGACATGCCGTGCGGGGGACTTAGGATGTCCTTCCCCAATGTGCGGTCTTTGGGAATCCTCACTGGCATACATGGATATAGATACCTTGAGATGTAGCCTTGGTCTCGTGGTACTGCCCATCATTTGTGCTTGATAAGGCATGTTTAACGAGCCAAAACAGCCGTGTCTTAGCCTTTGCTTTGGGATTCGACAATTTTTCAACAATCCCGCGAAAGATACTGGGTACTGGAAGTATGGCCGCCGCACAAGCCTTGTTCGACCCGGCCCTTATCTCGGCCGAAGCGAAAGCTGCGTTCCCGGGATCCTACGTCGTCCGTCCGTTGCAGCGGGATGACTACAGAAAAGGTTTCTTCGACTGCCTGAGTGTGCTGACGCACGTTGGCGACATCAGCGAGGACCGATTTCTAGAGCGCTTCGACTGGATGGCGACACAAGGAAAAGGGGTCCACTATTTCCTGGTTATCGAGCACGATAACCGAATAGTGGGGACAGGAACCCTGATTGTGGAAAGGAAATTGTAGGTGACGGGACAGGAATTGAGTCAAACGTGCGGAGAATATCGCTGACAGCACATTGGACCCAGCATCCATAACCTCGGCACGGTTGCCCACGTCGAAGAGGTTTCCATCCACAGAGAGTACCAGTCCAATGGCCTCGGTTTCAAGCTAATCAGAGCGCTCTCATCGGTGGCAAAGAATGTGGGCTGCTATAAGTCCAAGCTGGGTTGTAGCGAGGCCAATGAGGCGTTTTACGTCAAGTGTGGATATGATAAGGGCGGAAGAGTAATGTCGGAGTCGTACGAAGGTCCCATGCCGGCATACGAGAGAGGCTGATAAAACATAACATCCGCGTAAAAGGGGCTTGGCCAATTTCGTTTCATTAGTCCAGGTTCAGTATAGACCTTCGTGCGGAGTAAAGCAAAGCTTACTTCGACGATCGATGCATGTGAGCAGATAGAACGTTACATCCAAATTCTTAGTAACAGGAACCCACCACATCTGATTCGACAAACACTTTACCATGAAACTGGCCTCAGCTCTGTGCATCCATCTCGTAATATATGGTTTTGCTCAGGTTCCTCATTACTGCCGTTAGATATTGGAAACTCATTGAATATTCTGGATTTGCATTCCACTATCCTTCTTTTTTCCCTCGGTCATGGCTCCTCACGCCGACTTGGATGAAAATGGAGAAACTGTCGTCCGCCTGCCCGCACCCGAAAGACCGCCCTTCTCCTCATCCCCGCCGCGCATTCTAATTATCGGCGGGGGAAATCGAGGCCTTGTGTACTCCAAGGCAATCCAGAAAAGCACCAACGGCGTCATTGCCGGCATCGTGGAGCCTATTGCTGTGAAGCGACACCACATCGGTCGGAAATACATCTGGGGCAACAAGAAACCAGCCGAGGGCCAGGAGTTCCAAAACTGGACGCAGTTCATACAGTGGGAGACGGAGCGGCGGCTGAAAGCCACGGCTGGCCGAGGCGTGCCAGCCGGAGTGGATGCTGTATTCATATGCGTGCAGGACCAGATGCACCGGGATGTTGTCCTGGGTCTGGCGCCATTGAACCTGCACGTCATGTGTGAGAAACCTCTTGCTCCAAATTTGGATGATTGCGTGGCGATATACAAGGCACTTCTGCCTGACCCATCGGTAGCGCCGTCAAAACTCTTCTCCGTCGGTCATGTCCTCAGGTACAGCCCGCACAATATGTTGCTACGGAAGCTTTTAGTCGAGGACAAAGTCATTGGCGACGTTATGGCTGTCAACCACACAGAGCCCATAGGTTGGAATCATTTTACTCATAGTTATGTGAGGTAAGTCGCTGAACCACGGGGCTTTGTTCCTTGACTTTGACTAACAAACAGCTAGAGGAAATTGGCGAAAAGAATCCATGTCTGCACCGTCTCTTCTCGCAAAATCGTGCCACGATATGGATATACTTTATTGGCTGTTGGCTGTTGGTGCACCAGGGTCTTCGAAGCCAATCCATGTCCCCCGAGACATCACCTCTTCTGGATCGCTTCAGCACTTCAGGAAATCCCGAAAACCAGTGGAGGCCGGAGATGCTACAAACTGCTTGTCTTGCGCCTTCGAACCTTCCTGTCAGTTCTCCGCCAAACGAGTATACACCAGTCCGCAACTAAAAGGACAAAATCAGGATCGTTGGTCCCGGATAGCCTGTCCGGACATGGAGGAATATATTACTTCTCGCGGTCCTGACGCCGGAAAGGAGGCGTTGCTCGAGAAGCTTAGAGAGGACTACGACTTGCACGCGCCCCCGGATGTGATCAGTAGTCGAAACTGGTTCGGCCGCTGCGTATACGAGGCCGACAATGATGTGTGCGATAATCAGACAGTCACGCTGAGATGGGAAGACGATCCCGTGGCAACTGAAGGAGAGTCAGACCTCGAGGCGCTGGCAGGCAGGGGCAGCAAGACTGCAACGCTGCACATGGTGGCCTTCACAAAGAAGATATGCCAGCGTTTTACTCATATATATGGAGCAGACGGCGAGATCTCCGCAGATAGCTCGTCCATTGCGGTTGAGGACTTTAAAACTGGACAAAAGAAGGTCTATTATCCATACGTACCCAAAGATGGTGGACACGGCGACGGGGATGAGGGGCTAGCCCGTCAATTCGTTCTAGCCGTCGACAAGGTTAAAAATCACGGTTGGGATGTAGCATGCGCCCAAAAGGAGTATATTGGTTGTTCCTTGGAGGACGTGATAATGAGCCACAGCATGGTCTTTGCAGCAGAGGAGGCAAGGAAGAACAGGACAGTGGTAGACTTTCCAAGCTGGTGGGAGGAGATGGTTGTAGCCAAACTGAAAGCATAAATAAAGCCGCTGCTTTTCTTTTCTTCCTCTTCCTCCGCTTCTTCCTCTTGTCTTTTTTCCTTTACTTCTTCCCCACTTTTTGAGATCTTTCTCAATACCATGTTTTCAAACAACAACTGCACAAGTGCCTCGTTGGTTTTGTCGATGACAGACCAAAGCGACGATGACTACTCAGAATTCTTCAATCGACCCTCAATACCTTTTTCAAGCAGCAATCGTGAAACCTCCGTTGGACACTTAATAAGAGCATGGTGGAGCGCTATTTTGTTATTTTTGTCTGCCAACCGGAAATTAGCACCCCTTTCAAGAAATAATTGTACAATGGTTGAATCATAAGCTGATATGAAGTGGAGTCTCGTTCAAAAAGTTTGTTGAATCGACCTAGCACCGCTTTCAACCAAAACTCGTATAATTGCTTCACAATTATGAAAAGCAGCGATATGCAGCGATGTTTCTTGTGTTGATCTTAACCCACAACCGGCACGGCTCTCAAGCAGAAATCGTACAATAACCTCATGTCCACTTTCAGCGGCAAGATGAAGCCGATGTAGTCCTCTGAATCAAGATCGGGGCTTCCTGGAGCAACATCCGGATAATGAACTCGTAGCCACGCTCAGCGGCCGATTGCAAGGCGTCCTAAAGCTGCCAGGCCCTTCTGCGGACTTCGCCGTCTCGTGTCTTCTCAGGCAGTATTTGGGCTTTGTAATGTTCAGCGTAAACCGAATATATTGGAATGATAGTTTTGAGTTGTGATTTTGTATCTCCGTGTTGTGGTTGAAAGTACAGAAAGTATTTGATTTTGCCCTACACAAATATTTTTCTCTGCTCTTTAATATTTTGCTGGAGTCACTGATGTGCTCTGACTATGGTCACAAATGGATAACGGTACCCTAATAACCTGCATGTGTAGTCCATAATCATTGCCCTTGGTGACCCAGATACTCTCATTCACTGATTAGCTTGAGGAGGGGATTCACTGACCTTGTTCTTCATATAAAAAGCCGTAGGTTTCAACTATTTGCAGATCATCGGAGCTCAATTTCTTCTACCCAAACAGAGTCCAGAATACCAGCACTTGAGCCTTTTTTAACTGACACCACCCAAAGACAACACACGCTAGTCATCACGATGCGAATGGTCACCAACCTCATGCTTCTTAGCCTCGGACTTGCTGGCCTGGCTCAAGCAGAAGATGGCAGATGTGTATGTCCCACCGCAGCACAGATTTCCCCTGGTCCAAGAAGCTTAAAGAACACCGCACCTGCTTGAATCAGTGGCGTGAACTTCAACAAGCACCTCTATGGCCATATTCAATGAGTCCTCATGGCGATTGCTATTTTCTGCTTGACAGGTTTTGACTTATAGAACTTCAGTGCCGACCAGGATGTAAGGATTGTATTTACACGCCCTGCGGCCCGAATGGTGACTGCAGCAACCTCTGGGTACGTGTGCTGATACTCATATCTGTGTACCACCGTCATACAGCTCCACTCTGTGGATTATTCCCTACATGAAGTTCCACAAGATGTTCCTATCTCATTTGCTGAACAAATTATAACAGTGGAACACCTGCTGCGCTGAGTCGAAGCGTCCCCCCGAGCTTGAGGTTTTTGAGGGGAACATTAACTACCTTGGGAAGTTTGCGGCTGGTCGAGGCGATAGTTGAGAGACGCATATGTGGGCTTCAATTGTGATGGGGTTTTGCCTGGACATGATAGGACAGAAATGCCAATGTTTAGGCAACATGAAAAGAGTGAAATGTTTGTGTAGTGGAGAAACATATGCAAACATAGCCCAATAAACACAAATATTACAGCCATATGCAATTATGTAAGATCTATTATTAGTAATCTGAGGTCGGCAACGGTCGACGGAGTTCAAGACCCCAAACCCAAACCCCAAAACCAACAAACACTGACCTCAACTTTCACACCGTGCCGCCTTCCTTCCAAGCTTTCCATTCTTCTTTTCCAACCTTATTTTTGCACTCACCGCCATGGAAGCTCTCTCACATGCCACATAGCATACCGTCAAGTATGCAGGGGTCACAAGACGCTCGAGTTCCTCCAATCCTCCGACTTCTCCCCGCTGTACGGCATCGTATTTACCCCCACATTCATCCTGCACTGGGGGGCTTGCGCTTTCAATTCCGCCTCGACAGGCGGAGCAAACGGGAACTCATGAGGTTCCACTCACTGCTCCTATCATGTCACACAATCTATGAGGAGATTGCCGAAGTGCTTTATTCTACCAACGTCTTCGAGATATCGTACAAGAGTGCAGGGTCTCTCCGTCGAGTGCGAAACCTGAAGGATGCATCTCTCTCGTCTCTAAGGGAGCTTAAAGTTGTGCTCAATGAAGCATCCTGCCATCATGAAGAATGCTTCGACTGCTGCGAGGATGTGATGGACGCTTGGTCAAATGGCGCCTCGTATATATTACGCTCGGAGCGCCACGCGGACTTGCATGGCGAGGCACTGCGGCCCTTGGACGACTCAGCAGCCTCTGTGTTTGCCGAGTGGAGGCTCACCGCTGCTTATATTTGGTCTCGAATTACGCCGGAGCGTCTGAGTATTTCACTTGTATGCGACTTCGACCCTGAACATGAGAACACGCCTTCAGCAGCGAGACTAGCTGTGGCGCCACTTATCAATCTATCACCGTTGAAAGGCTGCTATGTCAGACTCGGTAGAACACCGCATCCTGAGCTGAAGAAGATTGCTCGAGAAACGGTCCTCAGAGCTTTGGGGATAGTCGACCGCGAAGAGTTGGCATTGACTCCAAACACCATGGCTGTTGGAGCGGATTCGAAATTCATGAGTCTTCCCCGGGAAATACGCTTTCGCATTCTCGAATACACTGACCTCATAACACCTTGGAGGGAGGTCAGATGGACCAGACAGCGCAGGGGATATATCCCCACACTTACAAACTGCATTGTTGGTGATTGCCCGCCGCAGTTGCACAGTGGATGTCAATTCCGAAAATGCCGGATTGGCATCGGACCACCAAAATTTGTTGACCCCCGGCAACGGGTCGGATGTTTCTGTCGTGTTCGCCACGCGGCTTTCTCGTTCAACTGTCAATGCTGGAGTCCACCGACTGACCTTTTCCTCGTCTGTCGCACGCTGTACAGAGATGCACAAGCGGTCTTCTTCACTGGTAATCGATTCGTTGTCCATGACTACAAATCGGAGACTCCTTACCACACGCCTGGTATGCCACTATATCCGTATGATCGTTTTGCCATCAGCGATTTTCTGAGGAGAGTCGTATCTGTTGACTGCCTACACCTGATACGCTCCCTGGAAATGACTTTCCCACCGTACAACCAGGAGTGGCCACTAGAAGGCTGTCCGGCATTACGCGACTGGGTGGAGACCGTTCGCTTCATCAAGGAGAATATGAACCTAGAAGGCCTGACTATACGTCTGACCATGTACGGTGCACCCATAATAGACTATGCCGGGGCTCGTGAGGACATGACAAGTCCCGAGGCACGAGAGGTCCTGCAGGCATACGCCCGCATCCTGGGCCCAATGACCGGGTTGGGTGATGAGGGCTTGAAGAGATTTTATGCCGAGATCGTACTGCCTGAGCAGTGGACCTCATGGTTCCGGGACAAGGACTCCACCGTCGAGCATTTCACGGTCCGCATCACTAAAGAAGAGCGACAATTGAAAGAACGGGCTGAGCAGTTGGTAATGGGCAGTCGATATGCTAAGCAGCCTGAAGATGCGTGCTACTGGGACGGGGTCTCCCGTGAGCCAATTGATAGTGCTTGGCGTCGTAAATTTGTCATTAGATATTGAATACCAAGTCCTGAGCCTTAGTCATTACAGAAGTATAGACGGAACATACCCCCGCCTTCTTCTCTATGCCTAGCGATTTACCACACTTGAAATATATGTTTCCATGGAGATCTGTTGCTACTATGTATCAACATAATATCTCACATAGATTATCTTCTAATTAATATATTATTTAATTATATTTGCTTGTTATGAACTATTTATTATGTAGACTAAGCGTTATTTTACGGTCTAGTAGATGCACTCAAATAATATAAACAGTCAATAACTATCCACAAACGACGTCAATGATTCTAACTTAACGGGCACTCCAGTCGCCCCGGTTGCCTCTACTTTTGCTTTCCTCTCTTCTGGCCCGCTGGGCATCATCGTTAACGTAAATGAATTCATTAAGAGAGGCTAGTGAGGTCCCTTCAGATACCGATAAGGTATCGGCATGAATAAGATAGCGTTGTCAAGCACCGTGGACAGAATATTGCAATATATCGTCTCATCATACGCTTGGATAGTTTTGTGCGGTGAATATTTGAATGGGTACAACTTGCGGAATTCCGTTGCCGAAAGCTCGTGTAACCGCGTTCAACGAGAAGGTTGGGACATCTCTGCGCACGCTTGGGATTTCGAGCCAGCTGTGCTCCTCCATGAACGTCCCATCGCATCAGACTGACGGATTATCTCATCCCAGACGGACTTCATAATGCTCTCATTGAATGGTGCTGCCGTAGCTTTGCGATGACGAGCCCAACCGTCGGTGCCAGCCGTGGAAATATAGAGGCCGTAGACATTAAATGTGTCAAGTCGTGTAAGTGTCTACTCAATCATGTTCACAGCCAACTGTCGAATTGGTGCAGGCATCCGGAAGAAAATCACCCATTGTACTGGTGGACCGGCCGTTGAACATCCCAGCTCCTCGAAAAGACGTCATTGATTGCCTGCGGGTCTGTAAGACGCAGATTGATGGCCATAGATGTGACAGTTGCCCAGACTAGGCTACATTACAGTACCGCATCCGCCTTCTCTCTAAAATCCCATCTGTGGTATGAAAAGACGGACAATCTTTGGGTGAGATGACCATTTGATGGGGAGCCGATCCAGCACAGCCCAGATATGAGATTGAATGACGATCCATGGTACATATCCCACGGGGTCAATTGGGATCCGTATGAGGGGGATGCTCATGCAGCGAGCTCTCTTCACATTGGTCTCTAGGCTCACGAAACGCCAGACCAGATACACAAGGGCGGGGCCAAGACATAATGTATAATATCACAGTGGCGTGGACAGCGCGTCGATGCTGTAAGGCAGAGAGAGAGAAAATCTTGCTTGCAGTGGAGAGATGTCAGAACAACTCGGCGAGTTTGGTGTGCCTCAAGACAAGGTGATCGAGCATATTGACGAGAAAGAGCCCGCGTATTTCCCGTTGGATTTGAATCTCAAGCGGCGTGACTGGTTGCTCTCAAGCGATTGCGGCGCAGGGGTTCTATGTTTTAATGAAGTTGGTGCCTTTTGCGACTGCGAGTGACTGCCTTTCCACCATACTGTGTAGTATTGTGTTGGTGTAGGGATAATGGTGCGACAATCAATTGGGCTTTCGTGCCACCTTCACTATTCCTTGCACACAGGCGATGCGGCGCTACCACGGTCTACATCTGCATTTTGTGGATCAAAAAGAATGACAAGCGAGTATAGACCCTCATCGATTTCAGTACTTGGGGGATACAGAACGTAGTACATATTGTAAAGGTCAAAGACCACACTGAGTCTTGCCCAGGACATTCGCAATGCGCCAGCGAAGACTGTCTCATTTCTAATCCAATCACTAATTTGCATCGGGCGTATCAGGACGGAAATGCGATCTGCACCTTAGAGTGTGGAACCCGGGGTACCAAATATCTGTTGTCGAATTAAACCACAATTCGTTCTATCATTCTATTGTGGGGTAAGTCTGGAATCAACACAGAGTACTGTGCCTTACAAGGTGGGTGGAGCTGACAGATCCAGCCCCCCCCCCCCTGTAGCTCTACAAGCAATGAATGTGCCATGGTAAGGGAGTGTTCTGTTCGATTCTGAAAACGTAAGTCGCGTAGGCATATTGGTCCGATCAGCTGAAGTGGGGACCAACCTGTCATCTCCGGAAGGTCAAGGTAGATAAAGTCTGGTCTGCGCTCACAAGGAGAAACAAGTCTGAACTGATTAATTGCTACTTCTTCCTCTTTGGAACACTGTAGTCTACTCAGATTATCCCAAACAACAATCTTCCGAGCTTACAGATGTCATCTAAGTTATCTCTTGACGGTGGCATCGCCTTAGTGACTGGAGTGAGTTATCTGATTCCCCGCCTCTGCGATATTTTGTTGACAGTTCTGTGAAGGCTGCCTCTGGTATCGGCAAAGAGACTGCATTCACGTTTGCAGAGGCTGGTGTACACGGTGTTGTTTTCGCGGACATCAATTATGAAGGCGCAAGGTATGCCGCTGAGGTGAGCAAGGGATATGCCAGGCATACAGAGTATCGAGCTTTTGCAGCCAATGTGGATATTTCCGATTCTGAGAGTGTACAAGACCTTATTGTAACCACAGTCAAGGAGATTGGGCGCATCGATTGCGCTGTTATTAGTGCGGGGGTAAGTCTGGCCTTAGTACTTTCTGCGTGCTGTACAGCAGGGGATACAATGGCTAAGAGTCACATTTAATCGCAGATTGATCTAGAGAACTTTGGGTCCTTCACACCAAATGTGGATCTTGATGTCCTTGCTAAAACGACGGACGTTATTGTCAAGGGAGCGACTATGAGGGCCATGGCCGAACAGCAGCGTCGCAAGTATACTGGCCGCTACGGTGAACGCAGCTCGGGAAAGGGCTCAATTATTTTGCTTGGATCCACCAACTCCATAGCTGCTTCACCAGGCATGGTCTCCTATGTAACAGGCAAGCATGCAGTCATCGGTATTACTAAGGCTGCCGGTAAGCCTCTTATTCCTTCTAGACTTAGATTTCACCGTAAAACATGAACTTGCTTTTGTTTTACAGCTGTGGATGCATTAGCCTTGAAGAACGACATACGTGTGAATACACTTTGTCCGTCTTGGGTGGACACGCCCATGGTGCAAAATGCAATGAAAACAAATCCAGTTCGGGCCCACTTATCGAGACCATCACGCCTTTAAAACCAGCAGCTTTTCCTGACGAAATTGCAGACTGCATTGTCTTCTTAAATAGTCCATCTGCCAGCTATATCAACGGGACCGCTCTGCCTATTGATGGAGGACTGACTTTGCCAGCACCATCTCCTCTTCCAATGTAAGAGGAAAGAATCAAATATATGTTTGATTTCTTTTTATTGAGCCTGAAGACAAGTGGAGTGCCTACGGAGGAGAGAAAACTCGTGTCATTCTCGATACAGCAATGAATCGGCAAAATTGGACAAAATGCTAGGACTTTTGTAAGCGCGAATCGTTCCGTCGGAACCTAAGTACACAAAGACATCTGGCTACACTGGGAGGATATTTTCAAAGCTCCAATGTGTTACAAAATCCAGGTAGCCTAACTCTCAACGCTGGGGCAGGATCTTCTTGCGTCAGATCCGCCGTGAAGATGACTAGGCCTTTTGCACCGCATTGTGTTGCCACGGCCCGGGCGGTCCCCTCTACAGTATTGTATGGCAGGACCGCGAAGCCACCAAGCGAGCAGCGACCTTAACAATCGTGTTCTGTTCTGAGCCCTTTGCCACTTGAACGAGCGCTGCCAATTTTGCCGACACTTTGAGAGACGACGATAGCGAGGGTACTAGATCGAAGAAGATAGTCTTGAATATCATATCGGTACCATCACATAAAAGTTTCCTACTACAATAACCCTTAAATGTTGATATCAAGATCATATACATGGATGAGCCTTGTTTCCCATCGCAGCGTAAGCATCAACCGGCTGTTGACATCTCTATTTAAGAGCATCTTTTGCCTATGCTAGCTTCCTCAGAGGTTCTTTATAGGAGTTTTCCAACCCGCTCCGATGGTGATGCATCATCTCAAACCAAGGTTCATAGACTTTGTCTGTCCTCTCTATCACATGGCCACTCTTGTATGGGGGCACATCGTGGAAGTAATGGGACTCGTGGGCCGTCTCGATGGCTTGCCCGTTCTTCTCGTTTTTCTCATCCTCGAGAAAGATATCGTAGGCAGACATCAAGCATTCTTTCTTTGTCAGGCTGGAAGGGGACCAGGGTTAGCAGGCTGGTTTAACAAGAGTTCCTCCAAGTGAAGACCATCCCCATCTGGACTTACTGCTTATCGAGGTAGGCCTCCTCGAAATTGGGCAAGATACCGGTGTTGTACCCATTCGGGAGGACAACATTAATGGTGATTTCTTCTTGCCCTAGCATCGGAGCCATCACACGCACCCACTGCAATACGGCGGCCTTGGCAGCGCAGTACTCAGGGAGGGTAGGCAACGGGTAGATGGCTGCGATGCTCCCCGTGACAATGATCTTGCCTCTACTGCCACCGGGGTTGTGGCGCATATAGTGCACCGCCAGCTCCGTTCCATACACCACGCCCTTGAAGTCGGCATCAGTGCAGCTGAGGTCCGGACGCGGCGGGATATCGTCGACGGACGCGTCCTTGCGGGCCAGGTTGTATCGCGTGCCCACGTCGCTAGATGAGAGTCAGAAGGTCAGCAATCTTCCTGAACGGGAGCACAAGATTGCTCGTAATGACCTTACACTATCCCGGCATTGGCAATGAACCCATCTAGCCGCGCCCACTTGCGCCATACCGTCCTGAAGAGGGCCACCTGAGAGTCGTAGTCTTGCACGTGGCACTCAACGAACAACGAAGTGTCACCCTTTGGGTCCAGCTGCGCTGCGAACTTTTCTCCTTCCTGCACGCGCCGCCCGGTAATGGCTACATTGTATCCTCGTGCGTGTAGACGCTCGGCGAGGTCGCGACCAATACCGTTCTGCAGCTAGTGTCAGTGTGCGAGCACTGAAGAGTGTTTGATTGTGACAGACCGTGGCTCCAGTAATAATGACGACTTTCCGGGACGATGAAGAAGTGGTGGCCATGTTTACGCTGCTTGCTTCTGAACGCTCCGGATCACGGTTGTCCAATCGTACTCGCCCTAGAATTTGGGTTTCACGGCGTAATCCCACGTAATTATTTAAAGCGCATGTGGGCGAATTGCCGACATAATAAGAAAAAGACTGAGAAAGTCCCAGGCAGTGGCATGTCTTACCTGTTGGCTGCACCGCCTCATACCACACTCCATCTTACCTGCATTATGCACTGCCGTATGCACGATATCTAACAAATCAGATATCTGGAGACACGCCAACTCCGCAATGTAGTGCCCGGATTCCCCATGCAGAACCCTTCCTTTTTTCATCCATAGTACGGAACACCTGGCGCGGGGATCTCCCACGGTAGCCCGACAGCTGGGATTGTCTCCTGGCATGGGGTTGTTCACTGATTCTCCATTGGTTGCAGAGCGGTCAGAGTCGTTCTCGGCGGCAAGGTGCATATGTAGGAGCCTGCATGCCGCGGCAGGGCATTCTCCAGTTTACTAGGATAATGTTCGATATGCCTGTTTCTTTGAGCGAAGCGAGCGTTTCCAAAATTCCCAGTCCTGTATCGTCGAGCAAAGCCATCACATCGGACTGGCCCCCTAGAGGAGCAGCAATGGCAAGAATTGACAGCCATGTCTCAGGGCAGTGCAAGCAATTGTCGCAACTCTGGCTGATCTTCTCTCGGTCGCTCAATGGATGGTCTGGGATATGATTCCTTGAGAAAGGATCTCTACGGCGCTGCTCAACCAAGAGAAACAATTTGGTAGGGTTGGGTTTGATCAGCCTAAAGTATAACCCCATGGTGCTGCATTCGATCGACCTCAGCTACCCTTCAAAATTAAACAACCCTGACAACCGGTCAGCGGAACTTTGCGACCGGTCAGCATGATTGGGGGATCGGCACCACCCCATGCTGCCCGAGCCGTCCTGCAGATGGTCCGCCTGCTGGGGGCTGAAATATCACCTGCCTAACCCAGTCTGCCCAGGACGCAACATCATTTTTGCAAGTCTCTTGCTACCAAGCTGTCATGGGAGCCACCTCCTGGACGAGCGGGACGTGCCTGTGCGCTAGGCACCCGTGCTTATACCTACTTCAAGAGCTTTCAACTTCTCGAGCTGGGCAGCCCGTCAGAAACTCCCCATGAGTCCCGTGTACTCGATTTGGACAACATGACTTCGTCGACTATCCCGATCGAGCTGCCCGGGCAGGTGGGCTTTCTGGCAACGGCCACCATATGTATGGTGCTGCCGACGACTTTGGTGGTTTTACGTATTCTTGCTCGTCGGAGAACGTCTCTGTCATTGAACGGCAGCGACTTTTGCATAATGGCAGCTCTGGTATGCCATTCACCACAAGCATTTCCTGCATTTCATTGTCCTTGTGTCTGGTATTCATCCCGAGAGTTGAAGATGTAATTGACAAACCAACGATTTCATTGCAGACCTTCGATATTGGCCTGTGTATTGTCGATTATTTCATGGTGCTGAAAGGCGGCTTCGGATTCCATATCAAAGATATCGAGAGAAGATTCGGGCCAGAAACCCTCGTCACGTTCAACAAAGTGCGTTTTCCAACAATTCCCGGCCTTCCCCAAAAGAGTCGTCCATGCGATCATCATAAGCTCATAAAAATTATTCCAGTGCATAGCAGCATGGCCAATCCTCTGGAGTTGCTGTGTTATGACCAGCAAATGGTCTGTACTCTTGATGTACCAGACGTTGATACCTGTTGCGCGGATGAAGCTCGCCGTCCGAATCGTGGGAACCTTCATCGTCTTGTTCGCCATCGGAGGAATTCTGGAGGCCTTTTTGATATGCAGGCCGTACGCAAAGAACTACTACGTTAATCTGCCGGGTACCTGCGGGAACGTCAGGACGTTCTACATCTGGCTGAGCGCTCTCAACCTATTCAGCGACCTCGTCATCCTCTTCCTGCCCATCCCCTTTCTCTACAAGCTGCAGATGCCGCTGAAAAAGAGATTGGGCTTGATTAGCATGTTCATGGTTGGCGTTCTGTGAGTTGGCACCGACCAATTCAAGGTGTCGCCCGATTTTTCCAAGGATAGCTACTGACCAAGTGAACAGAACGTGCGTCGTGACCCTCTACCGCCAGACCACTCTTGGAAACATGGACCTCACGGACATAACTTCAAGCGGGCTGCTCGCCTTCCTCGCCTCCACAATCGAGATTGCCGTCGCCATCTGCATCGCCTGCCTGCCCTTCCTCCGAGCACTTTGGGGTTCGCTATCAAGCCAGCGTGGTGGATCGTCCAACAACTACGAGTCTTGCGGATCCAGAGGACTTGCGAACGGCAGGAGGACCTTGAAGAGTGATGGGTTCGGACACCTTCCTGACGACTCCTCCGAGATCAGGCTACAGCCCGTAGAGCCGAATAGCGGGAGGCTTGTGTAAGTGCAGCGCGCAAGGTCTCACCGGTGCCAGTGGAGCATAGGTGGATACCAGAGCTCGTCAGAACGGTGCACTATACCTTGGCCAGCGGCGAATTCCTCGTCGGCTGCAACATGGTAGTTGTGGCCGGGTCCAATAGCGCTCGCCAACGCAGTCCTCATGGCATGGCTCGACGCCAGCGCCCTCTGTGCGATCGATGCGTACCGGAACTTCACGACGTTGCTCTCCCAGAGCACCGTGATCAAGCGAAAGTCACCTAGCATTCACACCTCTACTCCTGAGGCGCTCACTCTGGGGTCGATGGTCTACCTCAACGAAGTTGACGCCTCCTGTAACGAGAGAAGTAGAAGCAGACTGTGTACAGGTCGAACTACAGCCGCCTGCTAGAGATCAAGGTCATCTATGATCCAGGTCGCTCACTTCATAGGCTGCTTCCCGTTAGCAGTGACAGGTTCACTGCAGAGAGCGGTGGGAGGTTGCGCAGGGAACAGCCAGAGCTCGTGCAGGGAGTGCATCCAAGCCACTTTAATCTTGTGTATGTAGGTGTCTAAGTAATACCAGTCTACGAGCTACCTAGTCACGTCCTCCGTCTCCATCTTATCTTCATTGCTCGGTCAGGGGGCATAGCTCCGGCGCCGCAGAAACGTGTATCGCTCTCGGCCGCCCGATGCGATGGTGACCCGTCCGGATTGATCCAGCCCACCAGCTCCATGTCAAATCGGGACACGATGAGGGCGACCGTCGTCAGAATCTCAAACTTTGCCAGATGTCGGCCCGGGCACATATTCGCTCCGCCCCCAAAGGGGAAATACGACGTTGAGCTCCCCATCATGGAGTACACGCGCCTGCTCCCCTCGCCGCCTCTGACATGCCGCTCCGCCCAGAATTCGGTCGCGGGGTGACCCTCGGTACCCCAAACGGCCTCGTTGTAGTGCGCCACCTGCATCGGGGCCTGCAGCAGGGACCCCTGGGGGATCAGGTGACCATCCAGCGTGATGGGCTGCTTGACATCGCGCATAATGTTGAAGTTGATGTGCATTCGTAGCGTCTCCGTGAAGATGGACTGAAGCAGCGGCAGCGCTACCAGCTTCTGGCTGTCGATGCTGGGACAGCCGGTCTCTGGATCGTCGTCCGTGACTGTGGCTATCTCGTCGCGCACGGCCTGGAGAAGGGTCGGGTCCTTAATAATCTCCATCAGCATCCACGTGGTGGTAGGGATGCTGTTTGAGTTCAACCTAACGATTGTCAGCCAGGCCAACAACCTATTCCAGTGATACCGCTCTTCTTACGCAAAGACCAGTGCCCCGATCGTAGCAGCAATGACTTCACTCCTCCACTCCGTCTCCTTCATCCACTTAACGAGCTCTCGAGGAGCACGTGCGCCGAAGCGAGGGTCCCATTCTGCCCCAGGCTCAGGCCCCGCCCAGTCAAAGTCAGCCCAGGGCGCGTTAAGCCAACTCTGGATTGCGGCGACATAGCGATCGTGAGCCTGAAAAGGGCTTGCATTAAGCCATTTTGGGAGGCCCAGCACCAGCATGAAGACGTGTTTGTCAAAGTCCCAGAACCGATCGATGAAGTCTGGTGTCAGCCTGGTGAGATCTGAGCCAAAGAGCGCGTTGATGGCGGATTCAGCGACCTCGTGTCGACAGAACTCGTCAATGTCAACTACCGTCCACTCGCCGGCTGGATATAGTGCCAGTGCCTGGCCCAGGTTGCGGCTAAATTCTTCCACTACTGGCTTCGTGTACTGTGCCTTACCCAGATATTCGGTGTAGATATGTTCATACGTGTGCCAGAGCCGCTGTCGAGTCGGCGTGCCCTCGGTGCCGGGGACAGGGACCTTGGTGACTCCGGACTTGTCGTTCTCCCAACGCTTGATCTCATCGCGGTTCATTTTGTACAGGGTCGGCAGCGCGTACCGCGTCATCTGCTCTTGGTTTGTCACCGTGTGCACCATCTCGCGGCCAAACATGCGCTTGATTCCCTGCGACCCCGCCACCAGGTATATCGTTTTGGGGCCCAGGTAGAAACGTAGCAGGCTCTCGCCTTGCAACGCATTTTGCACACGGGCCATGAACTTGTAGTTGTTGAACATAAACTGCAAAGTGTTGTACAGGTGCGGAATAGGGTCCCTGAGTGCCTTGGGCCCGCCCCCTCTCCGGAACTGTGAGATTAGAAAAGCAAAGGTGACAGTCGATGCGATGGTCACAGACCAAAACGCCCAAGACATGCTGGCCGCCTCTAATGACGGCCATGTTGGCCCAGAAGAAATGTTGGCGAAAGCCATGGCATTGGTCGGTGGCTTTTTTGGAGTCAACTCCTGAGGCCACAGGGCTGGGGTTCTTCTTATGTTTGGTGCCGGAACGGCGAAGAATATTTAGGCTAGATCATGTCGAGTCTCTTAGAGCACTGCCGTGGGGGGGATGACTTGAAGGCCTCCTGATCGGGGTTTTGAACAAAGTCCGATGCCTAAGTCCGCCATAAACGCATGTTGTCTATGCAACCTTTGGGATTTCGAAGACACAGGTATTCAGTCCAATCAAGACTTCACATGAAAGCCATGGGGTAGCCGTAAAGAACGTCCATGAGACTCACAACGAGGCCTTCCGGTTCTTGAGACACCCTGTCAATGAGACGGCGAATGAAAACAGCGACGAGAACTAAATGATGATAGCTACACAGTTTAAACGGTCTGCTACTCATCTTGTTAAGAAACAAAATACACGCAGCTAGAACCCTTCCCAAGAAGCAGCCATCTCATTGTGCATGCGCTGAGCACTCGAACCCTCCCCAGTGCCTCCCCTCAGCATCTCAACGGCAACTGGCCCATCCAACACATGTCCTCTTTCTGTGACGTGCAGCCCACTGGGAAATGAAGGAATCTCATTTGTCCACCAACTCCCAACACTCTACTTGGCAACTTGGTTACGGCAATAACCAACGCGTATTTTGGGGAAAGGGGGGGTGGAGACAGATTGATCCCACAGGCGTTGGTACAGGGGTAGGATTTTCTTCTCGCTCCTGCTTGTCATTGAGAGTACATTAGGAAAGGTACGATTCGAGTAATCTCGAATACGGGTTGCGCCGTCGCTCAAATAGATTCAGTATCACAACATGACCTCGCTTCTTCGCGCGAAGTAGAGATTCCGTTGGTCGAAGCAATCGGCTGCTGTAAATCATCGTACAGCACACTCTTGTTGAATGCCTGAGTCGAAGGTGGCACGTCGTTGGTAGGGTTGTGTGTACAGAAGTTGTACGGCTTCAAATGCATCTGAGCTATTTCGGCAGGCATAATTGGAAAGTCTTCAACCCGTGGGATGTGGTTGAATCCGAAAGTGTGCCAGATGACGATGTCCTCGTCGACGACATAGTCAGGTTTGTCTGTCCAGCTTTTGATGCCAGTGCCCCCAATGGACTGGTTCGTATAGTCGCCTGCTGGGAATAGTTGTCGATCTTGATATTTAGTGACCCACATCGGGTGTTCTGCGAACTCCGACCGTCTCCAGTGCCAGGAGCCCGGCTGGGCGAGGAGCATTTGTGACCGGATGGGAACAATCTTGTATCCAATCGGGGTCAAGGACACGGGATTTTGAATGGACGGATTGATTATCTTGAAATTCCGTCCGTCAGCGACGCTGTCCTCCAGCGGACCCGCTCGGTGAACCAGGGTCTCTTTGGAAATGTAGCCGGTGCCCAGTGGGTTCAATTCCTTGTCCCACGGCAACCTGACAGAGTCAGAGTATACGAAAGAGTTCTTGTGACCGCCAATCGCAGGATCGATGCGAACATTGAACAAATGCTGATGGTAAGGTGCCATAACACCATCGGCGACTCGTGTACCCCAAGACACGCTGGCGTCTTTGTCAATCGGCTGTGTTGATAGTATACCGGTTGCTCGAGTTTCGAAGGTAATTTCTCCCGACTGATCGAAAATCCAGGCAAATATGTACTCGTAATTGGCGACTGTGATAATGGTTTGCAGTACGAGTTGTCGCTTACGCACAACGGTCGCCTTCCCTGTCCTGTGATTGGTGTGCTTCCACTGAATTCCATTATCGATTTCGTGAATACATATCGCGTTGGGCCGTGGAGCAGGTGAACCATCGACACTAACGACATGCCCATCCAAGTATTTGATTACTCCCAGGCAGTCGCACCCCACTAGGATGAATGGTCAGCCACAAAATTACGGAATGCAGATATGTAAAAAGAATATGGTCTCACAAGATAAATTATTGGCGGTCACGCCGGCACCCACATTCCCAAGATCGAACGCACCCTTCCTGTAGATGGGATTACGCGGATCACCGTAAGGGACGAACATCTCAGACAGAGATAGCCGATAAAAGATGTCTTGATCCATGAACCGAACGTCATGAATAGTCATTCCTATTGCTGAAATCAGTACCAGCCGTGTAATCGCATGATCGTACTTGGCAATCACTCACCCTCTCTCCAATTGAAGCCGACTCTGAACCTGAACTTCTCCCATGTGATGAGATGACCTTGGACAGTGAATGACGCTCCTTCTGGTTGAATCACTTGGTAAGGTTTAATGGAAGTCCTCGGTTTCTGCTTCTGTAGACGGTGGTCGTACTCGGGCTCCGAAGGGTTAGTGCGACGGTGTGGAACATCTGTGCCAACAGCGGTTGTAGATCCGTCAGAACCTAGGGGAAGTCGGAGGATCTTCTTGACTCTCATGGCACACAAATCAACGATAACCATGAAGTCGAGAGGAAACGAGTAATGCGAGGAGTCCGGGTCGTTATTTTCCGGATTGCGCATGTACATGAAGACCTAATGTAAAATCAGTAGAAGGTAACTCAAAGTTGGTGTAATACAGCATACCTGGGTGTGGCGTTCTTGAGTTTCCTCGCCATCCACACCGTAGTCCCAGGGATCTAGGACCACGGTAGTCTCATCTATTTTCAAGCGTTTGATCTCCTTGAGGACTTCTGCATCACGCATAACAACCTGGGCAGCCTCGTTGAGCTCTGTACGGTCGACAGGGCCGTGGAAATCACGAGGCAACTCTTTGGACGTCTCAACGCGGCCATTGGTGACATCAACGACGGCTTCAAAAAGTCTCGGGGTATGCTTAATGTACCACATCGCGAATATACGACGGGGAAGATCCGGCAGCGTCTGGCCATTGTGCTCAGCTTCCAAATAGGCTAACAGTTCCTTTTTTGGTGGCTCATCGAGACCCGCCGCTTTGAAGTGTAGAGGAACATCCTTGAAAAGGTGTTTGACAAGGTCGGTGGCCTTTTGAATCTCCTCAGCCGTAGCGGGATCGAGCGGGTGAGTGAACGCAAGTGAAGCCATAATGAATTTTCAGTGCTGTCAAGGTCAAATGTAGGATCAAATTTATGGATGTTCAGAGACAATATCTTGCAATGAGACGATCAAAATTCTGATATATGTATTGACCACCCGAAGAGACCGAGTCAACCCATCTCTGTATTCTTTCTATTGGGCTGTGTACGTGTTGTGTCACCAACGTTCAACCCCGGTTCTACCTCTAGCGAACTCCCCGGCGTCGGCGTCATTGCTACGGCCGACCTGTGGGGCCACTGGGCCGAGTCAAGTGGGCCGAGTCCCGGTGTTTGCTGCGCGGAACTCGGTGCCGGCAGTCCAGGTCTTGGCGAGACCTGCGGAGCCTTCTCTACCATTCGTGCTGTTGCTGGTAACCACCACCCACGTATCCATGATCCCAGACATCAATGCTCATTTGCAAAGTGCTCAAGCTTGTCTCCACGCCCAGTGATTTTCGAATCGCTGGAAATGACTGAGATCAGCAGCCTACCGAATATGGGTCCCGCAAGAGAGTTTCCTGCAATCACTGAACGAGCACCCTTGCCTCAAACACCAACTACAGAAATGATCCTCCGCAGACGCGATGGGCGACACGTCCTCGCGGAACAGACACTGAAGAATCTTGCCGGTATACTGCATGATTTTATCTATGGTACTCTTATATTGTATCAGCTCTGGCACGCCTTACATGCGCAATGCCTGGATTAGGAGAAGGCCCGTCCACATCTTTTGAGCGTTACCATTACAGAATCCCCGTTTTCCGGGTGCATATCCGTCTACAACTCATCATTGAAGTTATCACAATAAAGTACAGAGAATTCGTGTCTCGAGTGGCTAGGCTACCAACGGTATTGATTTTGGGGAGCTTACGTCGCACAGGGAGCACCCCCTAAAGCCCTCGTTTTAGCTTTGCTATCGGCTCCGTGATATGACTCGGCCCAAAAAGCCACCAAACATGGCAATGAGAAAGTAACTCAGCTCAATCGATGCCAAGCCCGGGGTAGCCTTAGCGAATTACTGGCTGAGCAGCTTAGACCAGACTATGGCTGATGTGCTGCGAACGCATTATTTCACATATAAACTCAAAGTCCTCGAACTTCAAGCCTTGACTCTTTCGAATCTGTCGTAATTCATGTTACATTCGATCTTTCATCACGATGGAACTTACAGAGATTGCTCAAGATAGGCCGAAGGCTGATATCCCCGAGACCGATGACATGAAGAAGATGGACACTGCTCATACCGATCTTGCGTATAGCGAGGCGCCTTTGAAGCGATCGCTTGCCCAGCGACACCTGGTAAGGCTTATGTCGAGTTTTCCCACTCTTTTCGACTTTATTGATCTTTACCCAATTGCAGATGATGATGGCGATCGGTGGTGTAATTGGTCCTGGCTACTTTGTAGGAATGGGAACCGGTCTTTCAACTGCGGGACCAGCAGGTCTACTCTTGTGTTTTGCTGTAGTCGGCGTCCTCCTTTGGGCAGTCATGCAATGCCTTGGCGAACTAGGTGCCTTCATATCCGTATCTGGTAAGTTCTTCTTCGGGATCCTTTTCGGTAATGGCACTTATGTCATGTATGACAGGCTCTTTCGTTCACCATACAGCTCGATTCGTTGATCCTGCGGTTGGCTTCGCCCTCGGTTGGAATTATTGGTTGTTGTGGGCTGGAATCATCATGGCTGAGTATAGTACGAGACCGCGTAAAGGACCCACTTAGGGAAGTATTGTGACTGATATGCCTCTGCAGACAACCTTGGTCTGGTGCTCACATATTGGGAGACACCAATACCTCGTTGGGGCTGGGTGCTTCTCTTCTGGTATGCTGCCCGAGAATGGTCGAAAACCATTAATGCTGATGCTGTGTAGGTGTGGATTCATGGCATTCACCTTTCTGGGAGTCAAGTCCTTCGGCGAGGCCGAATTCTGGCTCGCTCTGATCAAGGTTTTAGCTGTCGCTGCCTTCTTCATCTGTGCAATTTTGATCACTACGGGCGTCATTGGTGGCCAAAAGATCGGCTTCTCCTTCTACCACAACCCAGGTTCTTTCGCGGACGGGGCCAAGGGAGTTTTCGAGATCTTCGTCTTCGCCTCCCTTCAATACAGCGGTACCGAAATGATCGGTCTCACTGCGGGGGAGTCCGAAGACCCAGCAAAAGACATACCCAAAGCTGTCAAAAGCGTTCTTTGGCGAATTGTGTTCATTTTTTTGGGCGGCATATTCTTTCTCAACCTGACTGTGCCTTATACAGACCCAAATTTGTTGAGCGCAACAAGTAAGACTGCTCGTTCGCCATTCGTCATCGCATTCAGCCGTGTGGGGGCTACAGCCGGGGCTCATGCTATCAACGCGATCATCGTGATCACGATTCTCTCCGCGGTAAACAGCGCGTTGTATGTTGGATCCAGAACCTTAGTGGGCCTTGCTAGCCAAAAGCAGGCTCCGGCTATCTTTGCCAAGACGACTGAGGGAGGCGTCCCCATTTATGCCCTAGTGACTATGAATCTTGTGGGATTTTTGTCCCTACTCAATCTCTCGTCCGGAGCAGGCCATCTTTACTCATGGATAGTCTCCATGACGGGCGTTGCAACGTTCATCACTTGTGAGTCTCAATTGATACTTTTGTTGAGTCATGAAAGCCTCCGTTGCTGACCAAGTACAGGGGGCTGTGTCTGCCTATCCCAGATAAGATTGCGTCAGGCACTAGCAAAACAAGGCGTGTCCACTGATGTGCTCCCATGGAAGATCCGTGGCCAATGGATTGCGTGGTCTGGCCTCGCAGGCAATGTGTTTTTTGTCTTCTTTCAAGGCTGGACGTCCTTTGTGCCTTGGAATGTAGAAAACTTCTTCATGAACTACATTGTCGTCATCATATTTCTGATTTTAGTTGTAGCTTGGAAGTTTTGCCACAAGACACGCTTTGTACGATCCAGGGATGCAGACCTAATCAGCCACCGACGAGACATCCTCGCGGTGACTGTTGATGCGCAGCATGAGATTGGATCCCACGCTGTAGATAAGTCGGATTAGCTCGGTATCTTCTAGGTCAACAATCTTACAGCAGGATTCAAATCAAGTCACGAGATGGTGCCCACGCCTCTCGAATGCTGGCAGTGCAATCAAATTTGGATGATCGTGTTGCAATCTGCTTCGCACTCACGTTTTATTTCTAGTTATGATAGTGGTGATGATGATTGTAATGGTGATGGTGGTGGTGGTAATGATGGTGATGGTGATGATGATGGTGGATTTCTCCTGTCACAGGCCTCCTGGTTGGTGCGATGCCACCTGAGAAGGTCGACATTGGAAACGCCGTGAGATTGCGATCTAAGCCACCAGGCTGTTCCAGATGCCAATCTGAATGGGTTTCTGATCGATCAGAAGACGCGATATCGTCAGTTATGATCTGCGCAGCACCAGTGTCCCGGCCACGTTCATCAGTCTCTGCTTCGAGTTCAGCTCGGCGTTCCGCACTTCCGTTCAGATCAAATACCTGAGCATCGAGAGATACGCCTTCTTCGAAGTGTTGATTCAGAGTAACTGCAGGATCAGGCGAGCCTCCGGGTAGACCAGCGATATTCGACAAGTTCGGGAGCATGACGGAAGTGTTCTGAGACCCGTAAAGTTCCTGCAAGAACGAATCGAAGGTATGACTCATATCGTCGAACGTGGCATTTGTGCCCACATCTACTCCTCTTCCTTCAGAACGGGATGATATAGATGGGTTGGAATCGACGTCGAGATCAGGGGAATCTTTTTCGTAAGCCACGGCTGCTCTGCTTTCCGAGGCAAGCTCAGTTGATTCTGAAACCGCAGCGTTGTCTGTGACTGACAGAGATCCCACGCGGTCAGATGCTGCAATGCCAGTGATTTTCCGGCTAGCAACTTCTTCATTGGAGACTACTGCCTGCGATTTCTTAGAGACGACCCGCCAACGGTTGCGGCAGGTAAGAGGTGGGCGACCGGGGATCTGGGCGGATATCGCCGACCAACTGTGGCCAAAAGAACGGACTCCTTCGACCAGAAGTCGGTCCTCCTCTTCATTCCAGTCACAGAGCCTATTCCTCACGGCTGGGCTCAGGATCTCTTTGTAACGCTTGGAGCACTGATCGTCCTTCCTTCCAGGGACGAGCAGTGCAATATCATGCCAAGCTGGACCGAGTCGGTTATAAGCATCAAGAAGAACCCGGTCTTCCGATTCGCACCAACGCCCTTTGCGAAGTGAAGGATCCAGAGAATGGAACCATCGTTTCCGGCAATCCTAGTTGTGTTGTTCATTAGATGGAATTGAACTGGCTTTAGTGTACTGTTATGAACGTACCTTGGCCGTGCGTGCGTTGAACCGTGAGCTTATTTCTTTCCAATGACCTCCTGGGCCTCTTTTATCGCCGAATTTGGCCACAAGTTGTGTAAGGAACTTATCCTCGGCAACAGTCCACCTCCGAGGTTTGCTCCGGGTCCGTGGAGCAGAATTCGGGCTACTTGCGGGAGATTGACAAACGCCAGATGTAACAGACATTGCCGTAGATGTTATTCTTCTTCGAGATATTACTGTTCACTGGCAAGACTTTGAAATGCTCGCGAAAGAAGACTCTTGGTATTGAATAATTATTCCACGCGGCTACTTGGGTGGGGAAATTTGCAGATGCTTTGGAATGCTAAGATAACGGTGACAATGCACGTGAGCCCCTTAGTCTGTACTGACTGAAACATTCCCCCGCATCCGCACCGGGTTGCGGGAGTGTCACATAGTAAAATGATAGACAAGTGTTCAACAGACCCACTCTGCTTATCTGACTCGGCCCAGAAGCCATGACGCACGGGTGACTGAGCGGCCATTCGGAGGCCACGTTATATAGGTAGAGAATGTTCTACAAAGTTTTTGAGTTACGTCCTGACTTCGTGTGCAGACATTCATTGTCATTGATTTCTTTGCTTCGCAAATTTCTATGGAAAGGAGAGTCTCGAATGAACAAATTATTCCGCAACCTATATTTTAATTCTTTCCAGAAGATAATGTGATATCCGATTCGTCGAATATATGAATTTATACTTTTGACATTCTTGTGAATGACACGTTATTTCTTTCTTAATTCATTCGCAACGGTTTTTTTTTGAGGGGGGGGGGTGGTTTTTTTTTTAAAAAAAAAGCGTATAATCTAGAGGTAAATGACACGATTTATATCAAAGAGGCGGAGGAGGACGCAGCTTGTGGCTGTGGCGTGTTTCTGAAGCTGATGTAGGAAAATTCCTGCTTATGCAAATGCGCTGTCCACTGCTGCTATCTCGTCGAGATATTGCACATGCGTCAGCCAGGCAGGCTGCCACATCAATCATGTGTCGCTGCTGTGCCTCACAGCGCAATCGCTAGACTGGCTACATATATATATTCTTGGTATGCATCGATACACTGGGAAAGTCTCCATTGACAGATTGTAGAGATCTTGCGCGAATTCGAGATGCTCTTTCTGATAGCGAGTATTTATCTAATAAATAAAGATCTAATCTTAGCAATCTTAGCCACCCTTTCACACATAGTGACACGTCATTTCTGCGGCTGTGTAACAAGCTTGTATCAGCACTAGTGGCCTGATTCTGCCTTGAGATTAGGGCGGGCTTCCCCTTTTCTCTTCTTTTCTGCGTTCCTGGTTCATACGCCCGCACAATAGTGCCTCTGTGGGCATTTAAACTTGGTGCCCCACTCGTGCGCTGTCAGTCTGCTGCGTGCGAATTGATTGTACTTGATGATTAGTTCTTATTCCGAGAACTGAATTGAGCCGGTCATATTTAACCATTTTGATACTCGGACATACCTCAAAGACACGGCGAAATCCGGATAGGTATCGCTTGATTGTAAATGTGATCAGCTGGGATCTCTCTGGGTATTGCTGGCAGCTGTTGCATCATCTTGCCTGCCATGACGACAATGACAGAACCGCCTTCAGCAAGAGAAATCATCGAGCTGGTTGATGCAATCTGGGGTTCTTTTGACTCGAGTGTTGCGTTGCGCGACCAACGACTGAGGACTTTGATCGGTGACCGCTGGGCCAAGGTTCCGCTCACGCGGACCAAAGGCTACTTCAGCGTCATAGCTGATGAGACCTCATCGACAACACGACTGAACAGCAGGCCAATATCACTCAAGGTCATAGCGAAACTTGTCAAAATCCTTAAATCGAATCCGCAGTTGCTGCGGAAGGATCTTGAATGCAATGAAGACGTTCGCGGGGTTCTAGAGGACGCTCTGCTCGACCGAGCCATGACTATTATGCTGATGACGGAATCATCATTTTCCGGGACATCTCACCAAGCCATCTTCCACCCACGCTGGAAAAGTAATGAGAGTCTAGAGTCATTCATTAGCCGCGTCTATCCCGAAAATCCTCGAATTCACTCCGACGATCACTCCCCTATACAGAGCACCAAGCTATCGGTATCTTATTTAAGTCGGCGACATGTACAAATCAAGGTTGTCTGGACGAGATTTCTGACCGACCACCTGATTCTATCAGAAAAGAACAAGACGCTCCATGTTTTTGGGTACCCTGGATTCCTGCAAACAACTTTGGATGCGATGCCATCGGGGCATGCAGACGACAGTGTTGCGTCAGCACTTCGAAGGTATCATGAAGCAGTTTATCATACTTTGAACGAATTTGAAGCTGATGATCATCTTAGAGGTTGCCTTCCACATAGACTCTTGCAAGAGACAATGTGGACTTATGATTTCCTTTTTCCCATCGGTGATCAGCAAGCCCAAATGTGGCTGTCGAAACAAGTTCGGAGCCATAGTCTAGACACCATGCTGTCTCGAAGGATGGCCAATCCCCGTATACACGAGTCCCCGTGTGATATTGGTGCTCCCCGAGACGTGAGCGGTCTTTGCAGCAAATATCCCTACTGGGGACAACGTCTCTACGATCTCTGGAGAGAAGCCAATGACCCGAGTCCAGTCGAGTCGAGGCTAGAGGAATTTGCTAGTCTATTTTACGATTGGGCTCGCGCTAACCCTTTCACGTCGTGGCTGATCAAAGTCATTACCAGTTTCATATCGACTCTAGGTGGCGCGCTTGGGGCGCTGTTCGGGCTTCTACAATGGTTAGGAGCCAGAGCCCCACCACCTCCACAGATAATTACGATACATATACCTTGGAGACAGTCCGAAAAGAAGCAACCAGAGGAACAGAGAGTTTGCGAAGAGCCCAAGAAAGAGATTTAAAGCTTATTCAACAAATGTGTGTGTGTATGTATAAACTATGGGAGGTATATAGGTGGTCAAAAATTTGAACTCCTGCTTATTGTTATACAATTCGAAAAAAGGTAATATTTTTGTGTTGAAAGTGAAAGATTACGAAGGAAGGTTGTCTCTCATAGCAATTAAATCTTCAGAACAAAAGGCATGGGGGCTGTAAGTGGTCTGCGCATAGATGCATTTAATTATACATCCTGCCCACTGCGATGTTATGATATAATGATGGATGGAATTGCTCCACATATGTAAGCTGCTTGTAGTGATGAAATTACCAATGTTTTTCTTAACTATCGATAACAAGCCAAGTGGTGATTTTAGTGATATAAATAGGCATGGTCACGACAATCCAACCAGTCTCATTCTAACAAATACCAGTGCACCGCTAAATCTGACTGGACGCGTTACGTGTTCAGTCGCTGATCTGCCCCGTAATTTTTTTCTCGCGAAAGCACGCGAAAGTCCCGCTTCCCCTGACTAGTGACTAATTCCAATGTTTTTTCCCCCTTCAGTAGCAGTTCTGCAATGCTAACACTCTTCTCATGTCTAACACTCCTTCTCTGCACATCTCGTTAGACTTAATTGTCTACCAGCCTCTGTGCAAAACTGAAGTTGGGCTCTCCCGCACTCAACCCCCTGCCGGGTGCAGGGCAAACACTATCCATGGTAGTGATGGCTCACACCGGCGACCAGTGGACATTCGTGCTCGCCGTCACCGCCATTTTCCTCAGCGTCGTTGTCATCCTGCAGATTCTTTCTTCCTATGGCAAAGCCTCCATCGCGGCACCAGCCGAGATTCTCACCTTTATCGATGCTGTCGACTCATCTGTCGAGGAGAATGAAAGCTACGATCGATATGTATCACGTGTGCAGCGTCTCGATGATAAGCTCCGTCTGGGCCGACTACTCCGAGAAATCCAGAGGGGAGGTGATGATTTGAGAGAGGAACTCAACTGCCTCTTGATGAGCGAAAGTGGAGATCTCGCAAGCGACGTTTACAACGATCTCCGGGATCTACGGCTCAGAGCCACTGCACGTCTACTCTGGGCCTCGAAGCGCAAAGGTCTCGAGGACAAAGTGCGCAGATTGGATATGCTTCGAATGCGCTTCCTTGTGGCCTACATGGGCCTCGTCTCCGCTGGCCGTGTCAAGAAGTCATCGATGAAAGACTCTGAGAAGACCGTTGCGTTCCCAAACGAAATCTCCGCCCGGCCCCCTCCGCCACCACCACCCCTACCTCCGCTGTCACTGGGCATGGGTGTCAAGAAAAAGTCAAGCCGGCGTCGACTTAGCCGCGCAGCGGCCCTGGGTCGCGGCGAAACCATCGAAAGAACTCGGAAACAGGACTGGGCAGGGGTCATCCGCGAGCTACAACTATCACCGCTGCTTCAGAAGCGCCATGCCAACATCGGCAAGGCCAAGTCACCCATCAAGTCACATTTCTCGGTGACAGAAACGCTCTTGCCTCCCGAGTCAACAAATGCTGACCGTTGACAACATCAGTGCTCGCAGAGAGAACAAGCTGAGTGAAGGTGATAAGTAATTTTGTGGATATCAATGGGACACAAGTTTTTGGGATTTCTTTTACGGCCTGGTGCTCTCCGTCACGTCTATTGATGACTCTTGCTGTTTCTATGAAATTCACGCAACATCACGAATATACCCTCATAATACAATTCAGCCCGTTCTATTCTTGACAAAAGAGGGCCTACGTAGCCTCACTTATTACACTCCGACATCGCTGAAACTGTGCCATGGTGGTGTTCTCGGATCAAAGTATTACCTGCAACGCGAGGAGAATCCGGGCAAACCCACTGCCCGAGCCATGGCGTTATTTGATTTAAGAGGCTGTCTTTTGAACTTGAAAACTCGATTGGATGCGAGATTGAATTCCCTCCACAAGGTATCCGCCAGATTGAGGCAGAGACTCGAAGATACTAGCTTGTTTCAATAGAAGGGGTAGATCAGAGCGCAACTTGTAGGACGATGGATCAGGGCGATCGCGATCAATTAGCAGTACAAGGACGCGCACTACAACGGAAAACTAAAAAGGATATGGAGGAGGAAATCCGGGGAGAAGAAAAGGGTGTTGGCAAAATCTGAAATTGACACGCTTGATGGAGAGAAACTTGAAGTCGAATGACCATGCGGCCTAGATGAAACAAAAAGGTAGAAGGATGTGTGATGAGAGTTTGGAAGCTGCTGGGGAGATTTGGCCGGCTGAAGCAATCTGAAAAGCTGAAGCAAAATAGTCCTGGAGAGAGTCAACATTCCAGACGCTCTAAGAACCGATGACTAAATTGACAGATATCTAATGGAAGGTTCACCACAGACCCAGCAAAGCATAGAATTATCGAGTTCACCTAGAGTATGTTAGAAGAACTAAGGAGGATTAGGTACAGAGCGATGACGTTTGACCAGCTGCCCCTTAACTCTCGACCTAAGCTGTTAGCGTTTGTTGATCAGACTACTACTCGAGCCCTTCCAATAGATGTCACTCTTGAAACATTCGACTAGCTGTCAAAGCGAATGTTTCATAGCTCCCCTGCAGCTCTTCCTCCCAAATGTTTCGAGACATTCGGGTTCCTGAAACTCCATCCGAACCCTGTAACTTGTACAAATACCGTATAGCGTTTTGTCAAACCTTATAGCTTGTCAGAAGCCTGTTCTGGTCAATTGAGTCTCTATTCGATTTTGTTCGCTCAACACCTTTTTCTTTTCCCCAAGACCGCTAAACCATCAAAAGCCCTCCTCTCCTTACCCAGTCCAAGATCATATCTACGAAGATTGACTTGATGTCTCTGATTGATTTGTTTTCGCATCATGCCCTGGGCGGCACTGGGGACGTCTGCGGATCCGGTCTGGGCTTAGTCGCTGCAAGCGTTTGCCCTCATCTCGATAGCCTCGACTCCCAGCTTTCATCTGAGCCTAAGTACTGGAGTCCTTGGACTCATCGACCATATTGTCAAGGAGCCTGGTGCGTGCACACACACGCACTGGTGCCGTGTGGTCAAGGGATCAGCATCATCACGCATCGATCGGGACAGCAAGAAGCCGCGGCAACTCTTGCTACCCTGAGCAATGATTTCGACGAGCCTAGCTGCGCCGTACTAGCGGGGATCCTGGGTCCAAACTATGATGTTGATAGTGCCATTGACGAAAATCGCGCCTACGAGGTCAGGGACTCGAAGGGCAAGGGCAAGGGGGTATTTGCGACTCGCAAGATCCCACGCGGGACGATCATCATGATTGACCACCCTATAATGCTCAAATTGGAACCGGAAATAGATAACGACGTACTATCCGAGAACCAGCGAAGCCGTCTCTTCGACCACGCAGCAACGCAACTGTCTGATCCGGATCAAGTGCTGAGTCTGGCTCAGCATGAAGGATTCACAGGCTCACAAGCGGAAAACGCTGCCAACTATAACAGTTTTCAAGTTGATCTAGGCAACGCCACTTACAGTGCCGTATTCCCTCGAGTTTCGGTGTGTAGCTCCAAGACTCCTCGCTCGGCGAAATAGTAGAGGGCTGACTATGGGTTATGCGATGGACTTTAGAGAATAAACCATGCATGTGTTCCAAAGTGAGTAGGCACAAACCACAGCGCCGCAGGATATTACACATTTCTGGTACTGATAATCTCAATCCCTAGCTGCCGAGCCAAGTGGGCACCGAATACTCTATCGCAGACAATTTGGACAGTGCAAGACATTCAGCCTGGCGACGAGCTGTCAATCAGTTGTAAGAGCCAATGCGGCCAAAAACAGGACTACCTCAAAACTGGGATATCGCTAACGGATTGTCATGTACCAGATATACCAATGGGGCCGAACTGGGGGTGGCAACATCGCCAACATGAGCTCAGAGATAATTGGAATTTCGCGTGTTCTTGTTCACTGTGTTCTGCTGGACCAAGGAAACGAGATGCTTCAGACGAGCGAAGACGGAAGTTTGCAGTCCTAGCGCAAGAGTATCACCGCCTCGATCATTACGATACCAAAGAGTCGCAAAAGGCGCTGCAGATACTAGAAGAGGCAATGGAGATTAACATACACGAGCCGATGCTTACGAGTGCGACGCCGCTGTTGCTCCAGGCTGCATGGACGGCATACCGGGGCAGGCATATTGGGATGGCGAGGAGATACGTGGAGAAGGTCGAGGAGGATATGAGAGTCAGAGGATTTGAGGATGAAGGGGATAAAAGATCACTTAGGGAGATTAGAGGGTTACTGTATTAAAGCTCAATGACGAAGCTGTACTAACGGTGATATCGATTAAATGAAAGCTTTATAATTGGACAGGTGAACGGATTGCCCCGCCTTCCAGACATAATCGGTCTCACAGTCTTACTCGTCATTTTAGTTTTCAATTCGTCAAGAGTAACTCCGGGCGGCAGAGAAGACAATACAGTGGGAAGAGTCGGGCTGCGGCGCGGATCTCTTGAGCTCAAGGGTAACTACGGCGCCGCAGTGGGGGGTAATTAAGATTCTCCATCGGACCCGCACACAACATTATTATCAAAAGTAACAAATAACTGTGCTTTCTTCTGGAGTGGGAGAACACAGTATGGGTTGATTATGGAAATGAGACTGTGAAAGACAAGAATGAGCATTCGGTTACGAATATTAGTATATAGGTTCCTTGCAGGAGGAATGGTTGTTTGGTCGGCCTCCTGGACATATCACATCGTTGTTCTTCGGCAGATGATGCTGTAGCAAACGGTGATGTTCTTGCTTGTGTACATGTTCCCAGGATGGCCCCTGTTGACGTGGCTCTACATGCTGTCCCCCTCCTACAGTTCTTGTTGCACCTGCTGGCAAAGGCCATGGACGATGTGCCCAATATTCAGTCTGATGCACAGAATCTCTCAAATTACTCCGCTGCTGGGTATGTGACCGTAATTGATTAGGTAAGGCACACAGGAATATTTCCCTGTGCTAATAGAGGTACATGCAGGAGCAGCTCGAACGGGTTTAAGTTGTTCACGATCTATAAGGACGATGGACACCACATTCACCAACGGGCCTGTCGGTCAGTGCCGGAGCATATACTACAGTTTACCCGTTAGTGATATCCCATTTCTCATCACTAATGTCTTGGTCCATTCAGATATCTGGAAACATGGTTATTCAGGCCTGACTCCCTGGGAGTGAACTTGCCAAATGCACATGGCTGGCTATGATTCTCGAAGTAGCACTAGAACGAGGCCCAATCAGCTGGGAACAAGTATAATTATTCGCCGATCAGTTGAAGCTTGATTAAAGGCATGAGTCTTGGTGCAGGTAGAACGAGAGGATAGCGACAATTCTAGCGCGCGCATCCAAAGACAGCTCTGTTCTTAGGAGGAGGCTTTCTACATGGACGAATCAATCCTGGTATAGGTACATAACACCGGAAACAACAATATAGGGCCATCAGTCACTCGACAACACCTGTTTTTTATTAATGAATAGAATTGAATGGTGATGGTACAGATTAGCTAACAGTCCAACTGTGTTATATTTTGGCCTTAATTACTTCGTGATACTTATGGAGGCGCGTTCTCCCGATTGACTCTGTAGAAGTCCCTGAGTCATCCCCTATGGTATTTGTGAAAAACGCAGATGTTGTGCAAAGTTTTAATTTACCGGTTTTTTTTAACTTTACAGAATTCCAGGTGTGGTTTAAATCCAGGTTATTACTTGCTCCTTGTGTAGGCAGTTTATATGAAACAAGGATGAAACAAAGTCCATCTGCCCCACCTAGGTTAATTTATAATTGTCAGTCTATGCTGCTGCCCACAAAGTTCGTTTGTCACATTCTCAACAGTCCACAGTCAGCGAGAAATAGGCGGTTATGTTGTCCCTTGGTGAATTTGCTTCGATCTCATCTGCATCCAAACCATGCTGGACTTGCATCCGACGACGTGTCAAATGCGATTTTGGTCTCCCAACCTGTTACAAATGCAGGAGTAACAGTCGCGAGTGCCTGGGATATAGCTCGACTAAGCCCATAGTCTGGACCGGAGTTGCGTGCCGCAGGAAGACCAGTAGCCGAAAGCTCGAAGGGTCTCGCGTGCTCCCGACGTCGACAGAGTCCCATCGAAGCATCGATGCGGACTATCAAATTCTCTCTTCTGACGCGGCTGTTTCCGCAAACCCCACAGATCCTGTCTTCCAGGGGTTGAGTCTTGGCACCAGAAGAAACATCGAATATTGTGAGTGTCTGTCGGCAAATGAACGGACTGTTATTATCAGGAGACTAAAGCATAGTTCTAGACTTACGAGAGTGCTGCAGCGAGTGCACTATATATGGTGATGACTTTGGCAACCCGTTCAAGCAAATACTAGTGCTGATGACGCAAAAAACCGTGGTGCGGGACATCATCGTCGCAATATCTGTCTATCATCAGGCGCGTGCTGGTGTTGCTTCCTTCCCGACTGCACAGAGTTGTGGAAGCTCTATGGCCAAGACGACGCTGGACTCGAGCTTGATCAACGATACCACTGTCCTGATGCACGCGTGTAAAGCGACACAAAGCCTCCGAGCCGCCCTGTCTAACGCGGATTGCTCTGATGCAGTGGTAGCGTCGTCATTTTTGTTCACATGGCTTGATATGTTGGACACGCAAATGCACTCGTGGCATCACCATCTCGACGGCATGAAAGACCTGATGTGCCTGCGGGAAACGAATGATGCATCAGCATCGACCGGAGGGTCTGTGTTCCAAGGATTTTTCCACGAGGCGTACGCCATGTATGTTACCTCCCAGCCTCAGCCCCGATACCTTTGCTTAACAAATTAAATAAACTGGTACTAGGATATCCATATTCGGCTCAACGCTGAGCAGGACCAAGATAGATCCTACTCGGGAGCTTCCACAGTTCGACCTGGGCGCTGTCTTGCAGCGGGCCCAGAGCTGGAGTTGGACCGGATGCCCTGCTGAGCTTGTTGAGATTCTACACGATTTGAACACACTGCAATCTCAAGGTTCCAATCTCCCTCAGAATGACGTGTCATCAATCCTGAGCCGACTCGAGAAGTTTTCTTGTTCAGAATGGGCGCTCCATTTCCCCGGTAAAGACCTTCATCAGCAACGACTTCACATGGCGTCGGCCTACAAGGGAGCCATCGTCATCTTCGCGTCTCAGGCCCTCAACTCGATCTGTGATAACCCATTCTTGGTGGACGAAATCGTCGACCTGACTTTACATCATCTCAAACAAATCTCACCGATCGACTCTCACTTTAAAGGAATCCTCTGGCCTGCCTTTATTCTTGGGGCAGAAACGCGTCTTCCGGAGCAACAAATGTGGATTTCGAGTACGCTGGAGCAGCTTTACGGTATGATACATATGTGGAATATCAAAAGGGGACTGTCGGTCCTGTGTCGACTCTGGGATCGCCCACTGCCCGCCGATGGCAGGAGGTCATGGCTTGAAGAGGTATACGACATGGACGAAAGGCTGATGCTGATATGAGTGCTCCATTGCTCTAAATTTGGCCTATATTATTTTCTTTCCGCCACCCGACTATCAGCCTGCAAGCCGGAGTCGCCCGCAAGGGTCCCGTCACGCAGACCCTCCTTCTCATCTACGGTGAGGCTACTTTTAGCCTTCTCAACCCTAATACCCAAGGCGACCAGTACAATGGCCACACCAGCACAGCCAGCGCCGAGGAAAAATGCTGTCTTATAGCTGCCTCTGACCCCCAAATAGGCAGTCTTGGACACCGCTAGATCCGCCCATCCGAGGAAGAAGGCAATACCCAGAAACACGAGGCCATTGACACACGCCCCCGCAAGACCCTGCTCATGCTTGGCTACATTCGTGGTGATGAAAATGCTGCTGACGTTGTACGAGATGTCGATTCCGAGCGTAGTGCAAACCATGGCTGGAAATACCCATGCCCAATAGCTGGGCTGCTCTGGCATGACGGCAAATAAAAGCACGCAGACCAGGAATCCGCTGCCTGACAACAGCAATAGCAGTGTCCCAGAAAGACGATGGAGCGTCATACCCCCTACTAGAGCGATGAGGATCCCCCCAGCGGCCAAGGGGGCAAACCACAGGGCAGCAAGGAAGGAGGGGACCTTGAGCACTGTCTCAATGCTGCTCGATGAGTTAGTAGACCATCCCTCTCGTGTGCCAGTGTTTACTTACTAGAAGCTTGCATAGAAGAGATAGATTCCAAAGCAGCCATACACGAGGAACAAGTACAGAAACAGTGGAACCATGTGCTTTGGGGCAAATATGCTTGCAGGCAAGAGTGGATGCGTAGCTCGTCTATTCTCGACATAGACGAACCCTGCCAATAATAGGGCGCCGAGGACGAATGTAACAATAATCTGTGGCGAGCCCCAGCCACCTCGTACATGCGAGCTTTCAGTGATGGCATAGACCAGCAGGAAGATACCCGGGATGCTGGTGGCGCAACCCCACCAGTCCATTGACCCTTGGCGAGGATGCACGTCGCGAGGGATACAAAAGAATGACACGAAGCCCGTGGCACCCAGCGACATGCTGACGATCCAGAAGAACCATCCCCAGTGGATGACCTGACCGCTCAAGCCAGCAACGAGGATCCCCGTGAAAAAGCCAAATGGTGCACAGCCACCGTAGAGACTGAAAACAAAGTTCTTTCGAGGACCTGGACGATAAACGTTACTCAGGAGCGCCAGGCCGGCTGGGAGATTCGCGGCGGATCCCAGCCCCTGAAGGGCCCGGGTAACGAGAAGCATGGTCAGGTTGGAGCTGAATCCTCCTACCAGGGTCCAGATGGTAAGCCAAGCGATACTCGTCAGAAACACAATACTCGCGCCGTACATGTCGCACAGCCGGCCAAAGGGTAGCAAGAAGGCACCAGCCACAAGGGTGAAGACGCTGGCCGGCCATGTCTGGCTTTCGGAGGGTATGTGTAATTCTCGGACAAGACTCGGCAGAAGGACACTCATTCCGCTGATCAGGAATTCCTGTTGGGACGGCAAGTAAAAACCACAGTCAGCGAACATCATTGGCTAATGCTCCAGGGTGAGTGACGCGCTGTTGCTACTTGTGAAGCGGCGACACATTGCTATAGGCATGGGCACTCACAGAGACTAGGTTGGATGCGAGAATAGAGATGCAGAAGCCAAGCTCCATGAAAACATTCTTGAAGACTGCAGGCCTCTTCCTCCCAAGCTCTTCGATGTCGTCGTCACTGGAGCCCGTCGGTCTTTCAGAGAGTCGGTCACCATGGGCCGGGCGTGTTGAGTCGGCTGACTGCTCGACGTCTGACATGGCGAGTGTCGGCGTGCTATGAGGATGAACAGAGGCAGGGCTTAAGATCTGCGATAATGGTAGGACGGAGCCACTAATTGCAACACACAGAGCCGAGCGCCATGAAGTATAAGATGGTATATTCAGACCGAGGGGAACAGGGCAGGGTGGAAAAGATCATTCTGAAATAGAGGATTGGCTCGACCAGCTAAGCAGCTGTGAGTAATTGCATCTCGAAGAGGCGACTCGATTGGTATACTCCAGTAGTCTACAGAAGTCTAACAACACGCGGTTCACCCTCTGGCACCAGCGTCAAGGCATCCAATGGCAAAGATTCTCTGGCGAGCTGACCAGGGAGTTTTGCCCGAAATAGGCAGTTAGAATGTATTTCCAAAACGTGGTGGGGACACGCACCAGCCAGGATAGGGGCTTGAGAATGACGGGCAACCTGTGGAGCTGCTAACTTTAGCGGGCGAAACAAGGTTCGCGGACCGACTCAGACATCCCAGAGTGATCGACCGGGAGATGTCAGTGCTTCTGATTGATGCTCGCACTTTTTTGACTCTTTTTGTTAATCATGGACTCCGTTGACCCCGGCGACGATTATGTGAGTGGTCGGTTGCCGTGAAACGCCACACATAATTGATGCATCACCCTCAAGATTGACTACGATGTCAGACGGTGTTCGTTTCTCGTCCTTGTCAAGCGTACAATTTCCAAATCCGCAACCTCGAAAACGTCAAGATGGACGTTTGCAATGGCAGTGCAACGGTCCTTGTCGTCAATGCCGTTGATGTCGACCTGATCGCACACTAAATACACTTTTGAGAAATGTTTTCCTATACACCTCTCGCAATGCACAGATGATAGAAATTTGATGCAGGTATACAAGGTCCTAGAACTGCGGACGACGCAGAAATAAATTTTCGACGTCTTGTTCATCAAAGTCACCTTGATTTTTTGTGGCTTCATCACCATCTAGCTGGCCTAGAATTACTGTTTTGCATTTACTTCTTTTCTTCCTGTTGTTATTTTAAACTTCTTTTTTGTTGCAAGTCAACTTTATCAGGTATGAAATCAAGCTTCTAGCGCCATCAAACACTTGTATTAATCCAGTATAAATCAGTCAGCCATGAACGCAGCAAACTCCCATCGAGCATCCTACTTCGACCTTGGTGGCCTGCCTGGCCCCAATACCCGACGGCAGTCTGCTACAGTCACAGTTCAGCGAAGACGCACGTTCGTTGCCGTCGACTACGCCGAGTATAGGGCCAAGTGCGACCTTGTCAGGGACTCAAGAAGCTCATCAGGCGTCTACGATATCAAATGGGAAAAGGAACAAGAGCAGGACCAACGTGGCTCGTTTGACTTTCGGGAACAGCTGAGGGTCATGGCCACCGTTTACCCTTATCGAGACGCAAATTGGATCATCGCGGTCTTTTTCGTCGTTGGTAGTATTTCCTTTACCATCAATGGCTTCTTTGGACTTCTGCCACTCGTAGCGCCTTCGACGGCCTTTCCGACGGAGGCAACCCTTGCAGCCCCCGTAACCAACGCGATCGGAGCCGCCTTGTTCGTATCGGCTGGGATCCTGTCCTTGCCCGCTATCTGGAATACTGGGAACGGCACCTTAGAGCCTGTCTCCTCATCCTCTTCTTCGTATTCCAAATTTGAAGGAGACGAGGAGCAGGCCAAGACCTACCAGCCAGCGTTGCTTGGTAGTCCCTCTTGGGTATGGCTGCCCAGCCGAAGCACGCTTAAGGATGCGCTGAAGACAACTCCCTTCCAGTCGGGGGCCATGCAGCTCTTTGCCGGCTCCGTGTTAACGACCAGCGTCGTGTTCGGGTTCCCGGGTGTACTGGCCCCTGACGACCTTTTCGGCCTATCCGCCTTCGTCTTCACACCTTTGCTGATAGGGGGAGGAATATTCACTATATCCAACATCATGCTGCTGCTATTCGTGCAGGAGCGGTGGTACAAGCCTCGTTTCGGGACAGCTGCCTGGCAGGCATCGCTGTGGAATGTCATTGCCTCGACTCTCTTCGCCATCACTGGTGTTCTGTTTTTGAGTGGAGATACCCTGGAAGGCTCCGTGGCGTCTTTCATTGGAAGTTGGGCTTTCTTGATCGGGAGCGTAATACAGTGGTACGATATGATGGCATTCTATTGCGGTCGAGTTTGAAAATGAGGGGAGAAGGCTGGATTGAGACGTAGCATCTTTCGTAAACCGCCGTGCTGACCGGTCTTCTAGAGTGTACATGTTTCCTACTGAGATGGAATTCAATTACTTAGAAATGTCAGGTTGAGTTACGTAGGATCATGCTGGCGCTGCCTCAGAATTGCCCTAGAGAAAGATTTAAGCCTGAATGCCAATTATATGTCCTGGATACGTTGCAATGTGAATGAGGCACCGCATGAAGCCTTGTCCTGCCGTATTTCAGCGCTTGCAGGTACCATAGGGCTGCTGGGGCTCCGGAAATGTCGGCCTTTAATCATTTCAGCAGCAGTCGCCCGCCCGCTGCATTGCGACCCTACGCGCACACACTTTGGAAGGTATAACGACAACGTTATCCAGTAAAGACATCCTGCCCACGTTGTATTATGCGATGGCATGTGACGTGAGCCTTCCGCCAAGTCCTTAATCCAGGGAGCAAATGTCGTTTCTGTACCGAGAATGTAATACAGGGCCAATACGATTGTAAAATGTTGTGCCTAGGTTGGGGGACGGGGGTACCATGCTACATCGTGATCGTTGCGATGTGGTAATAGTCTGATTTGAAAACTATATGCGATACGAGAATGGACTCTAATCATTACATAAGGGATAAGGTTCGGGGGAAGGGCACGGGCACAGTGCAGTCCGCAGGAAGGTCACCGATTCGTCTGCACTAGTCTAGCACTCTCGTAGGCGAGTTGGGCTAGGTAAAGGTATAGAATATTGTATTTTATAAATCCTGTCGAAAACGACTTCACGGTGTAATGATACAATGGTATTTCACATGAAAAATATATGCTCCGGCGTCCTGACTCTGTCAACAGAGTTTATTAATCCTGCACTAGACAGATGGCATCACTGCTGTTGAGATGGGCAGACATGTGCGAGAGACCTGGGAGTACAATTTATCCACGCCCGGTCCCTTACATAGAAATGACCGAATTCAGTTATTTTAAGCCCAAAGTCTGCCATTGTACGGGCCACAGGGGTGTTGCGATTGTTCGGTAAGAGTTTCGATCTTCCCTACCGAAATAGACCCAATGCACCAGTGACCTTGCCAGAAGGTAACAGTTCTGGTAGTCGTCACAAATGTCAACGACATTCACCTCTGGGATCGTCCATGAAGCACCCCAGAATCCCAGGAAAATTTTGTGACCACGAATACCGAATACGATTGGCTAGCTAGGAGAGAAAGGGAAGGAGGAAGTTGGCTACATTATTGCGCACTATGAACACTGCAGCGTTGAGTCTGGTGGGCTGTATTGCTGTATTCAATTATCACACTCATATCGCCGTGCAGCGTAGAAGCTTGTTTTACCTCCCTCCACCCCCTCATTCTTTATCTTTTGTTTGCAGTTACCTGATCATATATTCAATGTTCATAATGCACCCTTCGTTTGTCCTCCTCGCCTTGGGGTTGGGATTCAGTGCCCGTGCCGTTACCATTGATATGGAAGGGCTGCCAGATACTGGACTTGATACTTCATCATGGACGACGGGCGAGGCTCCTCCGATTGCGAGCTTGGTTGATATCAACGATATGCAAATCGCTGCCAAAAATACACTCGCTCCTTCTGATTACGCCTACTATCGGGCGGCTGCTCTAGATGAGATTAGTATGACGAACAAGCAAAGATAGTAGAGCTTGACACCAATCACTAACAGCCCTTCAGCTTATCAAGCCAACATGCTAGGGTGGTCGAAATTGCGGCTTAACGGGTTCAGCTTCACAAATGTTTCGAACGTGAACTTAAGGTATGTGGAGACTTTGATTCCTAGTCTAATGAAGCCAGGTTCTGACTTCTCCTTTATAGGACTACCATACTTGGCTACAACTTCTCCATGCCCTTCTTCATTGCACCCGTCGCGCAAGCGGGTCGATCAAGTTCTGGTGCCGAAACCAACCTTGTCAAAGCTGCCGCTGCTGCTGGCATTCTCTACGTACCCTCTATTTCCAGTACCCAGTCAATCCAGACCATCGGCGCCGCCGCCGCTCTTGGCCAAGTCATGTTCCACCAGGAATACGTTTGGTCGGATAAAGACAGGCTGCAGTCCGAGCTAGATCAGATCAAAGCTGCGAGTTTCAAGGCTATCTTCCTCACAGTTGATAATACGGGGGTTAATGGTGTCCGCGACCGCCAAATGCGTTTCTCGGTCGGGGGCGATACTGGCCACTCAGCAACATTTACGATTGCCTCTCTACAGCAACTTCAGGAGATGACAACTCTACCAATCGTGCCAAAAGGTATCAAGACAGCACATGACGTGAAACTATGCGCAGAGCTCGGCTTCAAGGCCGTGTACATCTCCAACCATGGCGGCCGAGTTGTTGATCTCGCACCCACGGCCGTTGAAATTCTCCTCGATGTCCACAAGAATTACCCGGAAGTCTTTAGTCAACTTGAGATCTACGCTGACGGTGGTGTCCGACGCGCTTCACACGTTTTGGCATTGCTAGCGCTTGGTGCACGTGCAGTGGGTCTAGGCAGACCGGCCATGTTCGCTAATATCTACGGCCAATCCGGAGTGGCGAAGATGATCAACATTCTTCGAACTGAGTTGACGACGGAGATGCAGCTCATGGGCGAAGCTGATATCAACAGGTATCGGGGAAATACCACGTTTGTGAGTTGGCTGAGACATCGTTCAATCTCAACCAAGATCACTAAGTCAGGATCGATGTACAGGTCAACACTAAGCAAGTCGAGCTTGAATACTTTGGCGCACCGCTTTAAGGGTCTTGTAATAAAATCTGGGTTGTTTTGATAATGCACCTTGTCATCATGCCTTTCGGTGGCTTAAGTTTCAATGTATTTGAAAGGGGCCATGAAGTTTCTGGTCCAGGGCGAAAAAGACAGCCTTCATGGAGAAGTAAAATCGCGAGTAAGGACATTAGTCTAGTTGCCTTTGCACAACGATGCTTAATATTGAGGTCTCTCTCATGTTCTCGTTTTTCCCACGGCGATAATCATGCACGTCCTCACCCGGGCTGACACTCGAGGATTGGCGCACCACGGCTTTTATCCATCTAAATACATTCTAAATGCGCATGATAGCCAAACCGACATTGGTGAGATTCCCTTTTGCCTGTCCAAAGTTGCTTGGATCCACATTTAGCCTTCTGAAGTCTTCATGGACGGCGAATCTGAATAGGAATCCCATTTGATTTTGAGTGCGGTTGATCGGTGTGAATCACGATGACTTTACAAACAATGGAATTACTACGCCAGGTAATGAACTGCATTTAAATACGGCTCATACGTGAGACCTGAAAGACGGCGGCAGTTGAGATGAAGCGCAGTCCCTTCTTCGAAGCTCACGGGACCGGAGGATCAGGCCGCAACTCAATTAAGGCTAGCCTCAAGAGTTCGTCCATTTTCGACCTAGACACGACCCGATCCAAATATGAAATGAAGCTCCGCGTGAAAGTCTGAGGAGAGTCAGTAGGATGGTAAAGCGAGTCACTGTCATATTATTTATACACAATCAGAGGATTTAATAGAGATAATCGGCGTGAACTCATGACATCCAGGGATCTCACAGCAAGCCACTCACATTCACCAGTAAGTTTAATGGAGTGTCTAATCAGGACCGGAAATGAATCTACCATTATGAAAGCACAATGCCATGGAGCTATAGACCTGCCCCGCGAACGACGACACCCTCAAGCACTACCACAGCACACATTGCCTTGGCTTTCTCCATCAATCAGTCGGTAATAGCTGCCGGAAGTACCAGTATAGGCCTTTGCAAGATATACGGGTTGTTGAAGATGGCACTCAGCCATATCTAGGTTGCGAATGGAGACCTCGTTTCGTATACCGATTTTGCCCAACTCACTCAATTCGATTGGGTCAGACCAGTTCGATTTTCTTGATGTACGTCTTGAACTTTTATGTCCCCATGAAAGGGAGCCACTGCTATACAAGCTACTGGAGAGTCTCGCCCATCCTTTGGGTATAACTTTCAGCAGCGGGCGGAGGGCGAGCACGGAACTAGCGAAAGTGGACAGCCCGTGTTCCACAATAGACCATATCATGGCCTGATACCCACGAGCAACGTAGTCGACATTTCCGTGAGAATGGAAGCCATTGTCAGAGTTCCTGAGTTTTATTGCAGCGGCGCCGGCGGCACTATGTCATTTCAGCCTATCAGAATCCGCCACGTTCTAACCGAGGCGAGGAGTTTTAGATAGCAGATATTAAGAAACCACAGATCAACTTACAGAAGCTCAACACTGAACAAACCAACGACACTACATTTCACAGTTCTGCTGATTTGGACGTTCCATAGGATCAGGATAGGTAATATGACATGAAAGACGTCATAGATAACCTGAAGAAACTCTCGAGAGTAGGTGGTGTTATAACACGTTGTTTTGTCAACAATACCGTAATATGGGCTCCGTTTCATACAAGCTAGGGAAACCAAAAGCGTAGTGGAAACAGTCCAAATACTGCATGTGACAATATCGAGAATGATGGCAGAGCGCATGAAAGGACGGTTATCAAGGCGATAGAGAACGAGGGCGACACTGATCTTAACAGTCCCAGATATTATGAAACAGACGACACACATTGCAAAATAGTACTGAAGACCATATTCAGTATCAAGGAAATGAGAGGGAGCATGGCAAGGTAAGACTTACCATATCGGCTTTCGTCTCGTCATGCCACGGCTTTGCGTCGGCAGCGTACTTTCCATAGTGTAGTGATTGTAACGACAGCCCAACGAAAAGAACCATTCCCACCTAGGACTCCCTTGTGATTAGCCTAGCTTGCTGGAGAAGATTCTGAGCTGTCAAAAATGTATAGAGGCCAAGTGGTATTGGAGCTCACGTATGTGAAGACAAGGGCAACATCATCCCAGCCAAATGCTCCTTTCGTAAGCTTAGTGCGTACCAGCACGCGCAGGCCAACAGTGATCGTGTTGAGCACGGTGAAGAACACGAATAATCCGATCAACTTGTCGTGCCAAGCCATGGTGGATAATAATTTACAATATAAGAGCACGGTTTTCAAAAGAGCGGAGCGATGTCGTTATACGATGACTGAACACGCCTCAATTGTATTTGCAATACGGACTTGATTGATGTCGTGGAGGTTCGGATATTCTGACCGTAGTGGGATAGAGAGTTGGAGACCAATACTTATATAAATACCAGCCCCAGACCTAGTCCTAAGTGAAGTAGATCATGGACGACAGCCTTCTTCCCGTCAATGGGGCTGTGGTAAACCTGACCCCTTTTGCCATTGTACAACGCGGAGCGGCCGACTTTGGGGGACACAAAAAGCCTCAAGATGTTCAGCTCGAACTCTGGAAACTGAAATAGTTCCATTTATTATCGGGGTGGGTTAGCGAAAACTTGGCATGCACAATCGCGGTGGTATGGTCGCGTCAGCCTACTTTATCTTTGCGGGCGGCCAAAAATGTTTGGGCAGGGGAGATGGGGAACTCCGGCCGCGAAATATGAGCTATGCAAGGCATCGGCTTATACACAGCATACAAGTGTAGTTTGGGAGTTGTTACATTGCACCAGCAGGGCGTACCACAAAGATAAGAGGGCACGATTTTCGCAATGAGTAAGGCAAAACGGAACTGTGAACTGTTTGGAGTCTAGTCCCGGATCTGATCGCAGAGGGTCACTTACTCCTTTCTGATATATGAGGCTCTAGCAATTCAGTCAACCCTGGTGTCAAACACAATTAGACTCACCAAAGACTTTTTTTTTTAAAAAAAAAAATACCCTTGAAAATCAAGGAATGCCGCCGCATTCATCCGGAAGATGTTGGAGGGGGGGGGGGCACGGCTCTCATCAGCTATGCCACCTACTTGTAAAGGTGCTCTTTTCAATTCTAGAGAGAGACAAGGAATGTGGTTAAAGACGAAACTTAAGACAATATTAATTGCAAAATATCTTTTGGCCACGTTTTGAATATTCTGAGATTTCTAAGATTGCTTCCTCGCTCTACTACACAGATTAAGCCATCCCGGATTTTGAAATAACGGTTTAGTGCCATGGCGCTGACGACAAACAGGGATAGGAACAGGTGGTCGCAGTGATATGACCCGTCTGGAGCATGCGGGCGCTCGTGTAGTCAGGCTTTTGGCAGGCTTTGACATCCCATATCCAGCTAGGAGGATTTTGATTCTACAGTCCTCGCTTGAGACCTGTTCGGCAAGGGTCTGCAGAGCGGATCTGAGCTTGTCTAACTGGCTGGTATCCTTTCTGACCTTAGCGATGTCGTCCGCTTCGACGATGATGTAGCGATTTCTAAACTGCGATAGCATGAGACGCATCAGCTCCGCCATTTGGGCCTCATTTGTGTTATTCATTTTGCCATCCAGAAACCTTGCTGCCTTGACGGGTCCAAATTTGTAGAGCTGCCAGGCCAGGCTGCTCAGGATGCTGGCCACGGTCACGTCCTCATCCCTGCAAGCGGCGGCTGAGAGGCTCCAGCAGACTGCTTCGGCTATCGGTTGCAGCACGCTCCCGACCAGCTCAGCGGCAATTTGTTTGCCGCAAGTTGTCTCTAGTATAAGCAGTGAAGAAGATGGGAATTCAATCCAGTCGCCGATAGCCTGGACCAGGGTGACAATATCCTGATTCTGCATAGTCCACGGCTGTTGTGCTCTCTGGGCACTGCGCTGCCTGATGAGTGCCTGACTTGGAAGGATTCGCGGCTCGAGGGTCTTGAATTCCTCGCGAAACTCGATGCCACAGATACGAGGTTGAATATCAACCACACGACACGTAGTATCCTGGGTATCGTCGAGAATTTCGTTCACCGTAGCTGAAAGTGATTGTTTTGGAAGAGTCAGTGAGAGCATCAGAATGCGAAATGAAAACGCGGACTGAAGAATATAGGTACAAACTCTTTGTCTCTTCGTGAATGTCATGGTGTCTAGGAAACAATTTGCCTTGGCCTGCCCAGGTGTTTAACTTCGACAAATCACACCGATTTAGGTGTGATCTAGCTACACAGTAACCTTAGATATTGCCAGTGAGTTAAGTATTCAAGCAGGCGGTCCTTAATCAGATAGAGCTGCGTGCCGGGTTGTGTATACGACCCTGAAAGTGCTGTAGGCGTACAGAAATGATCCATTACCTCAATTGCGACTCCACTTCATCTATGTAACAGTCTGCTTGGCAGCTGTATGCCATTTTTTGTCACCTGTATCTGACATAGACAACACAAACCTTAATAGCATTCCCCGCAATCCGATGAAAGCAATTCGCCGTGGACTCCGATTTTCATTTTTGGCAGCAGATGAATATGCCTTTAACTTTGAACGAGAAATGAGAATGTAACAGAGAATGTGTTGAATGAGACGTCTCGTCGTCATTGTACGCGCACGTCTTAGGAACTGCGCGGCACACTGCACGGAGAACTTGAATATAATTGTCAGACAAATATGACACTTCAGCGAGTTCATAATTGAGGTCTCCTCGCTCTAAGCTCACACAGCGTCAACTGCTTAGTGCACTGCTGTTCCGTTATCAATCATGTTAGCTTCCGCTTTCTTCTATGTAGCGCTTGCGAGCTGGTGCTCTCACGTTGCTGCAGAGTTGCTGAACACGGCTTGGCTTCTAAACGACGGAGCACCGCAGGGCAATCTTCAAAACGTCAGCGGAGGTCTGTTAGACCCAACAAGGAGAGAATCCGGGAGGGATAAACACAACTAATTCTGCTCATTCTAGTGTCAATGTATTTTGCAAGACCATCCGACAACAGCTCAACCCGCGCCGACAAGGCTGTCTTGCTTCTCCCAGATATCTACGGACTCGCAATTCCCTACGCGCTGCGGCAAGTTAAAGACCCAGTTACGAAAACCATTCTCGCATGAATCATCCTCTGACTTGATATCCCTTGGGCTCGACGCTGACAACGTGATGCGTGCAGAATGGCAGATAGCTACGCTCGTGCAGGGTATTTCACCGTGGCCATCGACACCTTCGAAGGAGACCCAGCACCGTACCCGTTGGGTGCAAATCCTGACTTTGATGTTGGGATATGGTGGCAGGGCCACCTCCCCAATGTGACCGATCCCATCGTTGAGACGGCCATTGAGTACGTCCGGCACTCACTCGGATTTCCTCGGGTCGGCATTGCCGGATATTGCTACGGCGGATACTACTCGGCCCGCTTCCTGGCGGATAACCGTACCATTCGCGCGGATGCCGCCTTTGCTGTCACGCCGAGCCAGGCCGTGTCTGGGGTCGCTGACACTCTGGCCGAGATCGCGTTGGTGTCCGGGCCGATCACCTATGCTTTCGCAGGTATGTTTATGCGTTCTCGCCATCTTGACAGGACTGCTGAAGGGTGCACTGCAGCCGCGGCTGACTTGGTGAATAACCAGAAATCGACAACAGGATGCCGAGAGATTTAGTGAATGACATCGTGGACACGCTGAACAACAGTCGAGCCACGGATGCTCCCTATCAGTCGGTGGTGTATGGAAACAGTAATCATGGTTTTGGACTCCGCGGCGAGACCTTGAATCTCCAGGCGGACAATTCTTCCAATCCGGAAGAGGTGTTTGCGAAGGAGTCGGCTTTCTTACAGTCCGTCAGGTGGTTCGACACGTACCTCTAATGGTGAGGTCACCTCAGATATCCATCCTGGCGCTGCTCTACTATCTCTTTCTTCTCGCGTCTACGCCAAAGATCCTTTCCCCCTCCTGCCCTGTCTACCTGATCTTTGAATATAATCATGTGGATAGCATTTTAAGAACGTGTCCTTTATAGTACATCGGACAGCGATCGACAGGCTTTCTTTCTTTGTGGAGCTTCTCCATCCATAGCAAAACTTGAAGTTGATACAGCAGTTTGGATTCGATTCTGTATTTGCTATTCTACTTCGTATTTCTCAAAAGTCATATTTACATGATCTTTCCGTGAATGGAATCATGGTTAAAGATAATAATGACGCCCCCTTCTGCGCATTCCAAGATTTCATTTCCTAACTGGATTTACCGAGTTGAGCTTCTGCACTCTTTGGTTGATTTCTGCATAGCTATCTCCAATTTTCTTCATACCAGCCTGAATGATCGATCCGTCGGCACCACTCAGCGACCACGAGGCGCCCATGGCGAACCACTTCTCCAAGAGATCCTTCCTGCCCCCAATACCGCCAATGCCTATAGGCTTTCCTGCTCTCTTGGCCTCGAGTACCACCGCCGTCACAGCATCTTGATATAGTGGATTGTCATACTGGCCAGGTATGCCTAGGTCGGTACAAAGGTCATTTGAGCCGATCAGGAGTCCATCAACGCCGTCCAGAGCCAAGATCTCGGCGGCGGCAGCAACGGCAGCCGGAGTCTCGATCATGGGGATGAGCATAGTCTCGCGGTTCAGCGTCTCATTTTGAGTGGTGAAAGAAACATGTCGGAAGTCGAACAAAGGTTGGTTGTTGGTCGACCCGCGCTGGCCCAGCGGCGCAAACTTGGCGGCACGCACGAGTTCACGTGCCTCGTCCACGCTGTCGACGTGCGGTACGACGACGGCTGCTGCGCCGGCATCGAGTGCGCGGCTCAAATGAAAGTGCGACTTGCTGGGGACGCGGACTATGGGCGAGACGCCGACGTAGTTGCACGCCAGCACGAGCTGTGCCACCGCGTGTAGGTCTTGGCTCGAGTGCTCCATGTCCAGGAACATGCCGTGGATTCCAGCTGTCTTGCACATCATGGCCATCTCGTTGGTGAGCATGAATTTCACAGACATGACGGCGCTGATCTGGCCCGAAAGGATGCGTGAGCGAAATGGGTTTGATATGGACATGGTCGGGCTGCTAGGTGCTCCCTTTGTTCCGGTTGAGCCCATCGTTTGTGTATGTGTCTGTGTATTTATGATATGTCGGATGAGAAATGCAATTGAATAAGTCGACCAGCGTTTTTTGCGCCGTCAATGGTTTGCCTTTGAGCATTTATACCCATGTATGCGTACATGGATTTAATTGCCGACGATCGTTTTCAATATCACGTACCGTGGGCTACAAGGCTTCTAGTGCTCAGGGACAGTGAGGTGCTTGATTACCTCAGCTCGAAGAACAGCGACTGAACAGTTGGGATCAACGATCTCTCCATATCATGGAAATAGTTATCCATGTGATCAGTGCTTGGGTGGCAGTCAGGCATGCTCAAGCTTTGGGGATCGGATCGGCCCCGCACCGATGGTGTCTTTCGGACATGCGCCGACGAGGACCTCGGCATGCCGCGGCGGCTCAACTCAGTCCTGACTTAGACCAATGCAAGGGTCGGAGTGCTGGGAATCTTGTATGAGATTTTTCCCTTCGACACAGGAAAGGTAGGAAGTCACACACCCAGTCTACCTTAGTCGTGATTAATCTTTCGAGGCTTAACTCCCGACAAGGAAGTCTGCCCGGCGTTTTCAAATAACTGTACTACATAGTGACCAGACCCAGCCCACAGAATGCACCAGAAAAGCTCATACGTTCGGAGCCAGAGAACTGTTGACCAGATACTTATAGAGACATGAGTTCAAGTTTTATTGGAACAACGCCATGTTAAAGCTCGCGTCCCCGTACGCGTACTCGCCCAGTCCAGCTTCCATAGTCCACAATGTGTTATCCTCTGTCAATGAAACCCAAGGAAACGTTGAATATTCACTTGGCGATGTAACGTCAAGGGGAAATATGTCAGAGTGGTCAAGCTCGGCTCTTATACCATGTAAATCACTGGTCCCTGGGTTGGTCTCGCCACTTTGGGGCGACCTCAACCCTAACATGTTCATGCTGAGAGACGCTCGATCATCAGTCTCCCGGGGTGGCTCTCGGAATCTGGTCTGAGAGCTCAAATAAGATCGATTAAAAATCTCCGGCTGACGGTGCTGTTGCTCCGAGAATGGCTCCGTTCCCGCGGCCCCATGATTCGGCCAGCTTGGAGTGGAGACTACAGTGCGGCGGCTGCTACTGCTCCTTTGATTGAATTTCTTGGCGACGTTGCGATGAAGCGCTCCGAAAACTGTCACGTAAGGCTTGGCATCAGGCAGCTTGTCTCCCAGCCGCCTGAGTGTATCTTCGCACGTAGCCAAAGCTTTCAGACTGGAATCTGTATAGATGGAGTCGTTATTGGATCCTTCAGAGACTGAGATAGAGAGCATGATGGAGAGGCCAGCGGTGAAGAGAAACGAGAAATAACTCCGAGTGTAGGTGATGGAGTTCCTCGCGTACAGTCCGGAAAACAGCTCAACCCCTCGACTGGCGGTCTTGAGGCATAGGACTAATAGGTTTTGTGGTGGCACGCCCTTGCGTTTCGGGACGACATCCATGGTCCGTCGGATGAGGAGCAGTTTCTCTCTCGCGTGAAGGAATTCAAAGTACTCGGGCTTTTCGTAGAGACACTTTGGAGCTGTGATTACCGGCGTGGACTTGCGCCACTCTTCAAGCGCAACAAGCAGTTCGTCAAGTGCGCAAAATACCTTGCCCGAAGCTAGGAATTGAGGCTGGTCAGAGGAATGCCTGCTGTTGCCCCTGGCGGTGGCCGATGTAAACTTTTGTATTCGTGATGTGATTTGACGAAGTCGGACACACGCCAGAAACACAGTCATCTCGTTCGGGCAAGACCCGGTATATCGCCCCTCTAAGTTAGTCAGGTCAGGATAGATCGCGCTGGCTGCAACCAGGTCGTCGTCATTTACGTGAGAAGGCATCGCGGCAGAGATGTCTTGATCGGTTATGGCGAACGGGCGGTCGAGCGTGGACGAGCTGTAACGGTCGATCATGTAGCACTCCCAGAAAACCCTGCGCTGCAGCTGCTCCTCCAATAACGGAATACGTCGCCTGGGTGGCCGATGAAGCCCCTGCTGAACACACATACGGACGCACAGCTGGATCACGTCCCAGATTGAAGTTCCTGCAGTGAGAAGGGATGGCCTTCAGGTCAGCGGCCGAGGGCACTAGGCAGTAACAAGCTATTGATGGAAAACGACTCATGGTACAGACCTATATGGTGGTAGATGGCGAAGCGGCAAATTAGCAAGAGATCCTGTATGGCCGGAATCCCGTCGGCCATGAAGCCCGTATCGAAGTGCCTCATGGCGGCTCGATAGTATCCGAATGAATGATGCGCATGCCTTCCACTCCTGTACAGTGTAATGCTCCCTGTTGCTAGAATCATGAATGTACGGAAAATATCACGAGGAGCTGGCGAGCTGTTGGGGTTGAAGACGCGGGAAAAGGTAGTTTCAATGTCCTGACGTAGAAGGAAGGGATTTTGAACTTGAGGTCCGTCGAGGCTAGAGTGGGGCAAGAGTATGATATGTCAGTGAATTACTTTGTTTCAATAAACTCGATAGGAGTTTCCCTTTTGATTCGAAGAGAATAAAAGAGGAACTGCGTCTTACTAGAGGTCAAAAATGAGCCTTGCCTCTTCACGCGCAGGGAGTTGGTTGGGAGGGATTGCCGCCTCTGCGGCCCCGGGCTTGCTAGCCAGGCCGTGTAAGAGGCTTGCTTGTTCACCTCGCCAAGCTTCGCTGGTGAAAAGAAGTCTGAGGAACCTGTGTGTTTGTGTAAACTGGTCAAAGAGTGCGTTGCCGTGTACTTGTTGGAGCCATCTTCATACCTATATCCGCCTCCATCGGCGATGACGGAGCCTGTATGCGTCTTCGGAAATGTGGACATCGCCCTAGCTCTAGGGTTTGCCGGGCTAGGCTGTACGGTAACGCTGTCAACATCTGGAGAAAGATGCTGCTCAGGATCATCATAAGAGCCCGACGAGAGACGTGAGGCTGGTTCCGGCCGTGCCTTCTGCTCCAAAGCGTGCAAGTATCTTGACAAGTAATCAAACAGTCAGCAAGCATTCAAATCAGTAAAAACACTTTGTGGCAGTGCATTTTAAAAGTCACCTGTAATAGTGGCCAGAAACATGACCTCTGTTCTTGATCACAAGGACAACAGGCAAAGTTCTCTTGTTCTTGTCATGCACATAAATCACTCAAGTAAATACATGTGTTCAGGTTGGTCAACTGGTGGATACAATGATAGCCACCAGCCTCGAAATGGAACGACTCACCGTCTTGTGATCCTTCCATCCGCATTACCGTTACCGCTGGTGTTGATTGTCGAGACTGCTTGCACGCATTCAACAGTAAGTTTGGCACACGGCCGGCAACTCGGTCTTTCGCTATCACACTGTGTATAGAAGGGCCACAGTTAGAAGTCTGTCCGTCTGCCCGAGAGTCATTCTTTCGCCCAACCAGAGGATTCGCAGATTTTATTCACCTTGACTTTGCGCTGGTGACATGCCTGACAAGCAGGAAGCCGTGGGAGTGCCATGTCGCCGACCGAGTTGGAAAGGCTTGCATGAGAAATGAGACCCTCCTAAGCTTTGACCGAAGGGGGCTTTGTTTTAATGTGGATTTGATGCATTAGTTCCCCGCTAATTATTCAGTACCCAAAGAGTAAGTCCAAAGACCTTCTGTGATTATGAATTAACTATTTTGCTGCGGTCAGATGATACCTCTTTGATATTCTCATGAGGTGTACGAGCACTGATTTCAGGAAAAGTAAGGTTCTTCTCAATGGTATGCTTTGACTGTTGTTATTATTTAGATAAACACCCCCCCCCCCCTTTCCGCCCCGCGCTGCACCCCATATTGTGCCCCACACCCCTTACCCCGCATGAACAGGGATATCTCTGGCGGGTGGGTCTACAAAGTCGGTGGTCTTCCGGTCCAGGTCCGGTCCTGCTTTTCACGTGACCTCGCCCACGCCGACCGACAACGCCATGGCAGACTGAGCCGAGCCACGCCGCGACATTGTGCATCTGTGTTCTCAGAGGCTTGAGTGTCTTTTTCCTTTGTCTTCCGTCTATCAATCTTGGCTCTCGTTTTGCCATACCAAATTGCCGTTGCGAACCACGTCCTTCCCCTCTCTCCTCCGTTACGAATAGGAGCAAAGCAGGAATAGGTCCAAACACTTGCGAACATGGAGCCCTCGTCGGCAAAGGACAGCGGATTAGGGTCATCACGAAGTCAGGCCTGTGAGAGATGTTGGAAGCGGAAACAGAGGGTCAGAGTCCTGTAGTTTTATGTCTTACATATGCTTGCTCGACTTTCACCCAGTCCATCTCGTCTTATCACCGCAACAACCGACACCTCGAAGAGAATACAGGCGGGCTGACGATCTGTCTTTGACGTTTGTGAGATATAGTGCGACAGAATGCTGCCATCATGCTCTGCCTGTGCTACTCTCGGCATCGAGTGTACGCAGCGCACCATTAGCTTCAAATTCAATGTCGTCCCCGATGGCGATGAAACCAGCAATCTCACAAATGCAACACTGGGCAGGTCAGTGGCCCTCGCGATTCTGTCTCAACTATTATAAGCATAGCAAAATCTGGGACGCATTACCTGACTATGCCTATCTCCTACTTGTAGCTATGTAGAATCCCTGAAGAATACCATTGAACAAGGACAAGAGCCTCGGCGTCCTCGCAAACGGGCTCGCACAAACGGCGACTCCTCTCTGATTACATCGCCTTCCCCGGACCTGGGTGGTGACGATACGCCCACCGCCGGGAGCCATCGGCTAGATTCTCATTGTGCCGAAACGGCAACACCACAGCTGGCCCAACACGATGATGACGACAATACCCTGCGAGGCCACCCGACCCAAACGACCAACGTGCCATGTGAGGCTGACACTGCGGATTGTGATGGCGAAGCTTCAGTTCGTGCGTCTTTGAGTGGTATCAGCTTCCTATCGCAGGACGCAATGGCAGAGCCTCGAGGTGACGGGTTTGCAAACATTCCGCAGAGGATAGGTATGGCAAATCTTGTCAAGGCCGCCACCGCGTTGGATGGTGCCGACCCTGCCCGACCTACCAGGCCGGACCCATCCCTTTCCGTTTTGATGACCATGGCAGGAGGCGCCACAGAAGATCTTCAAATGAACCGAAAGGCTACGGAGAAATTCATGAACTTGTTCCTTGATGAGGTTGCCATTCTTTACCCGTACTTTGACCGCGAGCGGATCGAAGGACAGTACCAGCTTGTTGTCCATGACGAAAACGAGCCTCCTCGCAACAGAGCATACTTGCCATCCGATGCCGACAAATTTAGTACCTATATGGCTCTTTGCATTGGCACGTTACTGTCTTCAGAGTCTATGCGCCTCGAATCATACAGGACCAAGCTGCGAAAGACGTCTTTGGGCCTACTCTACTCCCTGTTAGAGGATGGCGACAGCCTCGTCCCCATCATGTGTCTTATTCTCCTAACTATTTATGCAACCCTGAGCTCTGATGGCGGTTCCGCCTGGCAATTGCTCGGCTTGGGCATGAGGCAGTGCATATTTATGGGTCTGCATCGTGAATCAGAGCAATACACAAAGGCAGAAATGGATACTCGGAGACGACTGTTCTGGACCATGTATATTCTGGACAGGTACGTCTTTCTCCCCTTCTCGTATCACTCATCACGAAGGTAATATCATGCTGACATAGATCCCTCTAAAGATCCATCAGCTCGGTCATGGATAGACCCTTTCTAATTCAAGATGACGAAATATCCGTACATGTATGTGTGTGCCCTCAGATATGGCTGGATTGGCTGTGCAGCCAGTCTAACCGTCCTCAAGCCTTCCAACCAACCCACTGATCGAGATTTTCATAGTTACCTGACATGCACTCAATGCGCCACCTCGGAGGCAGATCTTCACCCCTTAGCGCTTACATCCTGATCCAGGCACGCTTGCTCTCAAATATTCGTACCAACCCGGATCAGCCGCTTCTGTTTCATTATAGCAATTTTCAACATTACCAAGATTTCAAACCCAGATTGGCCGACAACCATAAGGTCATGTCACAGCCAAGCTCGATTCGGCTAGAGCAGAACAGTGCCCGGATCCTCACGCATATTGCCTATGCAGCCTTGTTGACGACAGAGGGACACACCGCGAATTCATCTTCCGTCTTCGACATGGAAACGATGAGCGATGAGATTAGCATGGCATGCAAGAGATTCGTCGATTCGCTGTACGATAGATCTGACCAGACCCACTTTGTTGGCTCTTTTGTCGACGCCTACGATATTTTCGTTTCTGGCATGTTTTACATCTATCTAGAACAGCGACACGGCTCCGATGCTCAGAATTACGAGTCTCTAACTAAGCCTGACGGTGTGCGGGGCGGACATGCCGGTCTTGTCAACGACATGGTCAATAAATGCTGTACGCTAATTGCCGGGGTCGAAGCTCGTTTTGGGGCGGTCAAGGCTTTTAGAAGGGTGCTTCGTGACTTCTCTGCCCTCACAACAGGGACGAAGTCTTTTCCACAGAACACCAAAACGGTAAGAGAAGCATGCCTGTTACTAGCTTCGTTCGTAAGCCTTGGCCTTCCTGAACCTGGCTGACCGCTTTCCCAGCTCTTGATGGACCTGCCGGATATTATACCTACACAAATCAGCTTGTTGATATCAAAAGCACTCGATCGGCAAAGGACGAGGCAGACACCGATCTGTTAAGACCAGCGGACGCTTCCTTCTTCTTGCACCAGCTAGGAGGAAAGCTGCTCAAAACCCTGAACACCGATCTATCATGCACGGGGATTGACAGACTCAATTGCAGCAACTACATCATATTGTACTCAGTCGATTGACAGTTCCAGACCAAGCTAAGCCGTGGTGGAGTTGTATTCATACATGCGCCTTCGCTGGACAACATGAGTCGCTTTCCGCCTGTGACAAAACGCCGTTATTGTTGAGAGGTCACACTTGCAAAGCCGCGATAAGTTCAAGGTGCAGACTCAACATGGTTGACTTTAGGAGACGACTTCTCCGCAGCGCAATCGATCCCGTCTGAATCATTCTCTTGTCGAGAGTACTGTGAAGCCGCGAGGTCCTCGGGCCTCGGATATGCAACCTTGAAGACTGTGTACCACGGCCTTTGGAAGAGCCGGTCCATAGACTCAAGCGAGCGGCCCGAGGTCTCGGGCATGGCGACAAATACATATGCCAGCGATGTGGCACAGATGGAAGCGAAGAAGGCGAAAGCACCATACCGATGTGTGGCAACGAGCAGCGACGGCATAGCCCTGGAACATGCAAAATAGAACGCCCAGTGGGCCGCCATCAGGAGCGAGACGCACAGCCCGCGGATGCGCAGGGGAAAAACCTCGGCGGACACCAGATAGGGGATAGAGAACCATCCCATCGACCAGGCAACTGCGTGCAGGTATATGGCGACTATTGAGGCGACACTGGCGGCCGATGCGGACGGACTGCTCGCAACATCCGATGCGCTGAGTCCGGTGGTTACGCCCAGGTAGGCTCCGACAAACGTGAGCGTGGTGATTTGGAGCATAATTCCGGTCATCAGCGAGCGCCGCCGCCCGATGAAGTCGATGACAAAGACGGCGACCAGAAGCGTGGATGTGAACTTGACGATGGCGTAGATTCCGGTGGCGAGGAACGTCTCCTGCTCGCCACCGATGCCCAAGTAGCCAAAGATGGTGGGGCTGTATTGTGTGATGGCATTCGCTCCAGACCACTGCGCAAAAAGATGAGCCATGAACATGAGGACAAATCGGCGACGGTTCTCAAGATTGGAGAAGGTCTCACTGAGGAGATCAAGTTGAGACGCCCCCGCCACAGCCTCCATCTCATGGTTGAGCTGCTGTTCCGTCCCATGGAACTCGGCTTGGACGTACTGGTGGTGTTCCGGAAGCCCTCGAAGGCCGGCCAGCACCCTCAGGGCCTCGCTCGGCTGATTACTTGCCAAGAGAAACCGAGGTGACTCAGGGCAGAAGCAGATTCCGAGGCCCCACATGACGGCTGGAAGAAGCTGCAGCCCGGTTGGCAGCTGCCACTGTAGCTGAGTGTCTTGATGGTGGCGTGTTATGCCATAGTTGAAGAAGAAGCCGAAGACAACCCCGAGTTGCTGGCAGCAGGCGTACTGCAACGTGAGCAGCCCGCGGATCGGGGCAGGCGCTATCTACACAGCGACGACAAACACTAATCAGCGCTGCGCATCCCTCTTCGAATAATCGAAAGAATCAGACAGGGTAGTGCTATGGTTACACAGGCAGGGTAAGAAATTACCTCTGAGATGTAGATCGATGGAAGCACGGTTGTCCCCCCAATACCGAACCCAGAAATCAAGCGTGAAACGTACAGGCCGCCAAGATTTCCGTTGCAAAATGTCTGTCCGAGAATTCCAGCCATGTATATGACGGTAAAGACCTGCATTGTCCACTTTCGACCCAGCCTCTGTGTGAGCCAGCTGCAGGCGAGGCAACCAAAAACAGCGCCGGCAGTGGCAATGGACACGATCCAGCCTTTGGTATTGGCGTATTCAGTAGCGGAGAGGGAGTCAAGTCGGAACTTTCCCATGAACGATTTCATGACCACGACGGATGCAATATTTCCTGCTGGCTAGTCAGAACCTCTTTTCCAGTCACATACGCCTTTGACCAGACTACTCAGAGAGCTCAACAGCGAGACGGGACGTACCTTCATCGAATCCTTTTGCGACGCCCGAAAAACTCCAGACACACGTGTTGAAAAATAACCACCAATTGAATATCTCGCGCGGACTTTCCTTGAGGGCGGCCCGGGTCGAGGCGACCAAGGAACTTGTAGCCATGTTGGAATCGTGGCCAGGCTGGACTCAAATTCAAGGCTCAACCTGCATGAGAAGTGATCGTTTTGAGGCGGTAGATTCTATCGTTGGCTTTGATGTGTACTTTTTGTGTCTGCTGAAAATGACAACAACTACCAGCTTTCAGTAGCTGGGATGAAGGAATACCACTCGTTACAGTGCTCAGGGGATCCCCAGATTCCACGTTGAATATTGCATAGACATCAAACCCTTGTGTGTCCTGGTCCATGAGGTCTCTAACCAATTTCGGACAAACTCCGATCAGCTGTCATGTGTGCTGTCGGGGGTCGGACATGTTTCCGATGTACTAGGGATTGGGCTAGGTCAACTTTGTCCGAATTGGCTTCGCGGAGTTTCAGCGGAGACAAATGGATAGATACCGACAAAACAAGCCTACTACCATGAGCCTTCTGTCGAGCTGGCGGTCCGACTTGCAATGATAGATGGGGGAAAGTACGTATCTTTCTACACTGACACCGAAGCTTCTATCAAATTACGCTGAATTGGTGAAGGTATATCATTCAAGTTCTCGCTCTTCTCGTCAAAGACACGTAATCGATAGTCAAAAAATCCATCATCATGAATTTCTTTCCGCCGCCTCCAGTCATCAGAGCAGAGCTCTTTGTGAGAATACCAGACTCTATTAGGTGCATTGGACAGGACACCGAGTGGCGTGGTGGTTTTACTCGACCATTCCAGGATATCTTCCTGGAGGGCCCCATCGCGGACAACGCAGGGAATCTATTCGTCGTCGATGTACCTTACGGCCGCATCCTCAAAATTGATGCTCACAAAGAGGTGAAAGTGTGCGCCACGTGGGATGGGGAGCCAAATGGCTTGGCTGCAACTCCAGATGGCCAGTTAGTGGTGGCAGATTATAAACAGGTACGTTCGGTTAAAAAACATAACAATGAAATAAATGCTCAATGGAAAGCTATTGAGAGTGATAATACTGTCGATGGTACTGATTCTGTTACCACAGGGCATTATGATTTGCGACCCCGCGACGGGCTCGATCAAGCCGTACATGACACGTCGACATCTTGAGAGATTCAAAGGGCCCAACGACCTCATTGTCGACTCCAAGGGTAACGTCTACTTCACCGACCAAGGTCAAACAGGCGTAACAGACCAGAGTGGGAAGGTGTACCGTCTAAGCCCCAGCGGCAAGCTTGATCAGCTCGTAGATAATGGTGTCTCGCCAAACGGTCTGGTCCTCTCCCTCGATGAGAAGGTCCTCTTTGTGGCAATGACCAGGGCCAACCAGGTTTGGCGCCTACCACTCCACAGCGATGGCACCACAACCAAGGCCGGCGTCTTTTTCTACTCATTCGGCACGGCAGGACCGGATGGCTTGGCTCTTGATGAAGAGGGCAACCTGTTCATCTGCCATCCTAGCCTTGGCTCGATCTTTGTGGTCGATCCGAGCGGCGTGCCAAAGGCTCGGATCATTAGTGGGACAAACGGCGTGAACCTGACCAACTGTTGTTTCGGTGGGCCGGAGCACAAAACCCTGTACATCACAGATAGTCTTGAAGGCTGTATACAGAAGGTAGAGTGGCATTGTAGAGGAGCGGTTGCTGCACCTCGGATACATCTGTGAAACAAAGCAGTTGTGAAATATGGAGTATGGCGGAGGGTGTGAGAATTATGGAATGGCAGCCTCTGCCCCGGCATCGGAAAAGATTTACCTCAATCAATGTTAAATGGTGCTGGGTTCGGGCCTGTTTCGTGACTGTGTTTGGCAACGACTTGAACATCATATGAGTTATTATCTGTGTCTAGTTCAAAGTTTAACTTAAAAGAAAATCTACCCTTAGACGACGTATCTGAAGCCATTCAGAACTGCTCTCTGTGAAACCTCATCCAGTTCCCCGATTGCATGCTCATCGTGTGCATCAATCTGCTCCGCCAACTTGTCGAACTTGGAATTGGACCTCTTCAGCAAGAAGCGCAACACCAATATGCAGGAAAGCCCGAAGACCTGGAAAGCTAGAATACATGCCCATGATTCTCTAAAGTACGGTTCGTACTTATCGAGCCAAAAGTAGTTGGCGAACAGGGAAGCAATATTAGCCAGAGTGTTGGCAATGCCTATGGCCGCGGCACGCTTGACCGGAGGCCTGACTATAGTTGACGACAGCCAGGTGTATGTGGTGGAATAGATGCCAAAGGTTCCAGAGCACACGAAAAATGTCATGGCGTAGCGAGCCCACTGCTGGCTTGGCAGAGCAATAGTGATGACAGTAGCAATAATGGCTGTCACTGCCGATATGGCCGCGTGAGGAGATCGCTTTTGCCTCTTGTCGGCGTCCCACGCGAAACCGAGAGCCCACATGAACGAGAACAGGTAAGGTGGAGAGGTCAGTAGCAGTACTATGGTGTTGTTCTTGAATCCGAGACCTTGGATAAGAGTTGGGAAAAAATGGGAGAATGAGATAGATGCTGTGGTTGACATCTGAAGGCAGGCGAAGAGCCAGACGCGGTAGTCTCGGAACGCCCATGCCAGCCCGGTCCATATAGACACCTCCCCGTCCCCCTCTGTCAAGGCCTCGTCGCTGCCAGCATCGATAGCCAATCGGCATTGTGCGACGATCTTCTCCTCTTCGCTGAGCCACCTTGTCGTGCTGGGATAATCAGGCAGGACAAAGAAGGCTGTTGTGCCCACTATGACTGTGACGATGCCCTCCAGGATGAAGAGCCACCTCCAGGCCGCCAGGTGGCCAACACCAGACATGCCTGACAGGATGCCCGCAGAAATCAACCCGGCAAAGGAGTTGGACAAGAGCAGGCCACAGATAAGCATAGCCATGCGGACCCCAAGCTCCCGTTTAGTGTACCAGCAGCTCAGGTAGTAGATTGCGCCGGGAAAGAAAGGAGCTTCGACGAGACCCAGCACGAACCTGACAGCGAGCAGGCCGCCTGGGCTCGTGGTTGTGGCTGTGAGACCGCTGACGATAGCCCAAGTAACGATACAGCCGGGCTGTGGATAATGAGCAAGAATTGCGCCCATGTCAGCCGCTAGCCTTGATCTCGTTCGTGCGTTTCCAGTGGAGGAAAAATACTTACCAGGAAAATATGAGGTTGGACCTTGGCCATCAGCAGCGTCGAAGGGAGCTGCATAGCGATATAGCCGGCCGAGAAGATGGAGATGGCTGTGTTGTAGACTACGCCCGACACATGAGTGTCCTCCTGCAAGCCGTAGAGACGCGCCTGTGTGATCGAGTTTCGGTCTAGGTAGTTGAAGATGTAGATTGTCACAATGAGAGGCAGGAGCCGGAGGTCTATGGTTTTGACCAAGCGCTTCTCCGTCTCTCTCGAGAATTCCGGCTCGTACGAACGATATGTGGCCATCATGTCCTTCTTCATGGTCTTGTCGTCGCCAGTTGATTCAACCATTGCTACTTGTGGCTGTTCTGCCAAGTGCTGCTTGGTTGGGACACCCTGCTGAAGACCTCTGTCGGCCTGAGCTGGTTGACCCGCCATATTGTTTGTGCTGGAATGGACAACGGAGAGCGCCTTGGACTTGGTAAAAGTGGTGAATAATGGCAAAGATGTGAGGCTTGGATCTTGGGAAAGAGAACAAAACAAGAGGATAGTTAGACGATTGGCCTTCTATATTACAGATGATTGTGGTCGCCGCCACATATATGGGACACCGTTATGGTTCAGACGCTCTCCTTAGCCCAGCCCAGCCCAGCCTTCCCCGGACGGTTCACAATGCGTCCCCCGCTTCCCCAGCTTTTCCCCATTTTGTTCCTGGGGTAAGTTCGAGAATAGAGTGCTACTTGGGGACCCACCCCTCCCACGCTTCGGACATTCTCCGACATCGTAGGAGCTCAGCCGAATAATCGGGCCGGGTTCTGAACCAACAACTTGATGAAATCATCAGGTGACAGCCACGACTCGAGTACGCGTAGCTCCTCGGCTGCACTCACTCCCTGCAAGTGCGGGCTTGGATCGAGGCCTTTCTGAGTCGCGTCAACATGGGGCCAGTCACTACCCCAGAGCAGATGGTCGCTAGCCACCGAGGTGAAGAGCTCGACGAGCGGGCGCATTCGATGGATGTCTCGCGGCTCTCGACGGTAGAATGCGCCCAATTTGATGTAGAATCTCGCCGATTGCCTCAGAAGCCTGACCACTGCGCCTAGTTCAACGCTCCCGGTGTCTGCTGATGCGGCACATGCGTTGTGATCTGCTATAATGTTGACCGTAGCCAAGTCATCGTTCTCGTCATTGCCATCACTATTGTCACGACGCTCAACCCGCAGCAAGCGATCCGCAAGACCCGCCCATGTTTTGAGGGGAAACTGGGCGGAAATAGCCCAACCGAGTCTTTTCAATGGGTACAAAAGCGAAGCCTGGAGAATCTGACTGTATGCCCATTCCACATCGTCCCCAGAGCCCCCATGGGATCCATGCACGCGGACGCATCGTACCCCTGCCTCGTGCATGCGGTCGAAGTCCGGCCCTGTATAGAGGCTTCGTCCTGGAACCGAGTCGGCTAAGATGATACCTCTCAACATTCTTTCGGGATGGTCTCTACCGACTCTTGCTAGTTGGCGGAGCAGGCCCGAGGGCCCGTCCTCAATGGTGGCTTGTACCAAGACAACTCGTTGAGTAAGAACGCTGACGAGCATCTGGGCTGCTCTGGCTGGCTGTGGTGTGTAGGTACGTGTTTGTTTGAAGGGAAACTCATCGGGATCGAAGCAATGGACATGACAATCCCATGCCAGGGGCGGCACAAAATTGATTGCAGCCATCTGTATGCGATGAATGCAGTCCAATTAGTGGTGAGGATCAAATCCTGGGGATCAGCCAGGGATCCAAGTGGCCCAGTGGCTAGTCAACCGTATTCACAGAAACTCTTTAAGCCAATGATTCCAGCGGTAAGATATGTTGACGGCAGCACGGAGTGGGGGTCCCGGAGGAGGTCAAGATCTGGCCGCGAGTGCACGTGGCGTCGGAGGGCGGTCCGGCGCCTGTATGGAAATCTGTCGGACATTTTCCGATGATGCGGAAGGCCACCGATCTAGTAGAGATGTTAGGCATGACGCAGTAAATAACATCAACAGCAAACATGGTTCCGCTTATGTATTTCGGGGATGCAAATGACAGATAATTTTTTAATACATATTGCGGTCCAATGCGTTTGATAACGGCATAATTGTCTCAATCTTTGCCTCAACGATTCCATTCAGTCTCCTCCCAGCACCACCCTCCGCATTTGTCTCAGTGTTTAACCATGGCACCTGCTCTACTCCTTGAGCCGGAAATCACAACTGGTGTAACATCGGCTACAGCCAAAAAAGAGGCCAACAAGCCGACAGTATATGTGATAGACCCATGGCATCCTAAAGCCATTGAACATGCCAGGACGCTGTTCAATGTGGTCCTCAACACGGACAAGGACTTCCAAGGCTGGCAGGAAAAGGCTACCGCAATCCTCATGCGCGGTTCCTATCTTCGACGAGACGATATCGAGAAGTGTCCGAAACTCATCGCCATCGGGAAGCACGGCGTAGGGATTGACAAGATTGACGCGCAGGAGTGTGCCTCGAGGGGTATCAAAATCCTGAACACCCCCGGCGCCAATGCACAAGCTGTTGCTGAGCTTGTCCTGGCTCTGACCATGTCGGTTGCGCGCCAAATACCGTCTATCGCAACAAGGCAACTGAAAGAGCCTGTGCACAAGCAGTCCTGCAATGGGGTAACACTGCATGGAAAGAGCGTTGGGATAATAGGAATGGGCAGCATCGGCCGCAAGGTGGCAAATATGTTCCGTGGAGCCTTCAACGCCCCGATCATGGCTTATGACCCCTACATGCCAGCGGACGCCTGGAGCGACATCGAACACACGCGCGTACAGTCGTACACAGATATACTTGCTCACGCCGACGTCTTGACCATCCACGTTCCACTTACAGAGGAGACAAGGGGCATGATCTCGTATAAGGAGCTGAGCCACATGAAGCAAACTGCTATCCTGATCAATGCGTCCCGTGGTGGAATTGTGGACGAGAAGGACCTACAACGCGCATTAAGCGAGAGTTTGATCTGGGGGGCTGGCTTGGATGCACATGAGGAGGAGCCACCAACAGTTGAAAGATATGGGGAGCTGTGGGAGCTGCCCAACGTCGTAAGCACGCCGCATATAGGCGCAGCTACTGAAGATGCGCAGCTCGCATCGGCTCTTGGCGCAGTAGATAACCTTTACAATTATCTGGTGTCTTTGAACTAGTGTGAAGCGGGTATCGATGTCAATAGATGCTGTCTCTGTCCCTCGGATTGAGCCCGTTCAGTCAACGAGGAGGGAAGACCAACGACGAATATGGTTGGCAAAGCCCCCGTATTCATTTGACCTAATTGCAATATAGAGAATTTTACCAAGTCATCAGTAGTTATTAGCCACGTCTAGCACTACCCTTCCAGTGACCGCGTCGTTTTCCAACTCCTTATACACCGCGGGTAGGTCCCTGAACGGCCGGATCTTCACATTCGGTACGACAATTCCCAGTCTTGTCAACTCAACAGCCTCAAGCGTCTCTTTCAGACTGCCGACCAAGCTGCCCACAATGCGCAGCCCTTTGATGACGATTGTGGAGATAGGCGTCTCCAAGAAGGGTCCACCGGGAGGGATTCCCACACATGCCAGCGTGCCATTCTTGCGCAGGCACTCGGCGGACATGGCATATGCCTTGGGATTACCGGACGTGCAGACTACAGCGTGGGCACCGCCATTGGTGAGCTCTTGGACTGCAGCGGGGACGGACCTGATCTTCTTGAAATCTAGGAAGTGTGTCGCGCCGAGTGAGAGGCAGTAGTCGCGCTTTTGGTCCCCGGTATCGATGGCGATCACGCGGGCGCCTCTGGCTTTGCCATATTGCACTTTTTGACGGAATTAGCATTAAATACTGGCTCAGTAACTCTTAACCGAATGTTCGAGTTTCTTACCTGCCAAGTGCCCCAGCCCACCACCCGCACCCGTGACCACCAACCAATCTGCGAGCCTCAACTCGCAGTTCATTACAGCCTGATTGCACATCAGCAGCCTAGATTTTGGGGGAAACAATACTTCCTAAATAGTTCGCCATATCGACTTACTTTATAAGCTGTCAGACCCGCACAAAGCACAGGTCCCACAAGGTGCAGCGGCACATCATCCGGCAAGATCGTGAGGTAGTCCCCATCCAGCGCCACATACTGCTGGAAGCTGCCGTCCTCATGATGCAAGTGATTAGTTGAATTGAAGCAGTGCTGCTCCTTTCCAGCGAGGCAGTACTCGCACCGACGGCAAATTCGACTCGCGAACCTGATACCAACGACCTGCCCAATCCGAATGTCATTCTTGCAATCTGGGCCAAGGGCAACAATCCGTCCAACACCTTCGTGACCGCCCACGTGAGGAAGTTTGATATTAAGAATTGGCTTTCCGTCGACTCCAGCTGCGGTGCCGTTCTTCGTATGTAGGTCTGGATGTTGAGATATGGTCAGTGTCATTGTTCAAGACGCTCTACATGAAGCTCACTGTGCAGCAACAATGCCCTCTGTAACAAATGAGAAATCTTTTCTTACCACTCTGACAGACGCCTGTATACAGAACTTTTGCAAGTACTTCGTTACGTGCTGGCTTGGGAACAGAGTAATCGGTATCGAATTTAACGTCGCCGCCCAACTCTCTGACGAGTGCGGCGGTTTGTTTTTCCGGGACCTCTTCATCTGTCTTTGAATCGACGGTAGAGTAATTGGATATAATCGAAGGCATCATGAATATATATATATGTTCTCTTTTCTGGAAACGTTGAGAGAAACAATGGAGGTATGAGGAGAGCAAGCGTAATGTAAGTTCGGCTGCTCAGATTTAGCGGCCGGCGAGAGGCTCATTAAATAGGTGGACTCTGACTATTAGGTGCTATGCGCCTAGCAGTGTGAGTCGTAAGCTGAAGACCAACACCCGACGGCAATCTCTCGCCCTCATTGAGTTTAAGTGTAAACGTGTACCGTGTGTGGGGTAGGCTACCGATTTACATTTCCTGTGAGCAATCTCCCTTCACATGTCTCTAGAAGCAACAATGGGCCAGAGCGCCTTGTCGTGTGGCAGGTTTAATTGGCCGCTTGAAAGCACAGCTGCCACTTATAATGCGGGGAAAATTAGCATTTGAGGTACCAAGACTTGTCTATCTCTAGTAGCTAGTAGCTAATAGACAGGCCAGTTGTTTGTAGCATGTTAGATTGACTTGTCCCGGGCCTGTGCCGAGTGATATTCACATGCACAGGAAGCAAGCCCGATTGAATTCATACTACATGGCTTGGTTCACTGAACAGTCTGTGTGATATGGCTCTGCTTTGGCTGCATGTGAGGAATTTGATACCGTGTTGAATCTAGAGAGACTACCTGTTTTGGTCCTTCTTGCTCAGTGCAATGCAGGGTCGCTTGGGTCGTAAGGCACTCGAGCCCAGCGAGTCGCGTTTCAATGACGGCGTCGTATGGTATTTTCTTTGATATGCACGGGTGCCGATCTTGGGTAGCCTGCAGCTGTCAGCTTCCGTAGCGTGGGGGCCCCTTGGAGCGATGATGGGGGTCACAGCGAACCGCCTGTGGGGGTCAATAATGGGATCAATCCACGGAGGCATCAAGCTGTAGTCTAAATATCTTGCCGCATTTTTGGCACACTTGTTTCCTGTTGTCACCGGAACACACCTGACGACCGTAGTGCGGAAACTCTCACCCCTATTTCGATCATCCTACGTCACTCGTCGTGTATTTGTGCTCTGGGTTTTGGGGCCATGCTCACCCTGATGTACTAGTAGTTAAGAGAAGATGGTCGTCGCCAGACCCGCGAATATCAGCTTCTCACGCAATGGAACACAATCGTGATGCAGTAAAGAATTAACCAGTGTTGATTCGTCTAAAATTCCGACTTAATATCTCCAAGCCCATGCTCTAAGTATCATTTGTCACAAGTCGCGCAGCCCACGTTTGAAGCTGTGCACGCGACCTATGTGCCGTATGCGGAAACACCCCGGGGCATGGGCTCGAGTGAGAACTTGATCAACGCAGCCTGTGCCTCGGAGGCCGCCTCCCTGGCCTTTTTAGAGAAACTTTTAGAGCTTCTTCGTGGTGCTTCGCCTTCCTCAATCCGCCGCCTCTTTTTCACGGGTTCCGATCCACACATAATTTGGACCGAAGCGGGACTCGCAGTCTTATCCTTCGGAATCCTGGGGTACAGTCCCCTCAATGTTGCTGATATTACCCGCGATGTCTCCTTTTTAGCCCGTTCAACCGTCGCTTTGTTCATGACGGCTTCGACCAGATCCAACATCAAGCGCAGTTGGGGAAGCCCGTCGAAGTACGTCCGACGGTTCACTGCCACATGGATCATCTCCCAAAAGTTCACGGGCCACTCCAGCCGACTCGTCTCAGTGGATAAAACGTCGAAGACACTATAAGCTTCTGCCTGGGTAAATCTCGGAAAAGGTACCGGTGCCGACGAGGCAGCAAGAGCCGCCCCAGCTGGAGCGAGGCCAGAGGTAGGAGAATCATCTTTTCTTGGTGCTCGGTGTCGGCTCAGTTCTGCTGCGAGGACAGTCAATTCCATAAGATGCCGTGTGGGATTCGGATGTGAGACGCCGGCACTGATCTGGCCCGTGATGTGGCGCGCTACGTCCCTCGCACGTGTGACTTCCTCGGCGAAGCTGGCGACACCAAGTTTCGCCCACCGCTCGTCTTCTTTGCTGGTCCACCATTCGTTGGGCGAGAATTGGCTGTACTGAGCCGCAACTTTGATATTATCGAGCGCGACGCAGGTCAGAGCCATACCGCGCACAGGGCCATACACGAGGTATTCGACAGGGTAGTTGTCCCCAGCCAAATCCGCTGCACGTAAAGCTGTGACATGAGACATCTCGTTGTTTTGTCCAGACTCATGTAATAGCCTCGTGTCGAGGACCGCGATATGTGCACCAGGAGTAGTCATCCACAACGACTTTTTGGCTTTCGAATCCCAGTCTTCCTCGAGTGTGAAATTTAGCGCAGTCTAAAGATCAGCGGCCCAGGAACTGAACGGAGTTTTGATTTTATCCCCACAAATATGACCCTCGATGAGCTGCCTCACGTCTTCGACGCTGAACTGACGCATTGGCACAAGCTTCGCATCTAGCGAGTCAAGAAATTGGAGTGGGCATATCTGGTGGGTCGTGTTGAGGCCAGGGAATCCTCCTCCAGAGGATGAATGAAACCCGCGGAAAAGGAAGCGTGGAATACGACTCTTCCAGCCTTTAAACGAAGATTATTAAGGGTCCGCATGGCAGCGTGGCGCAGAGACCAAAAGCTTACCATCGAGAGTCTGGTCGATATCCCACCAAGCGGCATCTTCGTGCTCCCTTGCAGGAACTGACACGTCAGATTTGTCAGATTTTGGTAGCATTGCTCTCAACTCTGTAGTAGCTTGCTCAAGTCTCTCGAAGCTTGATAATTTTCAAGCCTATGAGCTGATCCACATATGTTATATATGCATGCCAGTTCTTTGTGAGATCCGAACCCAAAGCATCAAGGCATCCTTTTCACGGTCCTATGGCATCTCCGTTTCTCTCAAAGTGATCCATGGCTGCCTGACTCCATTCCAGACTGTTCACGAGATTGCTGCCAGAATCGCCTGCTAAACTGGCAAAGGCTTCCTCCCAGAATTCCTGGTTATTGCCGGAATTGACCCCAGTCATATCCACGTCGTAGAATATTTCATCGGCCAGGCTTGGGTTATTGAGCAAGTTGAAGTCAAACAATTCGGGCAACGGCTGAGAAAGACCTGGCCCATGGATCGCTGTGCCGGACAAAGGGTCCGTGGGGCCGAATAAGGTAGACTTTGATGCTTGTGAATTAGCAAGCGCATCTTTTGGGGTTCCCTCGGGGAGGGGCTGGACAGTGGATAATGTGGTGTTGTTGCTTAAGGAGCGTATCTCGAAGCCTCCAACGTTGGACGGGCCTGGTGTCGATGCCGTAGACGCAGCCGGCACTGCAAAAGGTACGAACTTCGCCCTTAGGTGGGCCAAAAGATGGTAGCGAGCCGCCAGGTGGCTATTCCCCCTGTGCGAGATACCTCGAAGGAGCTCGAGAGCTGCATTCATGGACTGATTGTTCTGCTCGTTCGTCGGAAAAGCCACGCACACCATGACCAATACAATGGCCGCAGAGAATGCATAGTCCGAGTCCATGTACCCGTAAGTAGCGACGAGGTTCTTTTGAGCTGCTATTGTCATCATGTTGATTGTGTCCTTGGCTGCGAAGACGCACATTTCGATGACGTTGATGGTAGTTTGGGTGAGACCCTTTCTCCAATCGCTTTCTTTGTCTGCTAATCCGCCTCTGAGACGTGCTTGCACAACATGAAACAGCAGCGGCCGTGCAGTCATGTGAATGCATTGCGAATAGTAAAGCAACGTTGAGACGGACTCCCTGCTTGTGCTGAGTTTGATCGGCTCAAAGCGCAGCTCATCAGGCAGCTCTTGTTGCCACTGAGACAGGGCCAGAATGATGCTTTGCACAGCTACCATTAGGCTGGGGCCTGATTTCGGTTTACGGCGGTAAATGCTTGTCATGATTTGGCCATTTATCTGGGAGAGTTTGGTGTAGTGCCTGAGAACGACAGCGGGACAAAATTCAGGCTCATTGGGTAGCCTGGATGGGAGTTCAACGCCAATGTCATCGTCGTGGATCGTAATCGGATTTCCAGATTTGACGCAGTGAATGCGGTCGAGACTGTATACGCTCCACCAGACGCGGCGTCTGTGTTCCTTTGCATGCTGGTCAAGGCTTGAACTCGTTGGCTCTTGGTGGAGTCCGAGGGTGATAGCCATGCGGAGGGCTGAGCCAATGTACAAGGAAGCCGCGTCTCTGCGATTTAGATTCTGCATAAAGAAGCCCACCAAAGCCAAAGTCTCCACAAAAAGGACGCTTCCTTGCTCATGCAGGTCTGGGAGAAGCTGGAGCACGCGAGTGAAATAGTCAAAGCCAGGAGGTCCGTCGTAATCAATCCATTGATTGACAGAGTACATCTTGCCAAAAGCTAGGATGACCAGCAACTTGGCAAATGTTAGACAAGCATATTGGTCGGGGAGTTCAGTGGGACTCTGATACGCCTCATGAAGAAGCGTTTCAAACGCAGTCGGGGAGACGAATGAGAATATTGTTCCAATGTAAGTATACTGGGCTGCGAACAGCTGACGTGCGATCTCTATAGGGGGCAGTCGAATGTGGCTGGTGTTGGGCAGACGCCTTGAGGGCAGCGCGGCTCGATCATAGAAGTCGGTGTCACAGTCAAGGCTGCCGTCATCAAACTGTAGAGAGGCCTTTCGGAAGCTCCGGAGGAAGTGGTCCGAGTGTGCCGGGCCCTTGAAGCCTGTGACAGACCGTCAGCATGGCAATGGAGGAAGGCCAGAACGGGCATCCATACTGCTAGAGGGATTCTCAGGTGTCTCCAGACTGAGCTCCGAGAAAGCTTCGGGGAGACGTATCTGATCATCAGGTTCTTCGACTCCGTCCATTAATTCTGCCAGGTTTGATGATTGAATAGGGACGTGGGCTGCGCTAGGCTTCGGTGCTAATCGCGGGTGGGCGTCTGGAAGAGGTCAATATCGAGCGCAATCTTAGTCTTTGGGAAGAGAAGGACAAAAGACAGCACGCTTACCCTCATATGCCTTGACCTTGGCTTCGAGGTCTCTCAGGTACCTAGCCGTGGTGTTAGGCGGAAAAGAAACAGCTCAAAGGGAAGAGGAGATGACTCACGCCTCGTTGACGGTGATCTTCCTAGCTTCTTCATAAACGCAGTCAAATCCGCCGGCCTCGCACCGTGTGCATTGTGGTCGATCTTTTGAGCAATAAGACCGCCTTTGTCGACATCTGTGGCATCTACGGCAAGCTCGTTAGAATTACAAAACGCCAATTCACATAGACCAACCAGTCCGTCGATCATCTTCACCGATGGCTGTCCAGCAATTCAGGCGGCAATGAACATTGACTCACGCGACGGGTCTGATGACAGGTTCCTCAACACTCGTGAGAATTTTCTTGGGCCGCAAGTGTTCTGACGCCATCTTCAAAGAACGCTAAACGCTACGTCTGCATGCAAGGGGCATGAGAGGATAATCAGCCGTTAGTATGCAACGCGAGTTGTCCCCGCCGTTGAACGCGTTGCGATAGACATCAAGGATAGAAAGACGGCAAATCAAGAATCACACAAGGACTTCAACAAGGTGATGTTATGCATCACATCAATGTGCTGAGTATAGATGCAAGTGGGCCATGTGGACATTGAACTGGACAAATTGGTCGCAGTTGTGAATTTGGACAGAGAACAAGCAGACGTTGGCAATGATGCCGCGTGCTGACTAAGTTGATAAGCGACGCGCCGATAGCGGATGCGAGAACAGTCTTCTAGGTAGACTAAACTTACAACTGTTTCTCAATTAGAATGTCCAGAAGAGATCAAGACAACGGTCAAATATCAGATCAGAATTGGCTGCTAGCTTGGGGCTTCTGATAGACTCATCAAGCATTGTTGATGCAAAATGCATAAAGCTCCATTCTCGTCCTTGTGTTCATTGGTATCGTTGCTGATTGATCCTCATGGTTTGGCTTAATCACGTCGCTGATAACCTCGGAATCATTCATCGAGATGGAAAGTTCTCAATGTGCACCTTCCTGATAATACAGCAACAGATCGTTACTAACGAAACGATGGCATTGCATTACTAAAACCTTGCTGACCGGCGGCAGTATATTCGCTACATGTGCATCGGCTTGTTTGCCGGGGAGGGGGGCTATTTGCATTGAATGATACGCTGTGAGATTTATGTGGGCCCTGAACTCTAAACCACAGACCCGTGACTTTTTGGGACCGGGCGTTTGACGACATCCCTTGACTTACTGTCTGAACAGTAAGGCGTATGCACGTTGACACAACAACGCAACGTAATGGATGCGCGAGACAACAGCCCTTCAAACACTCGAGAGGGCTTCACCACACAAGCAACATGGCCTCTGCGATTCCGCCTGAAATTGCCGGAACCAAAGCAGCAAGGAGCGGTCGGAGACTTGCCGCTGGAAGCGGGTCCGACTGAGCAGGTTTGGTGGAGTTATGATTTATACCGTGGTCCACGAAACCAAAGACCGAAAGTCCTGTACGCCAGATCCAAGGCTGAAGCTGAGAAAATCGCACATGGATTTTTGCAGGAAGATGTTCTAGGTTTTGACATGGAATGGCCATGCTTTGATGGGACCATACGGGGTGAAGATCGACTGCAAGATAAGGTCGGATTGATAGCCATCGCATGCGAGACAAAGATCGCTCTCTTTCACATCGGCGCCTACACTGGCAAGAAGCCCGAGGATTTTATCGGCCTTTCACTACAAGCAATCATCGAGTCGCCGCGCATAAAGAAAGCCGGGGTCAACATTCTGACCGCGGACTTTGGGAGGCTCCGGGACTGGTTCGAACTAGATCCTCAGGGTGCAGTGGAACTGAGTCACCTCCACAATCTCGTCACCTATGGGCATAGCGGCCAGACTAGTCTATGCACAACAAAGCTGTGTGCCCTGGAGAAACAAGTTCAGACGCACTTGCAGTTGCCGTTGAAGAAGAGTAGGGTTCGGACGAGCAATTGGAGTCAGAAGAAGCAGCTTAGCCGTGAGCAAAAGGCATACGCGGCCTCCGACGCGTATGCTGGTTTCATGCTGTATCACTATCTGAGCTCTTTGAGGCTGTCGATGGAACCCAGTCCGCCGCCGCCGCCATTGTATGCGGAGAGGTACAAGTCACTCGACATACCGAGAAGGGGAACTGCACTCCTGCTCGAGATCGAAGACTCTGGTAACGAAGGATCCGTGAATGTCATCACGGCCTTAGATTACTTCGAAGGTCGTCATGAGAATATTCATTCAGCCAGGGTAATGTCGTCAACGATGCCAACCTCACAAGACTCCGACTTGGAAGGTTCCCAAGAACCATTGTCCGCACCAATTCAACAGAAAGCCGCCATGCCATCCGCCATGCGCACCTCATACTATACTAACGCACAGCGCCTGAGGAGCAACCCATCGAGCAAGAAACCCGACACCTTGCTCCAGAAACTCAAAATTCATCGCGAGAAAATCGCTAAACAGAGGCGATTAGACACATGGAAGATCATACACACCTCTGCACTGAAGCTGATCGCGGAACACAAGCCCGAGAACGAGACAGCACTGATGAATATCAAGGGGGTTGGGCCGCAGACGGTGAAGAAGTACGGAGCTGCATTTTTAAACATCGTCGCTCTCCATGTCGGGCACGATAGACAATCGACTGACGCCGAGCAATCGGACAAGGAAACTGACCCCGGTGCTGATGAAGCTATCTTGAGATCAGGCGGCGGCAGGAAACCGACTGATACGACCCAAAATAATTCTCCTAGCCCGGGAACGTCACAACTTCACACAGTAGTGTCTTCCACTGTGGAGAACAAAGGTCTCAGTAGTGGAGGTCTGTCTCAACCAAATGACGTTGACGGCTCCAATAATGTCGCGTCGCCGCGAATCCCAACTTCACACGGGGTAAAGAGAAAAAGAGCACAGACTGTAAGCATCAGATATATCCTCAGTAGAAGACGACTTTCTTTTCAAGCACACATGACACTGCGTTGTTAACATGACGCCTGGCACAGGGTCCACACCATGGGCTGCTCAGATACTTCAAAATTGGCGAAGACAGCAATTCACTGAAATCGTGACGAGCGATTCCCGTGAAATATACCCCGACGATAGACTGTAGGTACAATACTACTCTGAAGAGTTTCTCTTCCACCGACGCTAGAAGAATATATAGCTGAGACCAGACCCGAGCATTATCAAAGACCGAGATGCTGGAGGAGGTCATCGGCCACATGATACGATTCCTTGATACCACAGTCATGATATCTACTTTCAATACCTCTGAGTAGACTAAAAAGAGCACCCTCCGGCCGCCGACTAAGGGTTCGTAGCGATAGTGTCCTGATCTCCCGGCCCGAGCAGTGACGAGCCACCTCTCGTGGCCCGGTGAAGCCGACGCTATACTCAGAGCACTGGCAGGGAAAAAGATACCTGATAAGCCAATCATCTCTGCAGATAAACGTGCTATTGACGAATGGAGTATTTAGTTCTGTTGCGAGAACCGTCTTTGATACGTTTGGCATTTGGCTGACTGCTCGCGACCAGGTCTCGATAAGAGAATGTAAGAGGCGCTACTCTGTCACAATGGGAAACGTCCGGTCAGGGGCCCATCCTTCTTGTAAGATATCAAGGAGTATGTCAAAGCCCCTCAGAGTACCATGACAGGATCATCGGGACCACAACTAAGGGGCATCTCCGCATCCATAGCATCTGTCGGCTGGACGAGAAGTGACTGCGGCTGTCCCGGGTTGACGAATTTCTGATTTTGTGTATCAATCTTATCGTGAGCGCGAAAACACCATTCGTCCGATCGTGTAGCCAAGTGAAATTGATGACCATAATAGCTATGCCTTGCCGAAGGGCCGGGGCTCAGGGATCGCTTTAGACCCAAGTCCAAATGGTCCAGGCCATAATAGCGAGTATTCTAGAGAGCCCTCAATATGAGGCCATTTAAACCTGTTTAGTTTTGATGGTGCGTTCGAAATTGCTGAGCTAATACAATCGAATTGTAAATTGTCACGGAGGAAGCTTATAAGGTACCATGCCTGGTGGCCGCGTGAGCCCCGATCAAGCATAAAGCTGATGTCTTCGACGAGGTAAGTTGGAAGCGAATGATTCGACAGCTGAGGCAAAAGCATCGCGATTGATACAACGGATGACAGGGTATCTTGACTCTGTGCAAAAGTCGAATGCAGCTATCATGACCAGCGTGCATTTGGAATCTTAGCAAATAAATCGACACCGACCTGTGGAGTAATATGGCGCATTAATAGGCGCGGGAACTCGAACCTCGAGTCAAAACCAATTATACACGGGACCCTTGGAAGTGCCTCTGGATACTCGAGTCGAAGGAGGGAGTATCTATAACGGTCATTCCTATCGCGGGTTGGAAGAGGGTCGCTCGGCGAGTATGCATAGGAGAAACATAACGCCAATCAAGTAGCCGGGGATTGACCCTAGGGTTCCAGGATGAGGGATAGGTGGTTAAATGCAGAAGTGAATGCTTCGTCGTGGGCTCATCGCTCGCAGTCCCGCTCGAACATAATAGGGGTATCGGACTCGGAACAGGACGGAAGGATGATGGTCAGTTCAAGAGCTTGCACATGACGACAACGTTCCGTTCAAGCAACTAGATTTAAATGTCAGTGGATCAGGAGGGTTTAGTCTTGGGTAGGCACTCTAAGTTCCTGACTCGGTTCAAGCTCAAAGTATATTATCAAATGGCTTCCTAATTTGAACGAGATGGAATTGCGAGATTAGAAATATTCTATTGCTAGAAAGGTTACACATTTCGGCCCATCCTGACCGCCTAGTTCTAGGTGTCATTCGGGACCATTGAAAATAATTTTCCTCCACTCCCACCATGTTCTAGATGTTTCTACAGCGCCATAGGTGTAGAAGTGACCATAAAATATGACAGCTACTCAGTATTTGAACGCGTCGAGATTGTTCGCTCAGCCAGGCCATACTTGAGACAGTGCCGGACAAGCATGTGGCATCGAGAAGTGAAGAAGCTGTGCCTGTGAATCGTCTTCAGAAGCGAAGCCTCTTCTTCTGTCATCTGGAGTCATTTAGAGACATTTGAATATTCAAGTATTAACGGAAGTGTATTCAACTTACACTGGATAGTCACGGCAATTCGGAAGGAGGCGCCCAGGTACTCGGTGGGGCGCCGGCAGGGATGTAAATTGTTGCTGGCAAGGTAATAGAAGAACCGTCCTGAATCTATTAAATCGTTTCGAAAGCTCAGAATTAGAAGACCAATTATTCGGAAGAAAGTGATGGGAGGTCCAGATTTAAATAATTACGGAAGCAGCAGGACAAAGAGAAACAACAAGAGAAAGCGTGGAGAATGGTAGAAAGAATAGAGGGGAATGGGTGTTGGAAAAATCATCACGTACAGTGTGACGGAAGCCGGTCTCTGGATCTTGAATTACCTGCTTACGCAGTTCCTGGCGACGCTCTTTGAACCTTATCAGAAACCAAACACCCGGGATGCATGTGACAAGCAATGTCAACATTCCAATAATCACATTGGCATCGATCGACATGGTAATCAAATTCATGAATGTGAGCGGTGAAATGATACAATTTGCCTGGGTAGAGAGTGCAATGCTAATGACGAAAGGTCCGACTGAATGGCCGGGCTTTATAGACGACCCACTACTGAGGAAGGAGGCCCGGCACCGCCTCGCTGTATTGTGGTCACAATTGCGGCTCGCCAGAGTTGAGTTCAGTGAGGAGCAGAAATTGGACAGTTGACTGAAGAATGCGGTGTAAATTTCACCTAGTAGTCTGAGAGAATGGCTGAAGTAAACTTGTGACAACCGAGTAACCACATTTTGGACAGGTACGTACCTGGTCAACAAACAGTTTCCCGGCCGTCCCAGCCACGATGAGGCTGAATCATTTAGTGATAACAAGACTTTGAAAAGTTGCGAGTGTCACTTCTAAGTCTGTTCTCCTAGCATCAGCTAATCGTATAGATCGCCGGATCATTAGGAAAGGTAAGTGCCGAGAAGGGGGTCACGTGACAAGATTTCGGACATCGTGTCGAGGAAAGCGTGGGACGTTTGTAACACCCATGAGAACCGTCGCTTGGTGGACAGTATCTTGGTGGTATCCATGTTATCATGTCTGATCAGCAGAATCTTGTCTCATTCGTCAAGGCCGTGTTATTTAGGGCGCGCACGCTGAGATGGGAGCAACACGCTTGTGTAGTACGACTCGAGACGGATCACATGACAATGTTTTGGACAGTCTTTGGGTTCCTACGATGAGGCGCAAGCAGTCCTGGACCCCAAGTTACATCCAATTCCACATGTGATAAGCAGCAATTGGACATACCCACTGCAAATATTCCAACCCATCTTTGCATTCGAGGCTTGCAAGAACTCCAATGGAATGGCACGACGAGCTGTGACGGTGGCTGAGCACTTGCCAAGTAACTGGCAAGGCAATGAAAGGTGTCGACTGGAGATTGGGCACATGCTTACATTGTGCAACCCCACCAAGGTGCTGGACTCCTCAACGAGAACTAGCCCAATATGCAAGCAGACTTCGGACAATCCTCGAAGTACCTAGGTACCTAGTCAGCAATACAGGAAACATTGCGTCGCTGTGCTCCCCAACATTGCCGTTCGTTCTGCAATATTTATATAAGCGCAGCCTGATCACTTTCTGTAGCATGTCTTTTCCCCTCCTGATTACCTGCTTCATTCCTACATACAAGCAAGACACCCGTTGGAGCCCTTCTCGGACGTCGAAGACCGTCCCACCAGAAACTCGCCGTTTCCATCTTTCCTTGATTTCAAACTTCCCATCATGATGCCAGCTTACAGCCGTCCCATTCCCGTCCGTTCTGCCGATGATATTTGGCATCGACACGAGGCTCAGATCAAAGACCTGTATCAGAACCAAGGGAAGAAATTGAAAGAGGTGAAGCATCTGATGGAGGAGAAGGGATTTCCAAAGAAACCGTGAGATTAACCCTGTCCTAAAAATATAAATAGCGTAACGTTTCAAAATGTAGCAGCTAATGCATTTTTCATGTTCATTGGGTAGGCTATCGACATGGGAGTCCAAACTTAGAGAAACTCTTCAACTTCGAAAGAAGGCCAAAGCTAATGACTGGCCCTTAATTTACCGACATATACTTCCACGCCTAGAACGTCCGAAGAAGAAAACTCTGAAGAGGAAGACGAGAATTTATCTCAACAACTCCGAAATTCTATGGGATAAGGCTTGGAAGGAGATAAGAAGATCTGGAGCATTGGAGATGGATTTTCAATCGAGTGAGTGAATAAACGGGAAAGGGACAGACAAGGTACCTCCGGCATCTGACATGTTATTCCTTAGTATCCCCGAGCCCGCTCCCGCCTGGAATTACAATACGAACCCCATCGCCAGGAACATCTCCTTCACCAACAATACCGCCAGCAGCTCAGCTAGTAGCGTCAGATGTGTTGACACACTGCAGCTCTACAATAGCACTCACACGTGTACCGATGCAGAATTCTGTAGTTGCACCGGCTTGGCAAATGCAGAACCTCACGATGTACTCTTTGTCCTGTCTCTTACAAGAATGCGCCACAACTATTCCATGGCTAGAATTTTGCCAGTCGATGCAACGTAAGTACAGTCGCAATATCTGCTTCTGGAACAAATAAATTCTAACACACCCTGATATGCTCCAGATATGTTGCAGGGAGTGAAGCACACTCGGCAACTTGAAATGCTATTTTCGTCGGTGGTGAACGACTTTATGGCCACGAGCGATACCGCCCGAGCTGCCCGAACTCGAATCGGCAGCGAAATTACTGCTTCGGAAACCCGCTTGGACTTGCTTCCAAGAGATCGACCCATCCCACCGCGCCCCTCACCCGACCTTGGCTACAGAGTTGCAATGTCTGGAGGCCACATTCAGCTCAGTGAATTCATTTCGACGGCTATATTCCTATTATCGAATGATCTCTACGACCTCAGGGATAGCGACCAAGGATTGGAGCTCCTATGCTCACTTTTGGACCGTGATCCTTCCTTGACTACCGCATTACTACGCAATCGCGTGCCAAGTGTCAGAGCTGCGTGGGAGTCATTATTCAAGTTTTCTATGGAGAAAAGTCGAAGAGATATGTTTCGAATCTTAGTAGACATCGGCGTCCATGATCGTTGGCTAAGTCTTTCGCATGTGAAAGGTTGCCTCCTCTCTGCCGTTAAGATGGATTTCTGCGACACCGTAGAGAATATTGTGGCATACTTTTGCAGCGCTCATCACAGTTACTGGTGGCGCGACAGTTTCGAAGCGATTCTAGCGGCATGCAGGAAACGCAATATCCAATGCGCAAGCCTGTTGATTCAGCATTGTAACGTCAATTCCCCAGGTCCCACAATAGCATATGTGACACCCGTGGAGCCGGTAGAAATGCGGTCGACATTCAAGCGGGGATATCTCAAGCGGTCGATGTTCCTAGCACTCGTTCACGATTTCAACAGCAGCAAGAATGAAGACGTGCTAGCACTGGAGTTGTTCTTGACCAACGGTGCAAACGTTGACGAGTATACTCGCGGGAGTGACGTAACAGTACTTTGGAGATCGCTGGTCGGCCGACACGAAATTTCTGACGCTACACGACCGACTGTTCTGGACGAAGCGTTCTATGTCAATCGCCCTTTGTTCGAAAAGCTAGTCCCCTTTAGCAAAGTACCGGTTTCAAGGATAACAAGAACCGGTCTCCTCATCGCTCTAGAGGACGGCACACAAACCCTGCGGGACTATCTTTTGGCTCGACAGTCTACGACGCCCTCATTCAACTGGCGAAATATACAATCACTATTGGAATTGGTATTGGCTGAACAGTTCATGGTACCGCAAAGACTCGATTTGAGGGTTGTACAAGGCCTTATTCAGTATGGCGTCGACATTGAGATGCCTTCGATTCGACTCGGTCTCGAAAGGTATTTGTACGAATACAATCTTGATCCAGCTTGGCATCAATTTAGTAATGACAATGAGAGGATTGAGCTGTTGGACATGCTTCTGACACGAGGGGGTATCGTAGGAGAACGAGTTCTCGAAGAAGCTGTTGCACAGTACGGGATCCGCGGCTTGGAATCTGTGGTATCGCGTCGTACGGACTTTGGGACCAAAGCCGTCCCAGCGTTAGCAAGAGCGGCGGGGTTGAACAATTTTGAGGCCGTCGAGTTCTTCTTCCAAAATGGCGTCGATCCGCACGCATTCATCACTGTGCATGACCGGAGCTACAGTATCCAGGCTGTCGCAACTCGATGGACGGACTGCGGGTGCAGCCTCGAGATGATGCAATTTTTGGCTAGACATGGTGCAAGGCTAGTCGTCACCCCTGAAGATTCAACGCCCTTTGACTTCGCAAGGCTTCTGCTTCGACAATTTGACTCCGACACGTTGGCCAAAATTAAATACGTTGTCAGCACATTGATGGAAGAGAAGAGCACGTGCTCTCTCCCAGCATATCTATTGGAATCATGCTTCAGAGGACGGAACGACCGTGAACATTCGGAGGAGAGACTGGAAATATTCGAATACCTTTTCAGACAAGGGGCAGAGGTGAGCCCAGGCTCCCCTCTTGCAGGCCTTGCCGCAGCAGGTGGGCGGGGAAAACTCGTGCGAGAAGTAATGTCTTCGGGATCCGACTTGAACGCGTATTGGGTTAATGATTATTGGGCCGGATATACACCTCTTCAAGCGGCGGCAGACAACGGGGATGAAACACTGGTCTGCCTGTTTCTAAGGGAAGGAGCCGACGTCAACAGCCCCGCACGCGGCAAGTGTGGTTTTACGGCGCTGCAAGGTATCTGTTCTTGGAGTCCAGCCACCGAGGAGGAGCATCAACGCAAGATGAGGATCTGCCGTCTCCTGATCGACCAGGGCGCAGATGTCAATGCCGCACCTGCTAGAGGCGGAGACACAGCTTTATCGTACGCAGCACTTAGGGGAGATCTGGAGGTCGCTGCGCTTTTACTCCGAGAGGGCGCTGACGTCAACGCACCACCATCCAAGCACCGCGGAAAGTCAGCTTTAGACGGGGCTGCCCAATTCGGACGGTTGGACATGGTCAAGTTCCTACTAAACGCCAATGCTTTGAGTGATGAACGTGGTGCAACTGGATATGATGGCGCCATTTCGGAGGCTGAAGGATTTGGTCATTCAGCCGTCGCAGATTTGATTCGCAATCATGCGGCAAAAGTCGAGGCAGGAACTCTGTTCAACCCTGAACTTGAGAAATTGCAAAAGGACTACCGCATTTATGGATTTCGCACGGACGATGAATCCTCCTCAGATGATGACTACGAGTCTTTTTTAGGTCATGACTACGAGTCTTCGGAGGGTGACGGTGAAGACATGGACGCAAATGGTGGGACATTTGGACCAACAAACGCAGAGTCAAGCTACAGGGAGACAGCGCAGACGGAGCCGGACGAGCAAGTCGTTGCAGAAAGTCGCGCCTTGAGCTACTCAGACCCGGGGTTTGTTCCATCTGGGGAGAATTGGCCAACAGATATGTGGGACGAGCACACACAACCTACCGAACTTCAGGTCCCAACTGGAACATGGACGGGACAAGTCGCTGCAAATACTACAGCATGCGACAGTGTAAGTCATTCAGGCATGAGCTTTGTGTTGCCTGAGGAAAATTGGCAAATGGGATGGGAACCTGAGCATATCGTTGCCAACCCATCACATAGTTGACAGACTCCTGTGACAGCGCAGCGGGACGGGACTGGTGTGAACGTGCTGACCTAGTCCTACAATCAGCACTGAAGCTACACTCACTGCTATTTGCATTGGTAGAATGTTCTATAGTAGTCGGTTTGTCTTTGATCCACTGGCCGGGACTCGCTGTGATATTTGGTGACCGAGTCGTTTGCCGAGGGGAGGCGCTTATTCAAGCAATAGTCGAATGCAGGATCCTGCTTGAGTCGTGTTCATAATGCACCGATGTGCTGCTATAATCAATAGAAGCCTTACGCAATAGCATTGTGCACAAGTATGGCATCAGACTTTGTTCTGACCTGTAATTTGATAGTAACTGTTTAGGTTGTAGAATGAAAGATAGGTTAGGAAGATAGAGCTATTGTCGCAGCGGTGTATCAAGCCAGCTGACTGAGCAAGGGACGGGGGTGAGTGGTCGTTCCTGCTTCTTTGCTTCGGTTTATTTCCCTGTTCGGTTCCCAAGCTCAACCGCGCGAATTGTCAGGATAGGGGTTTCCAATACATAATCGATTGTCTTCGCTATGTCAGCTGAATTTAAGTTGGCACCACACCACCTTCTGTCTAGAGGGAAAGGAAGGGAAGTCCCCGATATTATGGTCGTATTCGCTAGCGGATTCTTCTAGGATCACTTCCAGAACGGGAACTGCGGAACTCGACTCGGGGCTGTCGGGTCGGGACATTTCACACCGCAACGTCGCGCTGAACTGGATGCAAGGCGCTGTTTGCCAACGAGAATTCACTTTGGACATCTGTATTGGAGGCATTGTCAGTTTATTAATTCTCCGTTTCATGCTGAATACGACGTATATAGAAACGTGGGAACCCACGTCTAGCAGGCTCAAGTGATGCCTTTCCCTGGGCAGGATTCATCGTCGTCAACCTACGAAGCCCAACACAAACCCTCACAATGCATTCGGGCAAGGTGATCGCAATTTTCTGTGCAGCTGCAGCGCACGTTGCAGTCGCCGCAAATTCATGGATTGCCCCAGGGGCAGTCTGGTATGACACGGCCGGCAACAAGATCGACGCTCATGGCGGTAACATCGTGAAGAGGGGTGATACATTCTACTGGGTCGGCCAGAGCGCAGCCAGCTCTGAGACGCCCTTGATGTACTCATCCAAGGACCTGCTCAACTGGGACAACCTGGGCAAGCAGGCGTCATCCATCACAGGCATGTGGCGGCCCAAGATTGCCAAGCCAAATGGATCGTTCTGGCTGTACGGGCAGCAAGACCGTTACGCGCTGTCACTACGGTCCACGCAGATGGTCGGAGGCTACACGCAGGTGGCCAAGGTTCACCTCCCGCCGAGCGACTACAGCTATTCCGACACGGGCATGTTCCTGGACGACGACGGGACGTGGTACCTACTCACGAGCGCAGACCACAACATCGTGCAGATAAACCGGATCAACTCGGACGGGGCCGTCGGCGACCGGGTCACCTCCTTCGCCAAGGGCGCATACGAGGCCCCGGGGCTGTTCAAGGTCAGCGGCGTGTACTACCTGATCGTCTCCGGCAAGACGGGCTGGCGGGCGAACCCGAACAAGGTCTTCTGGGCGACGTCGCTGGGCGGCACGTGGAGCGGCGGCACAGACGTGGCGCCCGCGGCCGAGAACACGTACGGCTCGCAAAACACGTTTGAGCTCACCATCAAGGGGTCGTCAGCCACGACCTACGTCTACATGGGCGACGCGTGGGACTCAAGCGGGGGCACGAGCTCCAACTATATCTGGCTGCCCATGGCTGTGGACACTAGTGCCCATACCGTCACGTTGCAGTACCACTCCATGTGGAAGGTGGACGTGAATACCGGCGTCGTCTCTTATCCCAGCACCAAGAAGCGATATGAGGCGGAGGAGGCCGATTTGTCTGGCAGGGCTGGTAAGTGAGAGGGCTACGTCCCAGTTAAAAGCTCGAGAATCTTTGGCCCATCGCTAACGCGCACGCGCCCACCAGCCGTTGCCTCTTGCGAGCATTGCATCACCAAGCGACAAGTAAACAAAGGTACATATTCAAATCTGCGAAACTTTCCATGCTTTTTACCCCAACTAACGGAAACAAATCCACATTAGTCTCGCCTGGCAGTGAGGTTGTATTCAACAATGTCACCGGCACGGACTCTCTGGAATGGTACACCTTCCACTACGAAGTCAGCGACCCTGAAGCGGGCGAGGCCCAAATCTTCGTTAACGATGAGATCCACCCGACGAACCTGTCAGACCTCAACTCCCGCGCCGGGAGACATCGCGCGGTTCCTGTCCAGCTCAAACTACGAGAGGGTGACACGAACACGATCCGATTTGGAGCCATTGGAGACAAGAGTGAGCTACCTGCCGCTGATTGATCTTTACATCTTGTCTAACCCAAAATCATTAGGTTTCGAAGTTAGTGTCGATGGCATCGAGCTCCATGACGATTGAGATGTAGTCTGTTGAGTGGTGTTCCGGAATACTCAATAGTATATAGTCTACAATGAAGACCCATTATTTTGGATGCGACGGGGACATCTAACCTCATAGTGGACAAAAAAGGCAAATACAAGAATATGTAACCAGACATCTAGGCAGTGCATAGTGTATGTAGTCGAAAGACTTCACCGACACTCCAATACATATCGACGACAGCATTGCGGGCCTAAGACCGTAAAGCCTAATTCGCACGAAAAAAAAAGCAGAGTTGAGGTAGATTGAAGGGGCAAAATTGATGACAACAGTGAGATTCGAACTCACGCCCCTTTCGAGACTACGATGACATGTCATTCAAACTTGTACACCTGAACGTAGCGCCTTAGACCTGTTGAGTCATTAGAATATGGGATGTCACCCACGATGGATGGATGAAGACCTACCGCTCGGCCATGTTGCCTGTGAACCAGGTGAATTTTCATCTTGATAGTGTAAAATCTCGAATCGCGGTGGAGTAGTGGGGCCAGTTCAGGTCTTGCGGCGAATCCATGATGGCACTGGTCTTTGTGGGGACGAAATGGAGAATCGCGTCAGCTGGCTCGCCGTGAGGAACCTGACTCAAGTCAACTGTTCATGGAGAGTAGAGATGAATTGAGTTAACAAACCGGCCTCGGCGGTGGTGTAGGTGAAGCCGATGCGGGCACCTCGTTTCCGATGTGGAGGCCCGCATCCATCCGAAGTGCTGTGGCACGACGGGGGTGGCAGCACCTACAATCTTAGAGTCGGATTTGTGTACACTACCGGGCATCTTTGGGTACTTCTACAGTATAGTTGAGTCCCATACCATATTTAGCTCAGAATGCAGGTGCCGAATCAACTAAATGAGCTCCGTATATTGTTAGACTTTTTCTTGATAAGTTTTGACCCTAAGAATGTCTGAACATACAGGACTAAAAGTAACAATCATCGGAGGCGGCATCGCTGGGCTCTTCGCAGCCCGCGTCCTGCGAGAAAAGCACCACGTCACCATCCTGGAGCGGTCCAGCGGCGGCAATGAGGTTGGAGCAGCGGTTACGCCAGGTCCAAATGCAACCAGGATTCTTGATCAGTATGGCTGGGATCCCTCGAGGTGCGGTGCACTTGTCCTTGGGAAAACCCGCACGATGGACCACAATGGGAATTTGATTAAAGAGACAGACCTGTCCAATATAAAGAAGGCGTTTGGAAGTGACTGGCACGTTGTCCACAGGATAGACTTGTGGAACGAGCTGCTGCGTCTCGCCACGGCTCCGTCTGAGGACCTGGGAATACGCGGATTGCCTGCAAAGGTCGAATGGCGTGCGGAAGTGGTGGATGTTGACACGGAGAGCGGTGATGTCAAACTGGGAGATGGCATGGTTGTACCGTCTGATCTGGTCATTGGTAAGAATATCTTCTTTGATAAGAATATTCCAATCTAGGTAATGCTGACAGACAGCGAATCGTAGGCGCCGATGGGATTAAGTCCACTACCAGGCACTTAGTCGTAGGCAAAGAGGGTGACCAACCGAGACCTTCAGGTGCCTCCATATTCCGCTTTATTCTCCCGCGAGAGACCGTCGAAAAAGTGGATTCGCAAACTATCGACCCTTCTAGGCCTGCGGAATTAACTCTGCGAATCGCTTTGGATGGATCACGGAGAACAATCGTCAGCTACCCGTGTAGAAATCACGAACTTCTAAATATTGGGTGCATTGCCCCCAACTCGTTGATTGATTTACCGCCTGCGGACTCATGGGTGGCTCCGGGCGAGAAGGCCGATTTGCTCAGAGTTTTTGGCGATTTCCATTTCCGGCCCCTGCTAGAGTACGTATATCCTGCTTTTGCTTTTGCGTGATATAACCAGTATATGATGGCTGACTTCAGCGAATGTGTCGCTAGACAAGCTGAAGATATAAAACTGTGGGAACTGAGGGATCACGACCCTTTGCCCACCTATATCAAAGGGAGACTGGTGCTCATTGGTGACGGCGCTCACGCAATGACGCCGCATCAAGGGCAGGGGGCTTCGCAAGCGATCGAGGACGGCGAGGGGCTTAGCCTGTTCATCGACCAAGTCGTCAGTCGACAGACGGTTCCAGAAATTTTGCGAGACTTTGATCGGGCGAGAAGAGTAAGGGCATCAAAGATACAGCTCATTACACGTCATGTGCATGAGGAAACAAGTGCCGAGGCCATGTGGAAGAACCAGCAGTACAATTTCACATATCGAGGTATCCGAGATGCATTAGCCAGGCAGGATGCCGGCCAGGAGGTCTAGGACTATCCGTGCCTCTTTTCGGTAAACCTGCAATGCACATATTAGCTTTTTGTCAGGGCAATGAAATCGAGGCAGCTGGAGGGCACGCCGCGGTGATGGAGGTATACGTGCAAAATATCGAGCGCTTCATCATGAGAAGATGACCATATGTACATATTCTCACTTCACCAAAACGGCATCCCATTTTCTCATGAAATAGCATAACTCAATACGTCAATTTCCACCATCTCCTATTGAGTGAACAACGGGAGAAAAGGCACTACTGACTATCAAATCCCGTACTCGGACCCGACAGCGAACCCGAGACTATATGATGGTCATAAAGTCTGGGGAAGCGTCCCCACAAGCCGTGCGCAAGCTCGGCGGTTAAATCGCTCCCGAGTCCGTAGCCACTTTTCTCCGACTTCAACTACAACCGCAACCTCGGCCTGCATGGTCACCCATCAAAACGAACATCATTCTTGCATTTACAATCTCCTTCGACTGAGTCATCTGCACTAAGAAGAGATTGCCAAAATATGGCAGACTACTCCGTCGAGAAGTCTGCCAACACCAGCTCGACCCCATTTCAATGCTCTCATTGCCAGCGCGCGTTTGCCAGACTGGATCACCTCAGTCGGCACGTTCGAGTCCGTACGTAGTCACCTGTCTGCCTCTACCTCAGATGAAAGTTAAGGTTGATTCTCTCAAAAGATACACAAGAAAAACCTTATCCTTGTCGTGTCTGTGGCAAGCGATTTGCAAGAGCGTAGGTCTTCCAAAATGGCGTGCACCTGTCCTTGCCAAGTGAACTTTTGTTTGTCGGCTAAACCAATCCGCAGCGACCTTGTCAAGCGACACACCGCTCAGCATGAGGCGAGGGCTGTCAGGAACAGTGACTCAGTCCGTGCTGCTTCATCCAATCCCGGGCGAAGGGTTGTCCAGGCTTGCAAAGCGTGCGTTGCATCGAAACTGAAGTGCAGTGATGGCAAGCCATGTCCTAGATGCTTGCGCAAAGGTGTCACCTGCGAGGTTGATGATACGATTCCATACATGAGCTCGAGTATTGATTTGGACGGAGACAGCGTGCAAATCTCCGACGCAACCGAAATTGGCAGTGAAAGGGATGATAGTATCGTTGTCCATCAGGTCGACTCGCGGTTGCGTGGATCAAACACCAAATTTATCACGCCCATATCAGAGCAGGCAACGAGGCACCCTGATTCGACTATAGCAAGGACTGCACAAAACCAGCAAACCTATGTGGAAGATGATTCTGTGCGCTCATTGGAAGACGTCTCATCCACGGGTGTAGGAACGGGAACCATGGGCTCCCAAGACTACGCAGAGAGGACGATAGAGTCCGGGCTTCATGATCTCCCACAAGAGTACGGCGCATCCACTCGCAGCTATGGTGAGGTGTTGAGAGACATACTTGGCTCATCGGCCGCAACACCAGTTGACCTTGAGGATGTGATGATGGGCGAGACGGGGGACAATATCTGGGACCAGTGTTTGGATTCTGGTCAACCATTTGCTGACCTGACCGAGTTCTCATTCATTGACCTAGCTCCATTCGATATGGAGCAGACTTTACCTATGACCCTGGGCAGGCCTGCGAGAACTGACGGTCAAGAGAATACCGCATCTTTTGAACAAGCGGCCTCAGCTGCTGCGACGCAGGCTTTTCAATTGTCTGGCTGGAATTGGGGTCCGAGTCCAGAAGACAGTGAAAGTGCAGAAACAACAAATCTCATCCTGCCCCCGGGTGACCCGCGGCCGGAGGGGGTTGATCCTCATTTCATACCACAACATTCCGCGCTTTTGGGAGCAACACACCGGAACCGACTGCTCTCGATGCTATTGAACCACTGTGAAAAGAAACAGTGGGTTCAGATTGCCTCAACATTCCCTTCTGAGCAGTTCCTAAATCAACTGCTGCAAGTTTTCTTTGCTCTTCAGGGGAGGGATACTCTCTCGTGGTTTCACCTGCCTACTGTTCACATGAAAAACCTACGAGTAGAATGTTTGACGGCGATGGTAGGCGCGGCAGCCTGCTTCTCCCTAAATCGATCTGTGCAACGCTTTGGCTATGTCTTACCGGAGATGGTTCGATTTGCTGTCATTGACCAAGTGAGTTGACATACCTACTCGTCTGAGTTTATCGACCGGAAATGCTGACTAGCACCGGAAGTGGTGTCGAGATAACAGCACCTCAAGAGACTTGCAACTACTGAACTCCATGTGTACGGTCCTCAAATCCGAGATTGTTTTTGTTGTTTTGCGTGCCTAATTCCTCGATGACTAGTGACTGCGACGACTCTCCAATCTTGGAGCGGCAACAAGCGTCAGGCAGAGATCGGAGAGGGCAATTCTCAGACTGTCATCACCGTAAGTTGTGTGAGTCATCAAATTATATTGTCCTTTCGTTGACATTCCCTCTACACAGATCATCAGGCGTTCTCGATGGCTTCGGAAAGACCATTATAGAGCAGTTTATCCGATGTCAGACGATCAAGGCGCAGATCTCGATCGCAAATGGCGACTATGGGTAGATCAGGAGTCAAAGAAACGGTGCGTCCGATCATACATATGCGATGCATTCTAAAGTAAAACTGTTGACAATTTTTGAGCAGACTTATTTATAGAGCTTTCTGCCTTGACGCACAGCTATCAATGACGAACCATGTCAATCCACTCATGTCGTACGCTGAGGTTCGCGTTCCGTTTCCCGATGCAGATCCAATGTGGAGAGCTACTTCGGCGGAGGGTTGGAAGGCAGCGTGTTTACGCGCTGAAAAGTCGCCAGGGAAGCATCCTCCCACTCTTTGCGATTCCGTTCGAATTTGCATTGGCGAAGTCAAACAATCAAAGCTCAGTATTGAGGCAACACTTTACACCTTGTATGGGCTTTGGGCTCTCGTGTGGGAGCAACAGCAATTCCAAGACACAATGCAATCTGGTGACGCGATTTCGGAGGACGAGATACACGATATGCCCAACTTGATGCTGCCATCACGACGCGAGCCGCTGTTGAAAGCCTTGAACGCTCTCCGCGTGAGACTGTCATCGATTCAGGGAGAGGATGAAAGATCTTCTACTGCAGAACCCATGTTGGTATTAGAGTACTTAAGCATGGCCCTTCATGTCCCGCTTCAAGGACTCCACGCATTTGCTGGACGGGACGGGGAGCGCGAGGCGCGACGAATCTACCCGTTGTTGCAGGAGTGGGTGCAGAGTAGAGAAGCACGGCAAGGAATATGGCACGCTGGTCAGGTCTTCAGCGCCGCCAAAGCCCATTCTAGCAGGGACATGCGCGATCTGCGTGTCATGTTGGTCTATCAGGCGAGCATCACTCTTTGGGTCTACGGGGTCATCAAGAAAGCATCTCGTGGGCCGTCTCGCTCCCTTCACACAGAGGAGTTTGGTCCAGACAGCATCGTATGGCTTGATGGGGAGGAAAAAAGAGCCGCTGTGCGGAAGTTCATCGCCATTGCTGAAGGCGTGCCTGCTCTCAGAGATGTTGTTGACGGCTTAGGCGAGGGCCCAATCTGTTTAGTTGAGAACGCCAGTTCAACTATGGAGGCGGCGATCCACATTCTGCAGAGGCCTCTCGACGATAAAGATGGGGCTCAACTTCCTCTCGTGGAAAGCGTCACGAAACTGATGTCCGAGATTGCCAAGGTTGCGAATATTTTATGAGCAGATTATCATCCAATAATCACGTCCATCAGTGCCTCATATGCAACGCAATGTTTTGGAATGAACAACTATCACAGACGCTTTGATCAATTGATAGCCATTCCCAGTCTTTCGAACAAGTCTAACAATTCTTGTACGACACTCGCACGCTACTAGTATTGATTGCATTATCCTCCAGTGCTTACAGGTCAAGTAACTTTACTGTACACCATGAGAAGTCGATCAAACGTTCAGGATTGTTTCCATTTTACCTCCAAACCCTCCCATAGCCTATCCACCCAACATAACCCAATCCATATGTCATGAGTCCCACGGTGGGCAAAATGTACACAATCGCACCAAGAATAATCCCCTGCTCGAAGAAGCCCCACGCACCCGATGGCAGCTGGTCCGTGGGCTTGAGAGGCTTCTGTGCGACTTGGTCAAACGAGTCTGCTTTGTCAAGAAGGCTCGAAATCAAATGGCTCCTCGGGCCTGGAACGACCTCTGGGCTTGGTAGCTCAAACATCTCACGCGTATATCTGGTGCGTAGGCTCGTTGGGTAGTCTTTGGGAGCCATTGGCCCGACTGGATATTTCTTAATCACTGTTGTTTCGAATGTCGCACATTACATATGCAAAGGTGAAAGTGATCTTACCACTCAACTGGGCTGGAATATGATTCACATAGGTGACTTGGCTGTCTATGTATTGGGACAAGTACTTGGCCTCGCGATGAGCGCTGAAGAGGTAAAGTCCTCCGACAGGAGCTGACGTCTGTGCCTCTGTGCTGAGGAAGTCGATAGCGTCGTCGAGGCTCGTGACCTTGGAGAAGATGACTGCGCAAGAGCCAGATAACTTGTGGCATGACAATTGGCACTTCCTGTTCGATACACAGTCAGCAACCTTCCAAGGGTGGGTTGAAAAGAAATTGTCCATGCCTGTCAAGGATTTGCAAAATGCCCCGAGAGTATTCGCCTCCAACGAAAGCAGCCTCGCCATTTTTCACCTGCTGATCGAGCAGTGTGGACCCTGTGTCCTTCGCAATTGTCGCTCGGCTCTTCGCTCGCGGTTGGTCTCCAGGAAAACCCCTTCCCACAACCCCTGTGAGCTCTTGAGACACCGCTTCTTTGAACTCTCGAGAAACAAATTCATTGACAAGCACCAGGTCCACTGCATAGCTACTGCCACCACCAAACATCAATCTCGATGCAACAATCTCTTTGGCGGCCAGCTTTATGTCGCTTGTTCTGTCCACCAACGCAATGTTCCGATATGCTGGTGACAGCAAAACTCGTTGAGCGGAGATGTTGTTTTGGTTCAGAGCGTTCTGGTCAACAATTAAGCATTGGCTGAGCACTTCTATGGGTGCCCGGGAAGATACCGCACCGAATGCGTCTCGGTCCAGGGACTTATCGATGATATGTCCCAACAAGGCGGCTGTCTTTGAAATTGTATAATCCAGCTAACAAATGGAGAAAGTAATTAGCTTCGATGCTTCATGTTAGCCCACATAGAATGTCGGCCAGAATTAGGGTCTTGATCACAAACTTCGACAATTACACAACTTCCAGCCTCGAGTGCTGCACTCAGTGCGCTGACAAAATTGTACAACAGATTGAATGAATTTGGAATGATATACGTCAAGGCGATTGGCTTTCGTCTATTTTCGTTGCTCTTCTTCTTTACGAGACTGTACTCCAACTCGAGGTCCTGCTGGAAGTTCAAAAGGTCGTAGTGGTTACGGAGCTCAATGAGTGCGCTCGCGAAGACAATCTGGGCCTCTGCTGTGGAGCAGCCATCGTCGAATTTCGCGGCTTCTAGAAAAGCTCCACGGTGCTTGATAAGTGCACTATGGAACGAAAGGAACAGCCGTTGCCGGACTCGGAGATATCCCAAGCGACCGTCTATAGCTCCACCTGATACCCGCGAGAGCACAGCGGCGTCAGACATGGTAAAAGGTTGGTTGATGATACCGCGATTCGAATTTCAGGTGAGAAGTTTGTTCCTGGCTGAATGACGGAGAAACAAAATGACCTGCCTGTGAGTTTGTCAACATCTGAATTACCATTGACTGCGTTTGATTACGCGCGAATGTGTCCACGGGTAGGCACCTACTTAACATAATTACTGGGGACCTTTTATCACGTATCTGATTGCCATCCATCTACCAATTTTTTATGCTCTTCACCATTGACGTGTGGAGGGGGCAATGACAGTTCGCCACTTTATTTCACTTAGGCCCAAATCGCCTGGGGGATGGTCTACTGATGCATGCCGCCTGCCTCTTTCCCTAATCGAGCCCCGCCCTCACTTCTAACATCGAGGGATGCTGACTTTGCCCGAGGCAAACGTGCACATTGGTTCTTGGGTCAGTTAGGTAATGCATCGGAACAGTCCTGCTTCCCATTTCATGGCGGGAGGGAGGGGGTGGAGAAGCATGCAGAGCCGACACGCCTTGTCCCCCTCCGCATTCTTCCCGAGAGGCTGCCCGCATCGCTTCCGAGAATCGCCTGCCGCGCTGGCGGTGTCTGTGAACTCTCCGGCTGTTGAATCCCGTCAGGATTAGGAAGGTAACTAGTGCATAAGGTGCAGTACAGGAACAGTCAAGCATTACTTTCGGAATTACAGCTCGGAGACCGCACTCTCCCTGCCTTTCAGCATCTCTAGGTTGAAGCCGAGATTCGTGTCGCTGCTCACAATGGCTGGATCAATTACTCCTCCTTGTTCAAGTATCGTTTCACTGCAAACTCGTTACATAATATTACCTTTCAAGAATACCTGAAGAGATTGCTCAAGCTAGAGCTACCTGACTTTCATCGCCGTCAGCTTATTACATTGAACTACGCAGGATGTCGTCTACTTCCGCAACCACTACGACAATTCGATCTAGCCGATCCGCCCGCTCTGTCGAGCCCGTTATCTTGAGGGAAGTCTCTAATGATCTCAATGCGGAGACAGCCGATACAGGATCTCAGAAAGAAGATGAGGCAGACGACGCATATCTCCCTGCCAACCACGGCGTAACGGGTCATGAGAGCGACACAAACCCACCCAACTGGTTGACGAACCACCGACGGATGCCACCTCATCGACAACCGGTAAGGAACCCCGATTGGGACGCTATAGGGGGGCCATTGCCAATCAGAATATTCATGTGGGACATGTTTTCCGGTTGTCAGTTGCTGCAGGTAGGTCTTATTTTCAAATTCTTCTTTACTAAGGTCTTGGTGCTAAGTTTTCATTCCAGTGGGGATACTCGGCTGCGAGAGCTGCAGGACTGCATGATCGGGGGATGTGTATGTACAAGATTGGCAATGAATGGTGAGACTAGATATCGCGGTTTGATATAATTATGAATGCTCTTAAATCGACATATATTCATGTCAATTTACGCATAGTTGTCAAGAAGCAATTCAGTGACCACATCGGCTTTAAACATCGCCAACCTATTGACATGCAATCTCTCTGACGTTTTCCCATTCAATGCAACACTTCTGAAATTCGGGCACTGTTACTGCATATCTGATGACTCTGAACATATTTAACAGAACATTAAAAGCCCAACATAAGCGAATAGTGCCTTCTCATGTTGGTCTTCTATTATTGACGGCTCTTCGCTAAAGCCCAGTCGTAGCCTTTGAGCAGCAAATACAATGTCTCCAGCCTGGGCACACTGACCCCTCTGTCTTTCGCCTCCTTGACCACCTCGCCAACAATGCCTTCGACTTCCATCGGCCTACCAGCCACAATATCAGCTAGCATGCTTGGTTCCACCCCCGGCCACTTCCTAGCTTTGCTGCGCGCAAGCTGCGCACTGATTGTGTCTTCTGTAACATGGTTGCCGTAGCCAGAAGCGGCAGCCACAGACACTACCTCGCGCATCGATTCGACAATGAATTCTTGTGCTAGATCCGGGGAAGCCTGGAGAAACTCTAGGTCCCGACATCGAGATAGCGCGCAGATCGGGTTCCAGGTCGCATTAGCCACGAGTTTCTTCCAGCGCTCGATCTGCACTTCTTCGTGGATCGCCACGTCCGCACCAGCTGCTTCTATCAGATTGGAAAATGACTTGATGTTTTCATGGTCGAGTGGTGTTGTGCTAGAAGCAGGATAGATGCCGATATGTAACACTTGTGTCTCCGTGTGTGAATATATGCCTGGGTTTGTCTGTGTCACAGGCAGATACGTGACGCCGGAGATTATGGTATTATCGGGGAAGGCTTCATGGTAGATTTGCTCGACCCCAATTCCATTTTGTATAACTACGATGCTCGTGTGGCCTCTTTGAACAGCCGGATGTATCAACGATGGCGGAGACTGCGTTGTGCTTCTGCTGCTGATGGCTTTTGTGCACACAAGTATGAAGTCAAATGGGCTGCTGTTGATTTGAACTCCGACTGCCTCCTGCGCAGATTTGACGATAGTAGGGCGAAAGGTATGCGTTCCAAAGATAGTCGACTGGACGGTGAAACCGTTGAGTTTGGCGGTCTCGTACGTCGAACGACATACACATGTGACGTCTGCGCCAGCCTTTTGAAGTAAAAAGGCATATACTGTTCCGACGCTACCGGCGCCAAATATCATTATACGCGTCATTTTCAAACTGTACTTAATAGAGATGACAGCGCACAGGGTCAGACTGGAGGGAAAATGCTTGGCCTTGAGAGAGAACTGACAGAGTGAGATATCTGGCGCGTATCAGGAAGAAAGAAAAACTTACATACATACCACATGACTTCAAGACTTATTTACGCATAAAACAATACAAGTCATTGTTAATGAATGTGATCAGCCTATCTTTCAGTATTTCCGACTCGGATACATAGCGGGCAACGGGAAACCCGAGCCGGAGAACGATTAGTTGAGAGGTGTATCCACAAAGGGGGAGAGAAAAATTGTACATGGCTTGGACGCCGTATGACACACTGAGAACCTGGAGCCCGTGGAGAGGAAATTTATCTGGAAAAAGTTCCTGAACTTTAGGTTTCCCCAGGGGCGAATTGTGGATGATATTCTTTTGTCCATATTCAGAATGCGATTTAGAGCAAGGACTTGCGATTGGACTACATAGCGGTGTGATCACATCTGATATTTGTAGAAGAATCATAGATATTGTCAAAGTGAATGTATACAAGTACCAAATTCATTTTCTTGACACGAAACCTTGAACCGCCCAACCTCTTGGCCATTGCCCAATAGTGAATTGGGATTCACACTGTGTCCGCTGTTTGACCATTAGCGTACGGGTCTCATATGGAGAACATGTCCAGACGGGGAATTGCAGCCAGCAAGTAAGGAAGTGTTGTCACTTACCAGTTCCCAGGCCTCCGCTCCCAGAACGGCCTTTGATCCTCGATCGTCTGGCTCTCCGATGGTACCGGCTATGAAGCAGGCAGAGACGTAATGTTCATCCGTCCCGTGGGCTTCGCGAAAGTACGGGTTTTTCATCAACCTCGCAACTCCACGACGCAATTCCGGTCCTCCGCCATTCCTACAAATGACATCCTCTAGTGATTGACGAAACTCGAGGCTGTCTTCGTCTGGAGGATGCTCCATGGCAAAGTTGTCCTTGTACTTGAGCATGTAACTCCATTCTGCACGATATAGGTTGTGTGTACCCCCACCGGATCCTACGAAAAGGTACTTCTCGCCTCGCAGCTCTCGCAGAGCAGTCCCGAGCCGCGTGTGGAAAATTGGGTCAAAGTAGCTGTTCTGCGAAATGATAGTAGTTGGCGGGCACTTGTCACCAAACATTCCGATGAGTATTGGGAATGTGTCAATCATCCATTCGAATTTTGGTTCCTCTTCGGCCTCAATGCCAGCGGCCTTGAGCATCTCGATAACACGGCGGGACGTATCGAGGTCCGGATTAGGCTTCCAGCCTGCCCAATGCTTGGGGTGGGTGTTGGTGAGAGGCATGAAGGTCGGTGAAGGATTCGTTGCTACCTTGACCTTTTCACCTTCTGAGTTCCAATGGGCTCCCTATCGGGCGGGTCAGACGTCATTCAGCAGAGGTATAAGTGGATATGTCACGCACCATGATGATGACCCCCTTAACTCCGTGTCTCAAAGCATCCTGCCCCAACTTCCTCCAGTAATCTCTGATTCTTGAATCTTCCCCCAATAGCATCGTAGTGCCATGAGATAGGAAGTGGACCGGTGCAAGACCTTCTGGCCGTCAGCAAGTTTCGGACTATGGATATGTGCGACTTGCCTGTCATTGTGATATAAATTAGTGAGGATGGAAGTGGCTACAAAGCGTAACGCTGTGTCCGTTTGAAATTTCGCTGACAAAATCCGAAGACGTCTCGTTGTTCAGTCTACGATGGATCTTCAAAGACATCAACAATTCACAGTGTTAATGATGGTAGATTGTCATAGATCACATCTCCACTCTTTGGAATACTCGAAGTTGTAGACCCGGCACCAAGGCATACGTTACTGTCGACTTGGTCCCGCCAACTTTCCGAAGACCCAAATTTCAGATTAACACGGCAGTGTCTCCCTAGCACAGGCAACCCACGGCATTTCCGGCTCCCGTAGTAAACTGTGCGGGCCCGATGCGAGACTTCAATCGGGCCCTCGTCGGTCCCGAAATCTTGATCCACACTAACACGCCGCGTCCAATTACTCACTAACCAGTGCTCAGAGACGATCTTTTGGTCCATTGAGCCGTACTGCCACGGCAGACATGGTATATCGGTCGACGCCGAGCTCGTAGAATTGTTGATACTGCACCTTGACAGCCTATTGAAACCACTTTTGGAAACTCCCGTGTTCTCGACCAGATAAATATTGACACTTTTTGAACAAGTTTTTGACAAGGGATAGTCGAAGAAACAGTCCATTTCACACAATCAATTCGGAAACAGAAAAAATGCCTAATCCGATCAAACATGACATTCTCACAGTCGATAAAGTTTCGTTCCCTTACATCTTAGAGCAGAATGTGACGGTGACACCGAAGACCGTCAGAAAAGGAGGTCTTATTCGATGCAATGTCTTCCGGCCCAAGACTACTGATAGAGTTCCTGTCATTATGACCTACGGGCCGTACGGGAAGGACACGCACACCTCAGAGTGAGTCAAGTCAACCATGCCCTTCGACATCAGCAGCGCCTTCAGAACTGACACACCACGCAGGTTCCTGCCTCACTCTTACGAAGACATAAACCCAAAGCAGAAATCTGAACATGCCTGCTTCGAGGTTCCAGACCCTAAGTACTGGACCTCGCAAGGCTTCGCAGTTGTACGTGCCGACGAGATTGGCAGTGGGCAATCGCCAGGGTTCTTGGACCCCATGTCAGCCCAAACCTCGGACGCTTTTGCAGAGCTTATAGAATGGGCTGCCGACCAGCCATGGTCTACCGGGAGGGTTGGGCTTCTTGGTATAAGCTACTACGCCGGTAGCCAATGGAGAGTCGCTGCGCGTCGCCCTCGTGGTCTTGCCTGCATTATTCCGTACGAGGGTATGGCCGACTATTACCGCGACCGTTGCCGCCATGGTGGAATCTTGCTGGAACCCTTCCTCCAGTTCTGGATGGGGAAACATGCTAGACTTAACCAGTACGGTTTCCCCGGGCGCTCCAAGATCCAGCGAGGTCCCGACACTATCGAAGGCGACCTCAGCGTAGAGGAATTAGAGGAGAACCGAGCCGACCAGGACATCGACAACTTGCATGCATTCTTCCGAGATGACGAATACTATGCCTCTAGGGACTACAATCTCGAAGATATTGAGGTTCCCGTGTTGTCGTTCGGAAACTGGAGCAACATCGTAGTCCATCTCCGCGGCAACATCGAGGGTTACATGCTCGCAGGGTCGCGCTACAAATTCCTCCGGATAGGGAGTGGCCGTCACGATCTGCCTTTCTACTCTGACACAGAGATCGAGGCGCAGAGAAGTTTTCTTTTTGCTTTCCTCAAGGACGATGATTATGCTGGCTGGACAGAGGGGCGGCAACCTAAGGTCACCTACCAGGCTCGAAAGGGCCCATTCGATCACAAGAGCCTTAAGTCTGCCACAGGACAGATGTATCCATGGCGATCTGCGCCAGAGTGGCCGCTGCCTAGTACCAAGTATACCAATTACTACCTGAGCCCCGACCTGACCTGGTCTCCTCAAGTGCCTGCCGTGGAGGTTCACGAGAGGCTCTCGTACCCAGCGATGTCGACTACCAAAGATCCAATTTTCCACCGCTTCACCACTGCTCCGTTTGAGAAGGAGACCGAGATCACCGGCCATATCGTTGCCCACGTCAACGTTTCAGTGACCCGCACACCTGGAGGCACTGTCCCAAAAGACATCGACGTCTTCGTGGTTGTACGCCAGTGGGACGCCGAAGGCAACGAAAGAGTGTTTACTGGCACGATCGGAGACGCGGCAGCTCTGACCAGGGGGTGCCAGAGAGTGAGCTTGCGCAAAGTCAACAAGGAGCACCCACACCACCGTGAATATCGGCCCCATCGAGATTACTTCTCCACGGATGTCCTGCCAGTCATACCTGGGGAGGTTTATCCTGTGGACATTGAAATCTGGCCAACCAACGTCGTGCTGCTGCCTGGTGAACGCATCTCTGTCGAGATTAGCGGGGGAGATACAGGGGGACTCGGACCTTTTACTCATGAAGGCGGAGAGAGGTAAGTGAATAGCCAATTTTGAGGTTTCGTAATTATGATGTTTTTGACTGACTTGTTTTCCTTCTTGCAGGACGCATGAGCGGTTTGGAGGGATGAACCACCTCCACTTTGGACCAAACTACTTGAACTATATTACTCTTCCCATCATCTATAGTTAGATGGTTTCGAGTCAAATTGATAAGGCGTTGAGATGCAATATAAATATAAATTCCCGACCTTTACAGACTTGTAATATTCGTCGCAGTTCAATCCCTATTATAAAGACGAGCTTGACAGGCCGGCACAGTATATTTACCAATCCACCCCATTTGAGCGGATACATGGACTCATCAATAACGAGAAACGTCTAATATACACATCGCCATCCCACAGACTTTCTCACTGATCAACAACAAAGCCATCATAATGTGGCCTCATGTGCATCGGCTGCCTGAATGGTGGACGAATATCCTGCGCGTTATCGACCACATTCACCCCGATTCCCGGGAGGGTGGGAATATCAACAAAGCCGTTCTCGACTTTCGGGACGAAGTCAACAACGTTGCTGCCGAGATGGTCCATGGAAGATGTAAAGATTCCGTTTTCAAAGCCGGTCGCATACTCCTGAATGGCGAAGTTGGGAATGCTAGCCGCGATTTGTAGACATGCAGCCAGGCCAATTGGCGAGAGCGGGTTATGCGGGACGACCTGGACATTGTGAGCCTCTGCCATGGCTGCCACCTTTTTCGCCCCGGTGATGCCTCCACAAAGAGCGACGTCGATGCGGACGAACTCGAGCGCGTTCCGAGACAGGTGCGCTTGGAACTCGTAGATTGTGCTGAAGCGCTCACCGGTGGCGATTGGAACGGATATGCGGTCTGCGACCCGAGCCATGGCGTCTGCATTCTCAGGGCGGATGGGATCTTCGACGAACATAGGCCTGTACTCCTTGATCATGTTCGCGAAGGTGATAGCCTCGGCTGGAGTGAGGCGGCGGTGCAGCTCGATGAGAAGGTCAACCTTGTCGCCGACAACTTCTCGCATCCTGCGAACGTTGTCCGCTGCGTCTTCCATCTTCTGGACGTGTGTTTTGAAGTACACCTGGTCGTGACCCTCATCGAGGAAGGGATTAATATGCCCAAAAGCAGTGTATCCCAGGTCCTTCTTTCTCTTGCACTCGGCCAGGACACCTTCGATCGTCTTCTCGTAGATGTGACCGTAAATGCGCGCTTTGTTCCTGCACTTCCCGCCGAGGAGCTCCCAGACTGGCACGCCCAGTACTTTTCCCTTGATATCCCACAGCGCGATGTCGATCCCAGATATCGCGGCATTGATGGCCGTCCCCTGAAAGTAACTGAAACGGTGCATGACGTTCCAATGGTGCTCGATGTCGAAGGCAGGCTTTCCAACCAGATACTCAGCAAAACGACTCACTGCCGTGGCGCCTGCTTCGATGTGGCCCCATACTCCAGATTCTCCCCAGCCAACCACGCCGTCATCTGTCTCTATGCGCACGAAGAGGAACTGGCCCACGTGAAGTGGCACGACAGAATGAATGATAGGCGAGGATACCATGATGGCGCAAAGAGAATGGCGTCAGCTCGCTGTTGGTGAGACGAGCGTATGGCATTCGTGGTAAGGAAGTCTTCGAGATCGACAACTCGCCAGATACATCCATATACCAGATTTGTGACATTCTGCTACCACATAGAGTGTTCCGCGATCGGACGACTTCCATGCCAGAGATCTCGGCCACATCCGAGACGGCATTGACCAGCGAGGCCATAGTAGCATCCACACCAAGAACGACGGTTGGGGAAACCTCAGGGCCAAGAGGCCAAGCCACCGTCCCTCCTCCACCTTCGGCTCGGATGCGGGCGGGCAACCCACGACCGCTCTTGCTTGTCAAGTGTCAGCAATCATTCCATGTAATTGATATGCTTGCGGAGAAATCCAGTGCTGGCGGGACTTTGCTTCGAAGCCGTAATAGTACTAGCGAAGGCAGATTTATATCACTCCCAGCCGCTAAATCAATTCTGCTTATAGCGTCACCATGTCATATGTTCACATCATGCAAGTACATGAAGATGCCCTTATGCTTACAGAACAGCCTCACGTTGGTAACGTGACTAGAGACCTGTGGTGCTTTGGGAGGTGCAGTAGAGGCCAAGAGGCACGTTGTTCTCCAGATCAAGGCAAACGAACGTATACGCAGACGAGCTTAGAAGATGGTGGTATATCGCTATTGAGGCTCGCCCCAGACGCGCCTGAGGCGGAGCATATTCGTTCATTATCATGGAAGGAATACAATCCTTGGGATTACAAACCAACTATCTATCCTCCTTTCCCCTCTACGCAGTTGCAAAACGGAGTGGCCCAGCCCAGATCCTCATCCTCTTGCCGAACACGATCAGCACAAGGATAATGCCAAACGCCGCCGCGACGACCGCAGCCTGAATACCGAAGCTGACCTTGGTGCCCTGCTTCTCGGCCCACTGCACCTGGAAGTACGAGATGACGAAGCCGCCCAGCGTGCGCGCAAAGTTGAGGTGCGCGCTGACCTCGCCGCTGGCCTCGGGGTAGCTGTCGAGGCAGTAACTGCTGACAGCGACGGTGGTGATCATGATGCCATACACATACAGCCCCCACGAGACGGACAGCGCCATGAAGTGCCACGCGTTCTCGAGCGCCTGGCCGACGAGCACGAGGCCGACGATCATGAGCGGGAGCGAGAAGAAGATGGCGCGCAGGCGCACCTCGGGCTCGAAGTGGCCCTTGTGGGACTTGATGTAACTCTTGGCCAGGAAGTCGTGCAGCCAGTGGCCCGAGATCTCGCCCAGCAGCACCGCGACGACGGGCGTGAAGTAGAAGTATCCGATCTGCAGCGGGCCAAAATTGTAGAGCGGCGTGAGGAAGATCGACAGCGTGGTGTTGATCCCGACGACCCAAGCGAACGTGAGCATATAGTAGGCCGCCGTCAGCAGGACCGTGGGCTTGACAATGACCTTGACAACCCGCATGCAAGCCTGCGGGAAGGAGTTGCGCATATGGCGGGAGCGGAACTGCGAGATACCGAGCACACGGGAGACCCGACTGCCCAGGGATGGCTGCTCTGCCGCCGGGATACGTCGGTCGTAGTACGTCTCGTCGACAAAAAACATGGTGAGGAGCAGTACGGCGCCCGTCTCAGCCGTGTACACCCAGAAGGGGGTCGGCCACGGCTTGAAGGCCGTCATGAAGGCCGCGAGGAGCGGGCCCATGTAGGGGCTCATGACGAAGAAAGATGCCCAGATGTTGATCTTGCGCGCGCGTTCGTGGAAGAAGAACATGTCCTGGATAAACATCATCCCGCCGCCCTGTGTAACGGTCGAGAAGAAGCCATTGAGGATACGTGCGCCCATGAAGGACTCGAAGGTGTCGGCGCCTGCGCACCATGCAGCGGTAGCAAAGGCTACGACGAGGAAATAGAATGCCACTGGGAGACGTCCAAAGTACGCAGAGAGCACGACAGCTGCGGTGGTTCCCATGTCAGTGAAGGCTCGAGGTTACGTCTTGCGCGCGTGTGGAGACACGTACCGAATATGCCACCTGCGCCCAACATGAAGACATTTCCTGCTTGCGAGTGGTTCACCTCATCTGGTGTCATGTTCCATTCTCTGCAGCCATATTAGCCTTCGTTCCCATGCATATAGCCTCTCAGACAGCCAAATAGGGTGGCGACATACGCAGCCTGTGGAATCAGTGTAACTGCGCCCGTAGCACTACCATAGTCGGGCAAGAAGGCAGCAGCAGCGATGATGAAAAGAATTATGTGCTTCTTCCTCCAGCTCCAGTTAAGAGGGTCCTTGGGGTCATCGCTCGGCTGCGGAATGAGGCGCGTGTGACCGTCAGCGGCGAGCTTCACGCCCGCCTCCGAAGGACTACCATCAGAGTTCTCGGCATCGAGGACGTAGCCTTCCTTCTCCCGGTACTCATGTAGCTCGTCCTTGGTGGTGATCCTCTTTGCCAGGTTGGTATTGCCAGGCGCGGTCTCGATCTCCGGCTCGGAGGTTGTTGGCGACACTTTCTCGTTGTCCGCCATTTTGATACGCAAAAGTTGTTAAGCTCACAGATGGTCAAGTCCTGCCCGCTGGAAGGAGCTGACAGACGAGCAGTACGGAATACTGTGTATATATGACATTATCAATCGGCACTAAAACAATGCGTACCTTGTTGGGCGAGAGTCAGGAAATTTATTCCACCGGGAGAATGCCATTCACGGCGAAAGCTTGGACAGATCCACGTAGGGTTGCAAAGCTAGCCGGTCGATCGATACTACCTTTACAGGGGGAGCAGGGGAAGCTCTCAAGGGGAGGCTGGGAAGCATGAGTGGAAGCTAATGAGCGGAGATGATCCGGCTGCCAGTAACGATGATCCTAAGACAAGCCTTCCATGACACCGGTGCATTAGCTCGACCTGATTGACTCTTGTGCCGATGCCTTTGGTGAGGCCGTTGGGACTCTGTGTTATTCATAACCCAGGAATCCCAGTGGTTATCGGTCCCTAACGTGTCTGTGCCTGTCTCCTAGGCGCCGTCGGGTTGCATTCACATGAAAACATTTTCCATTTTCAGTGTCGTCAAAATCAAACGCAACCTTGCCCTAATATGGAACCAGTTGGAAGTCTTCTAGATAAGCACTGAGTAAGTAAATAAGCTTTGCAAAATGTTATTTCCCCGAGCCTTTAGCCGGCGAGCCGCGTACAACAGCTAGCTCAAAGAGGTTGGCCATTTCCGGGGCCGGGACACAGTCGACCGCCATTCGCAGCAGCAACTGGGCAAAACTCACATCTGAGCTTACTCTGGGGAAAGATATGGGGGAACAACAAACTACCAGGGTCTGGAGAAAAGTCGGGGAATATCGTTGCGGGGTAGATGGCTTCCGCGTCTGCGCTTCCATCTCACTTTGACTAATCCTAGTGACCCTTTTCGAAGACATCGGCATTCATTTCGGCGCCTCCCAGGTTGGACACGAAGTGGATATCTCTGTTGCGACTTTACCCTGCTATGCATGCTATACACAACTGCACGGATATCTGCAAGGGGCATATCCTCCGCCATGCCTCGGCCAAAGTCACGTCTCAAAGAGAAGGTCTCATAGCATGACAAATCTCATCCCAGAACGTGGCGTCTACGAGATCTAATAATACTGGGGGAGTACCTAGGCCCCATGGCCCGCTAAGCACTCACACCCACCATTAGAGGAAGGTGGCTGGCCGATGTATGCAGGTAGTGACACCGGCCAATCTGACATGTGGACGGACTTTGAGCTGAGAAGCCGGCAGTTGACACGGGCAGGTGTTGCTCTCAACGGTCGAGTTAGGAAGTGTGTTTTCCCGGGAGTACTGTCGTTGTAGGACTCCAAAAGTTTGAGAGTTTGAGCTTTGATCTCCGTTGTTGAAGTGTGTTGGTCTGTATACATACATACGTACGTAAGCAAACCTTGGATACACATCTACAGTATGGCTCACCCTTGCGTGCCCAGCGGGGCATGACTTGCTTTTGCTTCTGCATGTCCCAGCACCCTGGTTGAGTCCGCATTAGGCTGGCGATCTTGTTCGGGCGAGCTCAGCCGTAACACCATGGCTTTTGTGAACCATTGGATGAGACAGCAGTGGCACTGTCAGTTGAGCTGTGGATTGAGTGGCGAGCGAGCTGCAATGGTCAAGCGAGACAAGGCATACCTTGGTAACGGCCGAGTTCAGATATTGCTCGGCTAGTACGCCATACAACGGCCCCTCAAGTTGATCTCGTAAAACGCCTTGGTGGGTGTCAACATGACATAGAGCAATCTGTGGGAATGAGCCTATTCCCATTTCGACATGCCTATCGTGGCTATAGAATCCTTTTTCCATCTCCGACCATTTACTGCGCGGTGACAGCTCGGACAGCCCGCCATGAGGCGTACCAGCTCCGTCGCTATGCATATTTTGTTGAGACACATGTCTATCCGTTCTCTATTCTAGTCCGATTCGTAATGTGGCGTGGTTCCGTCATGTCTATAATTTGCATCGAACGTGGCAACCCTTTGCACCGGTCATCCACACACGCCAAGTCGTAATGCTCTCTGAGTCCGCGCACCAGCCCTCACTCTGTCTTACCAGCATTGCCGAACTTGGCCTTGATCTCCTCCTCCGTGAAGGCAGTCGTGTGCCTCCTAAGCATCGTCGCGCGTTCCTCCATCGTCATGCGGATCTGCTTCTCACCAATAGGGACCATGCACTCGGCCAGCCGCGCATAGTCTTTCCTCAGCAACGTGACCGTCATGAAGAGGTAGTCGATGTCGTGGAAGACCAGGGCACCGTTCGACGCATATGTATGCTTGGCCTTGAGGAAGGCCACTGGGTGCTCGCGCCAGTGCCTCATGGGGTTGAGATGGTGCGAAGTGTGGTATCCGTCATTGAAACAGTGACGGTTGCTCTGTGGAATCACTGTTAGCGATACATACTTCCTCAGAGCTAGAAGCAAAGGGAAGCGAAGGGCAAACAAGCGTAGGAATGGGGAGCAGGCCACGTACTGGGACATCGATCAGCGTGATGCTCGACCTGTAGTCGCTATCTGGCTCATCCCGGTCCACGAGCGCGTGCTGGCCCCAGTTGCCAATCATCAGCCCGAGGCGCATAATGGCCAGAGGCAGGAGGAACACAAAGATGGACGCCCTCCAATTTAGCTTCCACATGGTGTACTGCAGAGCATAGCTGCTGAACTCCCAGAACGCCGCTTTGAGCGCGAACGTTGGCCTGTTGTTCCTCAGGAAGTAGAGGGGCAGCTCGAACCAGACGAAGAAGTAGAACCGCCCCACGTACTGCAGGAAGTGCCAGAGGCTGTCCCGCTGGTATCGGATCGTGGAGCTTAGGTCGTCAGGCCCGTTACCCTCGACGTGGTGGTGCTTCACGTGATGGTAGAAGTACGAGTTCCAGGTGTGGCCCATGAGAGGGTCGAGCAGGTATGGGAAGGTCATATCAAACCAGGCGTATGATTTGTTCAGCACGCCGCGACCGTGAATGTGCTGGTGCATCATTAGCGTGTAGGCGCCGGTGTATGACACCTGCATGACGGTATGCATCACGCCGTGAACCCAGGTGAAATGATAGAAGAGCCACAGGGCCGAGGGCACCGAGGTGGTGAAGTACAGGATCAAGTGTGTGAGCATGACGACGTCCGTCTCGACGCGCACGATGGACTTCCCCAACTCGACGTAGGACTTGAGCAGCCGGTCCAGCACGGGCGGCAGCTTGCCCAGCGTGCTCAGATCCCAGGTGTTGAAGACGGAGGGCTCGAAATAAGAGCTGTTGGGGTCGTTCATGCCCGATATCATGGCCAGGGCTGCTTCATCACGGGCGGCTTCCTCCTCGCCGATCACGCCGTCTTCTGGGCCTTGGGTTGAGCCTGTGAGTAACGTTTAGCAAAGCTCGAGGCTCAAGGCGATAGACAAGTTGTTGGAAATAAGGGAACGGGTGTGCTACCATTGACGGTCGTGGTGTGACCATTGGCTTTGCCGTTGGTGTGACCATTGGATGGAGGGGACCTTGCTGATACATCTTTGATGTCTGCCTCGAGGTTCTTGAGAATCAAAACATCTGCCTTTGATAGTTTCTCGCTGAACACTATCTTCTGGTCCATGATGAAAGAAAGAGAGCACCGCTAGGGACCCTCGTACTGAGTGCAGCGCTGCACTGTTGGAGAACTTCTTGGCGAGGCGGTGCGCCTGATCAAGCCCCCTGACCTGACTGGAACACTCTGAAGAAGCTTCTGAGCGATCCCAGGAGAGTGGTAACTCACGGTAGCACAAGCTCGATAGACTTTGCCCGGTGACGAAGCAAGGGCTGTGACTGCGTGGGCTCTGTCTTGACGCAGATTTTTTGGATGTCGATAGCCACGAGCTTGCCGACGCTCTTTGTCTGAGACCACGTTATGCAAAGAGACAAAATGGTCTGACGCTCTGACCGACAAACTGACGCGTGGAGCAAAAGTCGGGTGTTTCGTTTGGACAGGGGCGCGTCGACTTGCAAAGGAAGTGTCTGGATCTGTGGGCCTGGCTCTGGACCTCAACCTGGCTCGGGTCCTGGACCGGGCACCTGGACCCTGCGTGCAGAATCCAGATTTGGGAAAGGTGAGATCGCCAAGAAACAGCTTCGATAGGTGGGTGCCCTGCCCAGAGTCAAGCTCTAGCAAGCCACAGCCAAGATATACCGGGTCGATCAGCCCAGGGAGTAGATGCTTTTCTCTACTGGACTATCTCCCGTAGGCAGTGTCCTGGCGCTTCTCGGTGTGCAAGATAATGCATATACCTACGTTAGGACGAAGTTCAACTCACAAAGCCCTGGCTCGGAAGTCTTCCCCAGAGAAAGGGGGCAAGGTCTACACACAGTAGCGGGACTGGCCCGAGTGGCCATCGACAGTCGGATAGTCTAAAAAAGAGCCGAGCTTTTCTGCCCATACGGGTTTCGCAGGGGTTTCAATGGGCGGTGTGAATCTGTGATTTGTGACTGGCGATTTTTGGTTTGCACAGCAACGCGAATCATCGAAGACTTATTACCACATTGATGGAGCACCAGTTGTCACTACACGTCTAGATTGGGAAATTAAGCACAGTATTGCTCTATACTGACCACGTGTCGCACCGTACACATATCCTTAACATTACCTTACCCCTCTTGAGTGATTCCCCGCTAAGAAGGTTTATCCCCCGGTTGTACCACGCACCGAAAAGTCAGCAGCTATCAATATTTATCAACAAATATACCCACCCACACTCGCACGAACACCCACCCACAATGACATCCCTTACCCAGATCTCTCACCCATTTCATATTCCAGACTAAAAATCGCTCTCCAGTCAGATATCATGCACAGGTCGGCTCCGGACTTCCGGAACTCACCTCTCACATCGTACATATTGACCAACCCGATCTGACCAAATCTGCGGCCAGATGATGCGCACACCCGAGACATTCCTCTTGGTGTGACACCCTGGCGTGCTTGCAAGCGCTGCACCCATGGAGTTGACCACTGGATCGGTGGGGGTGCACATGTGGGTGGCAGGTTCCGAACACTCGAACACAAAGACTCACGGCACACTGCGACTCGCCGTTGCCAACACTGAACGAACTCTGGCGACGGTCGTGTTACGCGGCCACTAATTGACTGCCTCATTCCCAAGAAAGTCTACAGCCTGCAGGAGACAGGCCGCGAAAACATGGAAGGAAAACCCTCAAGCGGACCGAACGGCTGGCCAAGGCTAGGACCGATGTGCCGAATACGTCAATTGGACCCTATTGCCATGGCAATGAATGATGTCGTCTTGTTTACATATATACATGTATATGTACACCTAAAGGACGTTCCAATTTGCATTCCCGCCACAACGAAGGTCTCAACGCAAACAATGTTCAGAGTTCATGCTACCCAGGTGGCCGCGGGACTTTACATGCTCAGCATGAACAAGCCGTACAAACTTGAGTTTAACGAGGCACGGCATCCAACACCTTCCAGGAACTCCCACACCTTGGTGTACCGGACATAGTGGAAGGTATCACGAAGACGAATTTGTCTGTTCCTGCACAAGATTAGCAGACAACTGTTCGTGTTTGGGTCCCGAGAGGATATTTGCGCACTTTAGCATTCCGAGACTGTGGACCGCGAGCACGTTACGGATCGGCCTGCTGCTGTCAAGATGCGATCATCCCGATGCAGGTGCCTAGCCGCTTCGGCGCGAAAGACGTTGACAAAAACGGGTGGTCTGCCCCGGATCCTGCAGATCGAAGCCATTCATTACGCAAGTCACGTTTGCAGGACACCACGCGCTCATGGAATTTGTCATATTCCGCCCGACTTGTCTCTTGCGGTAGCAGATCATGGTTCGATCCCCTACCCCGGAGGACGACGGCTTTCCAGCTTTCTCTCCTGTATTTCCAAAGAGAGAAGAAACGAGAGGCGGAGGCGGCTCGCTAGAACATCGGCGAAAAAGGGTCTAGACTGCCTCCTGCAGGTCCAAGAGGCTCCCCTCGCCCAAACGGGTCGTGCATGAGGTGAGCGGCTGTTTTGGCGCGCAGCAGAGACCTAGCAAGACAAGCCCTCTGTCTAGAACAGTGCCATACACCTCTGCCACCGACGTGGCGTTGAGCGTGCCTTGAACATGGCGGGATCTTCATGCCTTCTTGTCTCGCTAATCTATTAAGAAGCTGCAAGATGATGCTGTACGATGCTGGCCGCACGAACTAGATACCTGGGGCAGGCGATTTCTTGAACTCGGCGACGGCCGTGGGCCTGAAGCGACGGCCGTGGTGAGACACGTCGGGCCGGCCCCCGTGATGTCGAGGTCGAATGTTGTACGAGGGGCCAGTTGGGGCCTGTCTGCTTGGAACCAGCCGCCTCTGTCGCCCAAAATGGTTACGAATCCGCCTGCCGCCTCACACATACATCCTGCACCTAGGTAGTATGCCAGGTACCAGCCTACCTGTCTACCTAGCTGCTTGACGGCTTGGTCACCAACAGCATGGGCATCTGGCAGCCTCACAAGCTGGAAATCAGTGCTGGCTGCTGCTCAAAAACCCGCTCACTGCTTACTGGACTCAGACACACGCAAAGAGAGTGCCACCAATGACACCACGTACCAGGAAACTTTTCATCTGATGTTGTGAGCAAAGTCCAGTGTGGTGCCGGGTCCCGTCAACGCAGGATACACACGAGGATTGAACGAGGCTTGACAGGCAACTCTGGAGTTGCACAACCTTAAGGCGCCCTAATATCAGCAGAAGATCAGGGGACGATCACCTGACACGCGCTTCTTTTGCGGGCATGATGATCCCCCATCCGGGGCCCAGCGGTTCGTGTCCATTCCTGGGCCGGTCAAGACCTTCCGGATGAGGACAGTCACACAGGAGAGACGCGCTCTGCCGGGCTGCTCCAAAATGTTTTGACCGGTCTTTTTCCAGCGCGCGTGCGTGCGCCGTCCAGCGACCCGGTCACCACACAATAAGACAATGCATACATAATGTAAGGGTGTAGCAAAGGCGGTTCTGACGTATCGAAAAGCGGCAGGGAAAAAAGCAGGCAGGCTGTGACCCATGCATATCGGGCCAATCTTCTCCAGTGGCATCTGCAGGACGGAAGCAGACAGCACCGGAAAAATCGACCTATCAATATCAGGGCTCCAAAGTCTGTCTCAATGACAAATAGTCTGGGCTTTTAGCTGCTACTCTTCCCAAAAAAGGAGTGTGCTCTCGGTCGAGATACGGATGAGTGTGCGAACGTGCGATCGTGTGTGTGTCGGATCCCGGGCACAAAGGTCCTCTAGTGAGCCCACCCGGCCGGCACAGAAACGTGTGAGAAAGTGTTCGAAAAGAGCTGCCAGCATGATCGAATGGGAGGGGGGCAGAGGGCATATAGGCTCAGGTGCAGCAGGCAGCGGAAGCGATTGGCGGGCCACCCTGCTCCTCTGTGTAACCACCACAAACATGATCGCACCTATCACGGGTTGCGGCGCCGACGCATATCCTTGCACTGACCGGTACCTCTTGGCCAAGACCGCGCCACAAATGCTGGGTCTGTCTAGGTGGTGCAGCAGCCAGCTGCACACAGCAGCAGCAGTAGCAACAGCCAGCAGCAGGTGGTCGTAGAACAGAGGGGGGAGGGGGAAATTAGGCGGTACGAGCGAAGGAGGAGAGGGAGGGGGGGTGGTGACCCAGGCTGGGGAAGAAGAATGGGGAGAGCCGAAAGGAGGAGGAGACGGCGAGGGCGCACAGCCTAAGAGCGTGATGACCAGCCTGCGAGTGAACGAATCTGGGATGTTGCTGCTGCTCCTACTGCCTCGCTGCTGCTGTCATCATCATCATCGGCGCCGGAAGGGGAGGGAACATTGAAATACCCAGATGCATCCCGTTGTGACACTTCTTCCCACCCGCGTCCCCCCCCACAAGAAAGGACAAGGACGGCCAGGACACACAAGAGCCCCAATGCACCTAGGTCTTGCTTGCTTGCTTTGCTTGCCTGTCCTCTCTCCACTCTGGCACTTCTGCGAGCTCGCTAACTGACCTCCCTCGTTGGTCCACCGGAAGCGAGTCCTCACTCACCTTGCCCAGGGTCATCCGAAAGTTGAATCTCAATCCTTCACCGGAATCTTACGCCCTGTCCAGAAGTGGAAATGGCAAACGAAAGGCGACTTAACAAGTCATCAGCCCGCACTCCTCGACATGGAAGCACTGCTACCACCAAGACCACTGCCACCACCAACCGCAGTAATAGCAGTAATAGCAGCGGCAGCAGCAGCAACAGCACCAGCACCGTCAACGGGACCAGCGGAGGGAAGAAGCAAAGCAGCAGCCGGCAGTACCGGATCCCACACCCTCCAGTTCCTCACGCTCAGACTTCTTTACTGCAGTCACAGCGGGTACCCGCGTCCGCCGTCTCTTACTCCTCGTCAGCTCGGCAGGGCGTTGGCCAGGAGCCCCGACAGCTCTATGAAACCCGATATCAGCCTGCAGTTGGCCGCGGCCTGGCGTCAACAACAACGACAGCAGTAACAACAACAAGGACACCGACACCGACGACGAGGAGGGCGGCCGTCGACGTCGCCAGCACCACGTCAGAAGCTGCTGCTAATGGCTCATCAGCCGACTCGCCAGTCCCGGCGGCCGACCCGGACTCGATGGAGGCTAAGAAGGGACTGAACAAATGGGGCGCGTTCGACTCGTTCAGCGGCTCCGGCACGGGCACGTTTGGGTTTGGACCCCTGCTGTTCCACCATGTGGATGAGACACCACGGGACCCGTACGACACCACCAATATGATGCTCAACGACCCCATCAGCTTCAACCCAATGAGCGCCATCTCGTGGGCCAGGCTGGACGACAGTCCCGAGAGCGTCGACGAGCTGCTGGGCGACCATGCCATCTCGACACAGCAGCAGCAGCGGCAGCGAGGCACCGCAGCTGGGAAGGGCGGTAGCAGGCACGAGGCAAGCAGCAGCAGCTACGTGGGCTATGTCGACAGCCCGGCCAGCACGCCGGCGAGCCCACGGCCTGGCGGCGGCGGCGGCGATGGCGGGTCATATGGCTCGGACGCCTCTGAGTCTCGCACTTCATCCGTGGCCGGAAGCAGCGTCGGTAACATCTCCAGGACCTTCTCAGACACGAGCCTGGTGGGCCGAGATACGGACAGGAGCACTGCGAGCGCGCAGCCCGCTTATCCCTCGCCCTCCTCCTCGCGAGCAGCTCACACTCCTCAAACCCAACGGCAGCATGAACAACAGCAGGTCTACTCATCTCAGCCACAACCATCTTCAAACCAGAACCCAGCCGCCTATCGTGCCATAGCAAGTCAACAACCCTATCCTAGCCGGTCCTATACGCACCCACGCCCACAAGAACACCGACACCACCATCAGCAACAACCAAGCTCCCGGTCATACCCACCGCCACAGCAGCGACAACAACAGCAGCAGCAAGCGCCTATGCCGCAGACAACACTCCCACCACACCAGGCACCACCACCACCACCACCAGCAATAGCAGCAGCAGCAGCAGCGACGACGACGACAACAACAACAACAACAGACCTCCTCCTCTGCCTAGGCCCGCACTGCAGCGCGCGCTTCCCGACCGAGGCGGAGCTGGCGGCGCACTACCGCGCCGAGCACGCCTTCACGTGCACGTGGACGTCGTGCGCGGCGCCCAGCTTCACGTCGAGCAACGCGCTGGCCTGGCACGTCAACGCTGAGCACCTGCTGGTGTGCCCGGTGCCGGGGTGCTGCGGCGCCGCGTACGCGAGCAAGAGGGCGCTCGAGGGGCATTTGAAGGTTCGTCGCTTTGATTTTATGCTTTGCTTTTTTTTTTTTTCTCCACCTGTCTAAAATAAAATTGGCAGAAGGGGTTAGTGAGTGTGTTGTGACTAACTCGGAAATGTAGGGAGAGGTGGTTACGTCTTCGGTGTCGACGCCATCGGGGAGCTCCTCGTCAGGCACGTCTCGGAGACAACCTCAGCAGCAGCAGCAGCAGCCGACGCCACAACAACCACAACACCATCGTGCGCGTCGCCGATCAAAGAGCCCGAGTTTCTCACCAGCGCATCGGCCGCCTCAGAGGGCGCGACGCTAGGCCTTCGTCTCGTGTTTTTTTTCCTTCTGCTTTTTCTATTATCGAGACCCGAGATCAGACGGCATATCAAGACAAGTCATTGACGTTGACGTAAACGTGGATCCTAGTGTGTGTGGTTGCGTCCACGGTGCAAAATTGTTTTGAGATCTGGCACGGGTGCCATTTCTCAGGCAGGGAGGGTGGATGGAGAGGGTGAGCACGTTTGTGGTTGATATTGGTATGCATTCATGCACAAGCTATTGCGTGCCAACAACCGTGAGCCGGATGTCAAGGCTCGTCATTTCAGCCAGGGAACCCGCCTCGGGCCATTTTCTTGGCCCGCTGATCCCGCCTGTTGTGGTTGGCCCTCTGACTCTTGCTGGCCTCCTTCCGACGCCTCGCCTGCTCCGTGTCATGTTCGCCGCTGGGTCCGGCGACATTTCCACCACCACGACCACCAGGGCCGCCCCCACGTCCCGCTCCCCGTCCCCTGCCGCCGCCACGACCTCGACCTCCTCGGCCTCCTCGCCCGCCACCGCCGTCGGTGTCGGATTGCTCCGTGCCCGACCCGCCCGGGCTCGCCCTCCACGCTGTGCTTGTCAGCTCGTTTTGCTGCCCGGTGAAGGCGCTTGCGGCGCTGTACTTCATCTCCAGCCTGCGCTTCTGGTTGGCGTTGCGCGACAGCATGACCGCCCATCCCTCGATGGCCTCGTCGGTCATGCCCGTCTCATCCTTCAGCTTGCTCCTGGCCGCGCTCTTCCGCGTGGCCTGGTCGCGCTCGAAGGCGTTTGGCGTGCTCGAATACGTTTTCCATAGGGTCTCTTCGTTGTCGTTGGCTGGATCCTCCGTGGTCGCCGCGTCGACGGTCCCACCGACATCCGCGGCGTCGTAGGTGTCGTCGCGCTCGTCATCGTCCGAGTCGAACGCCGCGAGGGCGGACAGGATGGCTGCTTTGTTTGGCGCGGTAGAGCGGTCGGCGAGGATGTCGTCTGCGGTCCTCCCGGGAGCTCTCTTGCCGATGTGAAGCTGGGAGGTGTCGACAGCCAGACGGTCCAGCTCGTCGTCGTCAAAGACGTTGCGCCTAGAAGGGAGGAGCGGTGGCGTTGAGCGCGGCACAAGACTGGATCGTCTTCTTGGTTTAGCACTGGTATTAGATCTAGCCGAGCGGTCAGCAAGGAGTATTTCTAGTAATACATTAATGAAAGGCATCATGACATACAACTGCTCACCACGGTCCGCTGATTGGAGGTGTGGCGGCAGGGAATCCTCAAGAAGATGCGCAATGACTTGTTCGGTGTCGTCGCCGTACTCGTCTAGCAGCTTCGACACAAAGCCGGACCCGAGTTGTGGGAAGAGATCCTGCACTTGAGTAACCTGGCTCAAACGATGGATATGCACATCACCAGACATGGCCTCGTGGTCGTCCAGGGCAACGCTTTTGCCCTTGTCGATCTTGCGCCTGATGAGCCGTTTAGGCTTCATGCCCGCTCCTGGTTTGCGGAAGGCAGCCAGGTCCATCATCATGTTCTTCAGACGGGCATTTTCGGTGCCTGATACCGTCAGCCGGTGTTCGATCTGCTGCAGCAATGGCGTGGTGCTGATGAGCTCAGGAACGAGCGAGTCGTTTGCGCTGGTGGGCCCGGCCTTGTGGTCCTCGGCAGCGGTCTTGAGCGAATAGAGCTGGTCAGTAAGGAGGGATAGCTTGGGAGGGCTGGTCTCCACCAGGCCCATGAGGCTAAGATAGGTCGTAGTGATGATGACCTTCCTCAGTGGAGGGTTCATGATCCTGTAGCATGCGATGAGGCCGTCGAGGAATTCACTGCCGGCCAGGAAGAAGGAGGCAGCCGAGGGGGATGCACTGATGAGGTGGCTCAACCTCCGTAAATGCTCCTCTACGCCCTTCAGATCGCCCTTGAGCCCGTCATCCAGATTCTTGATAAGAAATTTCTTGAGAGGACCAAGGAAAGCCTCGACGGTATCCTTAGACTCAGTTGACAGGGAAGACAGAACGCTGTTGGCCCTCTTCTTGCTGTAGACATGACTGAGATCGGACAAGAACTCCCACTGCAGCAGGGTAACTGGAGGGGAGGACGAGCTCAGGGCCCTGGAGGCCAGTAGGAAGCAGTCCTTGAGAAGGAGTTTGGCCGGGGCTGAGGTGCCGAGCAGGACTGAGCCGTTGACAGCTACCTCTCTCATAAACGAGGTGAGGAATCGAGAGACAGACTCGTCAGCGAGGGTCTGCTTGGAGAAGTCGGCGTCCGAGAGGGCGAGATGTGCCTCTGCCAGAGATATCCATGCACCAAGGCTGGCGTTCCACTCATCGATGGACAGCAACTCCTTCCATGTTGCCGTTGGAAATGGCGCAAAGGGTGGCAGGGCAGTCGAGCCCATGGTGGAGTTTTCTGCCGTCAAAGTGCTGGAAGATGAGGGAAGCCAAGCCAAGTCAAGTCGAGTAAGTTAAATTGAAGTAAAGACAGACAAGATCACAGCATCTTCCAGCACGATATTGAGGAGAGCTGCCTCTCTTTTAGGTGGGATGGCCCCCAGCAGATTCGCTGACACGGCTGCTTGCTGCTCTGCTCTGCTTGCTGCGCATCCAAGCGAAGTTCAGTTCAATAAGGCCTAACCCATGTCAAAATGTCAGTGACGACACCCAATCGAATTGGATCGAGTGAGTCCTCGCCGAGCTGACTCATCATGATTCACAGGCGGGTGGTGCTAGTCCAAGACCAGCCTAGCGCGACCCTTCCCACCCCACCAAACCAACCAATTCTCCTAAACCCTCAGAAATATCCATCGCGAACTTTTTGACCTGTCCTTGAATCCATCGTCAATCAACCAACCACTCCGCTAGCCTTCATCACTTTGCCGCAACGTACCGCCGTTCGAGTCGTGAAGGACCAAACCCCCCATCCCATCAATCAAGATGTCTTACCAGAAGCCAGAGAAGGGTGACTTTGAGGGTCCCGTACGTCTTCACTCTGCCCAATTTACGACCAACATCACCACCATCACTGTCCCAAATGCTAACACACAGCTCCTCCCACGATACAGAAGACCCACAAGATCCGCATCACCCTGACCTCCCGCAAGGTCCAGTCCCTTGAGAAGGTCTGCACCGAGCTGATCGAGCGCGCCAAGGGCAAGGACCTGCGCGTCAAGGGCCCCGTCCGCCTGCCCACCAAGACCCTCAAGATCACCACCCGCAAGACCCCCTGCGGTGAGGGTTCCAAGACCTGGGACTGCTACGAGATGCGCATCCACAAGCGCCTCATCGAGTACGTATATATGTTCATCTAATCTACTTTATCTACCTACCAGCCAGCCTTCCGTTTTGCTGACATCATATCAAAACAGCCTCAACGCCCCTACCGAGATCGTCAAGCAGATCATCGTCAACATCGAGGCCGGTGTCGAGGTCGAGGTCACCATCGCCGCTTAGATGCGCTGATGCCGACACCCACGTACCCGATGCCGAGTTAGTTGGTCCTGGAGGAGTTGTGCGGTCTGGATTCTCAAGTGCTGCTGGAAGATATCAAGTTGATGGCAACGTCAATCAGGGTAGCGCGGAAACAGAACAAAAAACACAATTTCTTCAATCATTGCGGCGAGATGCTAGAGTGCGTGTGCGTGTGCGTGTGTGTGTGTGTGTGCCAGCCAAAGACCGCTAGGAGGTTCGTAGCTGGGTACCCTCCGGCCAGTGCTGCGATCCCGTGGTACCGTATGACCTGGCAACGGCGGTGATAATGACCCGGCAGCTTCTGATATCGTGGCAACACTCGTGATCGCCTTCGCGAAAGAGCACTACCATATTGCGAGTTCGGTCCAGCCACGCCCCCAGAGGTTCCATGTCAAGGCTTAGACGGTGAAAGCACCCAAGTTACACAAGGTCAGGAGACTTCCAAATAAAGAGACCGAGAAGTGTGTTCTTGAACATGGGCTTGATCACAATGAGGGTATCCCCCGGAGAACATCTCATAGGAAGATATCCAGCCTCGATTATCCCATCACAGGTCTACCGCTGTTCAAGCCACACTCATGCGTTGAAGAGCCCCTGTGAGCTATACCTGGGAACCAGATTATATTGCTATGTATGGCAACAGACGCCATTTCGTCTGGCCTTTTCTAGAAAACGCCTCCCTGTATGGCCGGACCAACATGTGGCTTCGAGAGAAACAATCCGCCACATGGTGGCTTTAAAATATGCATGAACCCGCTTTTTGATCAGCCCCTTGAACGTATGAGAACGACATTCCACACACGTACACAAACATACATACGGACAGACATCGTGTCCCTCTGCCCCCTCCCTCCCCCTCTTTCAAAACGCCGGCTGCCAGCCAAGTGCCATGCATACATGCATTTGTGCTCCGGAAATGCACAGGATGGGATATTTAGCCTCCCAAAATAAAACCCTTGAGATCATTTAAAACGGCACAGCGGGTGCTTCTTCTACCTCGTAATGGTCCCGCATTGTTGCTGCCGCACGCTCCCCTTCGACCTCACAAGTCCCATGTGCAGTACTCCCTCATGGGCGCAGCTTCAGGCATGCCGCCGCCACCCGCAGCTTCGAGGGTGAAGCGGCCCGTGGACACAAACTGCTCGTAGGCCGCCTTCTCTCCGTCCGTGTATGCCCGGTCAGGCTCCGTGTCCTTATAGTACGGCGGAGGGCCATCCGGGAACCAGATCTTGGTCCAGCTGCCGTCAAAGTTCTGAATGCCCGGCACCGGCTTTGGCGCTTCCCCCTTCTCCTCCACCATCTTGTATGTGACCTCCTTGCCCTTGAATGTTAGGAGCTGGCCCGTGGGTGCCTTTCTGGCGTAGCTTTCATAAGGTGGATGCTGCCTGGTTGCGTTTGGCGGGTACGGGTTCGCGCCTCCAGGGGTTGCGCCAGCGGGCTGCCTGGCTGCTGCGGCAAAGCCATTACTGGCTGGCGCTGCCTGGGCAAAGGGATTTGACGCCGCAGGTTGCGCCGGCTGGCCAAATGGGTTTGCTGGAGCTGCGGATGGGTTACTTGCTTGCGCAAATGGGTTCTGGGCCGCTGGAGGGCCGGACGCGTCCATGGACACCTCGGGCGTCGCCGACTGCTGCGCCGGCTGCCCAAAGGGACTGCTGCTTGTGGCAGGGCCAGGTTGTGCTGATTGTGTATTCGTTGCGAACGGGTTTGGGTTGCTGTTTGCTCTACCCATCGCCCCGAAGGGACTGGCAGAGGCCGCGGTACCGCCAGTCGAGAACGGATTCGGTTTCGCCCCTAGCTGTGAAGGCTGTCCGAAGCCGCCAGCAGATGGCCCAGGTTGGGACGGCTGAGCAGGTTGACCAAAGCTGGGAGCACCGAAGGGATTGGTAGACTGGCCCATTGCTGAGGTCTGGCCGAAGCCAGTTCCTGCGGTTTGGCCGAAGCCGGTTCCTCCAGTCTGGGCGAAGCCAGTACCTCCGGTTTGGCCAAGAGCCGAGGGTTTCCCGAACGCGCTGCCGCCGCCAAGGGCCGAAGGCTGGCCAAAAGCACTCCCGCCGCCGAGCGTCGACGGTTGGCCGAACGCGCTGGTACCGCCTCCTAAAGCCGATGGCTGGCCGAACGCTGAAGGTTGGGCTGGCGCAGCGGTCTGCGCAAATGGGGAGCTCCCACTGGCCCCGGCGGCGGCGGTGCTGAAGGGGTTCGCACTTTGTCCAAGCGCTGACGGTTGACCAAAAGCGCCGCCAGCTGGCGGGGCGGAGAAGGCATTGGCGGGCTGGCTGGGCTGTAGGCCTACGGGGCTCTTGCTGAACTCGCCAGTGCTCGTCGACGAGTTCGCCTGACAGACGTCGTGGCGGTTTGGGTGGGTATTCTGCGACTGTAGGATGAAGTCAATAGCTCCATCAAGGTTGCCGAGTGCGCTTTGAAGCTTTCCCTGCGCCTGTCCCCAGAGGCCTTGGATCTCAGTAAGCTGGTGGGCAGGTCAGCATTTCCATACAGCTTGCTCGTTGAGTACGAGGCAGGACATACCGCTCCCTGCGCATTGCCTGACGCCTCTCCCATCATGTAATGCAGTCTCATCTCCTCGAAGCTCTGCTCGATGGGGTATCCGCCCCAGAGCTGCTCGGGCGCATCGCGGCCAGGGCCGTATGCCGACAGGATCCATGATGGCCTCTCCTCTGTGAGATCTTTCTGTATTGTGTCCTTGCTCAACGAGAATTGGTTGGGCTGTGCTGCCTGTTGTCTTCCAAATCCGCCGCGGTTGTTGTTGATATTGTTGTTGGAATTGCCCGAGAGCACGCTGAAGGGGTTCGCGCTGGCGGAGCCATTGGCGCGAGGATGCTCATACCTGCAGTTGTCTTGAAAGACGGAGAACGAATTAGCACACTGGGGATTGACCCGACTAGGAAACTTGATGCGCGTATGAGGTATGTTTGGGGTGTCAAGCTGCATGGTGTCGTCGGCCTGGCAGGGCGGTCCAAAGGTCGCAGGGCTCGGCGCACAACAGTCGGTAGGGCTCCAGATGTCCAGCTCAACTGTGATGGTGTCGGTGATAGCAGGCCAGCTGCGCTCATTGTTAGAGCCAGCCGAGCGTGCCGTGGCGAAAGGATGGATTGGGCGCACATTGGGGTCCCTCGCAGCGAGCGCCCTCGTCTTGACATCAGCCGCGAGGGCAAGAGACGACAGGTCGGGGGACTGGGGCTTGGACTTGTTGAAGCTGGAGAGAGGAAACGGGATTGGCGCATTGCGGCCGGGAGGACGATGGTCACCCGAAAGGGCAGCCATGGCGGCCATGTCCATGTGTGGCTTCGATTCGCTCTATTTCGCTTCGATTCGACTCGACTCGCCGTGGGAGGACGTAAAGTAGTGGGTGGATGGAGGTCGAGGTCGATCGTAGCTTGTAGCATGAGGTCGGTCTCGTCTCAAGGGCGGAATAGTCCATGGTCTCGGGTTCGAGGGCATTGAAAGCCGAGGAATGTGCAGCGCTACCGGGCAAAGGGGGTGTACAAGTCAAAGTGTGGTTGTGAAGGGGGGAGACACCTACTGCCGAATCTGCAGTTACCCTGCTGGTAGAACTTGCAGATGGTCATCTCGCATCTTTTGCGAGCTTCACAAGCGACCCTGGGTGCAGATTTCGGGGGGCCACTATTGAATGGGTGACGGCCCCATTGTTCTGGGCGGGTTGGGATGATATAGGAGGGGGTGGACAGGAGGAGAGCGGACGAGGACGACGAGGAATGTCCAAAGTTCAAAGGAAGACGCGACGACGTGTGGACGGTAGACGCACGGGCCCACTGTCCTTCAAAATCTTATCTTATCAGCCACGGCCCGTCGATCGTAGCCGTCAATCAACAATGATCATCGACGCTAGGCCTAAACCAAACACGATCCTTCGATCCTTTACTCGAGCCGCATATCTTAAACGTGAATGGCTTTGCTGAAAGCTTACAAAATGCTCATCTTTTGTTGTTGCTAGCCATCATCAAGTATTCATGTCTTCTCGTCACTACGATACAATATCAGAATCTGATGCATAGACCCACGACGGTGATTGGGCTGAGCAGGTCGACCAAGTACCTGGGTGTTCTGCAAATTCAATGTTGATGCTGGATTGTTGACCATCGTGATACCGATCTGGGTGCGGTACCTCATAGCATTAAATTTATGGAGACTGATTTCGCTTACTACAGATGTCACTTGCCATATCATTTATGTTGCCCTGACTGACCTTCTTACAGGTTCTTGTAGATGAGTTTACCACAAAAACTAATTTTCCATATTGAAGACAGGCCTGATCTCCTCCGGTTCATATTGAGGTTCATCAAATAAAGTTTACGTTGGCATTCCACCAAACCGTATATCGCTTGATCAAATTCATCTATGTACAGATACCAAACCGTAGCTAAACCATCATTATCCTTCAGTAATAAAGAGTGGACTAAAATGGTAATAAGAAACTATTACTGCGATTTCACTTCTTGAACAAGATAGTCTGATCCATTGAGGTTCCATACGCGCTGTCTTAATTTTCTAGGGCGAGAGCTTCTCAAGGACTGTTAATTTTCATCCCGTCTACTTTATCGTACGTATGCAGAGCTAGCTCCAAGTGACCACCTCAGCTTGTGATGCTAGAATGTTCAGTGCTTATTACATTCGGAATCAGAGCGTCATGCATCAATCCCCAGCAGCTCTACCATCTTCTTCACGCCTTGCTTGTCACCCTCAACGGTCCCTTCAATGTCCTCGTCCACCCAGCCCTCGGTCCAACCACCACCAAAGTCAATCAACCAAGCCTTATCATCGAAGCCAATAATCACATTACCCGGTTTAACATCCCCCCACACTAGGCCAACAGCATGGAGACTCTCAACCGTCTCGGTGATCTGGCGCGCCCAAGCCCTCCGCCGCTCCTCCGCAACGCCCTCCAAACCCTCATCCTGAAGATCCCGCAGGCTCGTCTTGGAGGGGACCCACTCCCTGAGTATCCCAAGCACGATCCCCGAGCGCGGGTGCTTCACATACCCGAGGAGCGCCGGCACGCGCACCGCCGAGAGGTCCGGGATGGCCGCCGCCATCTTGCGCAGGCACTCCTCCTCCCGCTCGAGGTTCATGTCGCGTATGCCGTCGGGCCGCGCCTTGCACAGCATGTCGCGGCCGTCGACCCTGACGCGGCAGACGGTGCCGCCGCCGCCGACGAGCTCTTCTGCCACCTCGACCGTGCTCGGGGGGTACTGTGGGAGAGACGTGTCGATCTCGATCTCTGCGTGGTACCCGCCCTGCATGTCGTCGTCGTCGTCTTGCTCGTAGCTCCTTCCGTATGACTCATTCGAGTTGATAGATACGAGTCTGAGGCCGTCTTCCGTTGCTTCCAGACGATAGTAAGAGGTCTCCGGGAACAAGATTCTGTCCAAGGTCACTGTAGGTATTGAAGTAGCAGGACGGTCCGTGGGTGATGTGGTGGTCTCGGCGCAGAGCAACTTCGCTGCGTCCAGGATCGGCTGTAGCGCCTCGTCCTCCAGGGCCTGCTGTTCGTCGAAGTCCTCGGTGGAGAGAGATTGGCTGATGAGGCCGATTGTGCGGTCGATTGTCTCCCGGGCTTCAACATGCGCCTCGCTGGCCTCAGTGTGATCATGTGTCGACGTTGATGCGAACAGCGAAACAGCGAGGCGTTTGCCGTTCAAGACGACGGTAACTTGTGCGCCATCCTGTTCGTCGTTCCCCGCGATCATCTCAATGACCTCCAGGAACTCGTCCGGCTGCTCTGACTGCTGAGATGATGGAGAGTCCATTGTGAGGGCGGTGGCGACGGCGGTGACGGTGGAGGCTGACGATGTGTTGTTTTGCTACTGATGCTGCTGTTGCATTTATCATTCAAGCATGCAGACTATTTATCAAGAACAACAGAGCAGAAACTACAATAAGTTGTTCATCGTCCTTGGAGGCGCTCTCTGTGTACTTGTCTTGTCTGACAGCGGGGATGACTGTATGTGCTTGGAGACTCGCCGCCGTTGTTGTCACGTGACCGTTGCCTTACGCTCCTGTTCACTTCTCAAGAAGAATCACTTTGACGAAGTTCAAGAATTTAAAGGTGTGTTTGGGCCTACATGAGTGCATTTATTACAAGCCGCAAGTTATCCTGGAATCCTAAAGGAATGCGCTGAACTGAGCAGAAGAACTTTGGGGGCGTTGCGGCCACTCAGACGACAGCATGATTTGGGGGCTACGTACGTCAGCACATGTGCTCCTATGGTGAAACTAATGAATCCTTCGACTGCCCCTGATCTATTTCTGATTATAATCTGACCTCTCTATCGTCCTCACAGCCTCCTAAAAAGTATCGTCAAAATGCCACACGTTACATTTGAAAATAGCTCTATACTTGACGAAGACGTTTCGTATTTGCGACTAAATTTATCGCTCGAAGTTCTCAATTGTCATTGATGGCCTTCCAGTCCTGAGCCCACGCTGGCCCACCTGGGTATCCTGCCGATTCCTGGTTCCTTGAACCCCTCAAGAGAAGTCAACCGACCTGATGAATGGAATTTTCTCGATTTGGCCAGTCTTACTCATCTTTTCACACCTACTCTCAGCTCCCTGGCCTCTGTTTCGCCTCGGCCGCTGAGAAGCGCATATTCAGGTCCATATACTGGCCTTTGATTTCACAATATTAGTAATAATCGGCCACCCTTGTGCATTTTGAAGGCCATGTATCGGCCGCCTGAATTTGAGATCACGCTTTCAAGACGTTTCCTGTTTGCATTGCGGCTGATTTTGGGTTCGTGATACCACAAGAATAAGGTCTTTGTCCAAACCAGGCCGGGACTATGTTCGTTTGGAGAGCTCTGAAGCCGTTCTGAGCAGTTGACATGGCGCTGACCACCCTCACTTGCTCGAAACATGGCACGCCCAAACCTGGAGCCCTTGGGCTTTTGTAGATCATGTTGAAGATGACGATCCGTAGATAATGTGTATGACCGGGAAACTTGGGTATATAATTCAAGAGTTGCAATTAACAAAGCTGAGTTGTTGAACTAACCCACTCATCATCATCATTCATCCATCTTTCCCGTTATATTCTCTCGGCACTGTTGATCAGCAGCCTCAAGTTTCTTAGTATCTCAAGCTTTGAAGTATACATATCCTTCCATCTCAAAATGTGTCACAGCACCAAAGAAATCTTCCGTTGCGGGAGGCACACCGGCAGGTCCATCGCTTACTGCCGTCGGTCAAGAATCGTCAACGGGAGGAGAGTCATGTGCAGCCAGCGGAGTCACACGGTCTCGAACCAGCGCGACGCCGTCTGCAACAACCGGAACTGTCGCCACCGTCAGCTGGGTGGTGTCTGGACATGCTGCATGTGTGACCACGGTCCGAATCGTTACGGCCAGTGCTCTGCTAGCGGTTGCTACCACCGACCATGTGATGAGTGCACGGCCTACCGCCGGCGCTGAGAAGATACACTCAAGCTTGTTCAGGTAGGAACTCGATTGATATATCTGCCTTCACAGCCAAGCATGGCTAGTCAAGTACTTTTTGCTGATATATATCAACTCAACCAGTTGTCTCCATTGAATCCTGGGAATATGTGCGGCCGGGTTTTCATGACAGCACGGTACGGATCTCGCAGGTCGAGACGTAGCCTGATGATGTTTAGTTGGATGCGGCGAATGTACGGGCAAAAGTTGTTTGAGTTGCAGATCCATGGGTCCTCAACGCCTTCCAATCTCTTGAAGCATCTGCTTGATTGCTATCAGTCTTTCGTTTATTAGAAAGAGAATTACATATATTCTGCTCCAATATTTTTTAGTGGTTGATATAAGATGAACCCAATCTCAAACTAATATACTTTGAGCGTAGTGAGCCTAGGACACAGAAAAGGTCTGAGTTTGAGCCGTACTAGGGACTTGACTCTCTGCGGTCTCGTTCGATTTAGACCACAGCAATCTGAATCACATCGAGACTCTAAACCTCTTGTTGACATGAAGTAAGAATTTGATACTTATTATCTAAGATGGGTATTATGGCACTATCCTGTCTTAGGTAATTCCAAGCCATTAACACATAAGACGAGATGTAATTGCAATACATTGATTTATTTCATGAATTAATCCGGATTCAAAAGATTTAGTTAATAGAGGTATATTTAGGGAATTTTTGAAAATACCAGATATAAAAATACAATAACACCTCCTGTCTCGTTAATAGAGCCCATGTAAAATAGATTGCTCTGACAGCAGATCTACGCTTAGAGTGAAACAATCTTCCCGCAAGTAAGGAATATAGTATTTTAATTGCTCTATTAGGAATTACGCTCAGATTGAGTCCGGCAATAATTAGGCCTTCTACAGAGGTCTATGCAGGTTAGTGAACCTAGGGCTTGTCTAGTATCAAGTCAATGAAAAGAAAGCGGCACTCGGTTCATCAGAAAGCTTAGTTCCATTATGTTGTCGAAAATTTGTGACTGAACAAGTAGGTGACGAATTGCTTTTCAAACTGAGTAGGATTCGCTCGACGATGACTCCTTTCTCCAAAAGTCAGACACAAAAATGGATTTTTTGTGAAATGCAGACAGGTAGATGGGCTCCACTTCTACTTCATGCCAAAAGAGCGTAGGCGTGAAGGACCTCGGGTCCATGAAATCGGAGCAGCCGACCTCAGGAAACGAGAAGTTGGATATCGGTAAGAGGGACCTAGACATGGACAGAAACGATAGACGGATCTGCACGGTGTTGAACGCGACATCAGAACAAGCAGTGCCAATGCCAGGACTGCAAGCCAGAATAAAAGCAAGTCTTGGGTGAAGCAGCTTAGGGATCAAATCGACGTCGATCGGCTTTGTTGATGGTGTGTAGTAAAGCTCTTCAAGGATCAAGCCCGCGGGAAGGCATGTGTCGCAGGAGTGCAGCTCAGGAGACGTTATAGATAACACGACTTCCTCTCGATTCCAGCATCTAAAAATGCCTTCGGCGCTACGTGTTCCTATCCCTTTCCCTGAATTGCACCCAAGGCCCATGCTTCTCTGCGCCAAAGCAATCAATAATCGTGTAATTCCCCATCTCATCAACCCCCTGCTCCTCCCGCCCAGGCATCAGTCTCATATCATACCTCCAGAGCAACGAGCACAGCGCAAGCGTGACCTCGAGATACGCCAACTTCATCCCAAGGCACTGTCTTGCACCGATGCTGAAAGGACAAAATGCCGACTGCGCCTTCTTCACCGCATCCAAGCCAACACTGTCCGCCAGCCACCGCTCGGGCTTGTACGCCAGCGGATCGGGGTAGTATTCCCCGTTCCGATGGATAGCATACGGCGAGACAGCAAGCTCGACGCCCGCAGGGAAGGCCTGCCCGTCTGTCTCCAGGCCGCCGGGCCGGACCTCGCGCAGGAGCGGCGCGGGCGCGGGCGGCGCGAGGCGCATGGCCTCGTCGATGCAGGCGCGGAGGTACCTGCACTCCTCGAGCCCCGGGCCGGGGACGATCTCGTCCGCGCTGGCGAACCGGGACCGGACCTCCGCCCTCGCGCGGTCCAGACAGCGGGCGTTGTGCGCGAGGAAGAAGGTGGTGGCCGCGAGGGCGGTGCCGGTGCTGTCGCCGCCTGCGTTGACCAGCAGGCTCGACTCGGACGCCAGCGTGCGGGCGTCGACGGCCCCGCCGGTCCTGGCGTCCGGGGCGTCGAGGATGAAGCGGAAGAAGTCGTGCAGCGCCTTGTCGTCTTGCCGGTCGACACGGCGTTGCAGCATGGCGCTGGAGAAGGCGCGGATGCGGGCACGCCACTGGTCGAGCTGCGGGTAGAGCCAGCGGTCGATGCCCGAGGTGAGCAGCCAGGGTGCGAAGCAGCAGGCATAGCGGAGACGGGTGGATAGGGGGACTGCCTGGAGGATCCAGCGGTGCTCGTCCGAGGTGGAGAGACCGAATGGGTTGCTGAAAGACAGCGTGCCCATGACATCGTTGGTCAAATAGACAGCCCAGTCAGCCATGTCACGAGGTGCGCTCCAGCCATCTTTGGAATCGGTAGCCTCTACCAGGTTTGGTATCCAGGTATGGAGGACGTTGAGGATCTTGGGCTCGAGGTGCTTCCAAGAGGTGGAGGTGAAGCCCCTGTTCAGGACCGCTCGTTTTCGCTTGTGGTCGTCACGGTCGATGACTGTGTTGGTGGCGGGATGCTGAGGGTCTGCAGAGAAGTAGTAGTACCATTGTGCCTTGATGGTATTGCAGCCAAAGCCATAGATCTGATCAAGCGCCTCTGCCGAGTTTGTGGACAGCCGATTAGGGCCAAATCGCACGAAGATTCCTGCTTGCTTTGTCAGCGTAGGAATTTGTTGCTTGGTTCAAGATTTCGCAGCATACCATGTTTCTCATGCAAGGCTGCCAAAGTGTGGGCAAGATCGCCTCTCACGGCATGATATGCCACCCAAAGATCAGTGTATCGTGCTAAGAATGGCCCTGAATATTTTGCGAGTGGATGTCGCCGGGCTTGGACCACGAAGCGAACCACCAGGAGTATTGTGGCCGCAAACCCAGCAACGAGTGTAGTCAGCATGTATGTCATTGTATTGGGTGCAACGACCATTGATTAATGGCAAGACTCCACAGCATGATGAAGCTGAGCCGAACGAACTTGCCAGTTGCACTCCATGAGGAGGACGACCGAGGGATCTGAGGTCTCAACCGCTCAGTGGCATTGGCGGAAGCTGGGCGCCGGACAAGTCAGTGTCCCGAGTGCCGACCCATCCAGGGTCGTGCCAAAAGTCACTTACACGTCCACTCCGCGGTGATGCTCATCATATCTCAGCACAATGCTGATCAGCCAATGACCTGACGACGGCTCTACCCTCCATGACCATGGTGAGAAAGAGCCGTGCAGGAGGCCTAGGAAGGAAGAGGAAGGCAGGTGAACGCAGCACAAGTAATGTCCACGGCACAGAGAAGAGTCGGGTTAGTGGCAGCGCCGATCGCGTGTGCGCGCTAGGCAGTTGAGTTGTCAGGTCAGGCCTGTCAACAGGCGTTCGCCCAAGAAGTTGGCAACGCGTCTTCTGTTTTTAATTACCTAGACGGACCAGACGGGGCAGCCAGAGTCTTTGCGCAGCGCTTGCTAGGCATCACTGTTGATTTGGACATTCTGCTGCTGTCTATGCTGTGTGCTCTACAAGACGTATCTGAACGTGGTATTTTCCCGATCCGTCATATCCTCCCAACTCTCGCGTACCTCAGCCTCGTTCCTCTCGTTGTCCACGCCGCTCACGCCGTATTTTCTGTCGCGCCGTGCATTCTCCCACCTATAATAGATCATGAGGACGATAGAGACAAAGGCACCGGAGCAGACGGTGGCAATGATGGTGATCTTAGCCGGGATGTACTGTGGCGCATCGCGAGCTTGAAAGGTTTGAGGTCCGATGACATTGCCAAGATTGAAAGCACAGGCGGCGAGAGCGGTGACGATGGGTCGCTTGGTGTTACCAGCAATATTTGCGGCCACCCAGCTGTACATGATAGGTGTCACAGCGACGTTGAACTGGATCAGTAGGACGCCTGCAAGGACACCGGACCTGGTGCGAACGAAAGACATGAGAGCTCCAGCTAGAGCAGACGGGATGGCTGCGATGCAGATGAAGAGCCAGCGCTGGTTGATGAAGCGGGCTCCGATGCCTGCGAGAAGGACGGCGGCGATGGTGATGCAGCCTGAGGGGACGTTCAGGATGGTAGACTGCTTTGAGCTGTAGCCGATGTTCCTGAGCAGCGTCGCGGAAAAGCTGGTGCCGACACCAGCGTTGACAACAAGCTACATTACTGTATAAGCAGTGTCCAGGACGGGCCAAATGGGAGTTCGAGCTCACCGCAACCTCCATGACGAAGAGTAAGTACACTTGTGGGTCAATGAAGACCTCAAGCACTTGCGATGCTTCGAACTGGTGATTGACCACACCGGTCTTGTTGCCTGCCACATGCTCCAGAAGAGCGACCTTCTCCGACTTCGAGATCCACTTGGCAGTCATTGGGTTCTCTGGCAAGAAGATGTAGGTCATGACGCCGACAATGACAGTGCAGAGTCCCAAGACGATAAACATGATCCGCCAATTTGCTATGGAAACTGTATCGTTGCTAACGAACTGGAAGCCGAAGGAAGTGAGTGCACCAATGATCTGACCAACTCCTACGCCGCAGTACCAGATGCTGAACCGCAGGGGCTGCTCTTGCCTTGAGTACCATTGACTGCTGATGAGAATCAAGCATGGCCCAACGGCTGCTTCAAAGATACCGAGGAAGGTTCTCGCGACCAAGAGAGTGTGATAATCGTGTACTCCTGCTACGGCAGCAGTCGCGATGCCCCACAGGAATACATTGGCCGACAGCCACTTGGTGGCAGAGATTTTGCTGAGTACGAGTCCTGCGACATGCGTCAGTGGGCTGTAGCAGGAACTTGCACGGATCCTTATCTTTACCAGTGGGAATCTCAGCCACGAGCAGGCCAACGTAGGTGAAGGTGTTGGCATTGGCAAAGTCATTGCCTTTGAGCCCGAGGTCCTGGTTCAAACTCATGACAGCCGCATAGTTGAGCAGCACCTTGTCAAGAAACTGCGCGACAAAACACATGAACATGATTGGGACGAGGTGCAAGTCGACTCGCCGTCGCAACGCTTTGAGGTCAACATTGGAGGCCTCGGGTTCGGCCTCTCGATATTGTGCAATGAAAGCGAAGGCCTTGTCCATTCCTGGATTCGAGGCATCAATGGTCTTCTCCATAGGCGGCGGGGAGGCCAGAGGCTTCTCCATCTAGATGTCGGTCTTGATTCACAAGCACGGCGCGCAAGACGAGGTCGAGAGCACGGGTGATGCCTGAAGTAAATACAATTATGTCTGCCTTATCTGCAACTGCCGCAAACCCTTGTCATGCCGCCAAACGTGTTGAGCCGGCACAGTGGCAATGTACCCAAAGGTTCCCTCCATTGGGCTTTGAGATGGGCAACTTCTCCAAAGTCTAGGTTTGTGGTAGAAGTCGATGATGTCACGAGTGACAATTTTGGACTTTGCAGGACGATGGCAAGATGTCCGGCAAGGGGTCAATCTCGTTCATGTCAGATCGACAGGGTGCGCAGCCAACGCCGAGGGGCGCAAGTAAGCCGTGTTCTTCAACAAACATTTAGTGCGGCACGGTGACGATCGCCGAGACGAATATGCTGCGCTGATATAGGGCACTACCCTCCATTATGCGGCGCCCCTCGCTTCCTACTCTAGCCATGTGGTCTTCGAGCTTCTGCTGCTTCCTCAGACCTACGGACCTCCGAGATCCGTAGAGTGCACATCAACGATCAGATCCTCGGCTGAGACCGCAGCGTGTATGATGCCGGTCGACAGGAAAAGGACGATGCTCGAGCTCCTTTCGCCAGCGCAATCGAGCGGGAACTGAGCCCTGGAAGTCGGAGCAAAGTGCGAAGCAATTGGAGAAGCTATCAATGTGTGTAGCTCCGATGTCGCCGTATCCAAGCCCATCGTAGTCGCATTTGACGGTGTATACTCGATCGAGAGTGCTACTGACAGGCTGTGACAGAGAATCTTAATAGTCGGTGAGAGTAACAGCGGCGATAATGATACCGCTCGCCTAACAGCAGCCATATAGGAGGTGTTCCTATGGAAAGTTGTCCCAAGAGAGGACTCCCCTTGGAGGGTTGAGAAGAAGATAGGCCTACGAAATATTAGGGGATTGTCCATATGAGATTGGGTAGTAATCTCTGTCTGGAGGGGCTGCTATATAGATGCCCTAGCAGCTTAGAGACGACTACTGCCTTGTGGTTGGCACCCTCGAGATCTGACCGCTTGAACGACATCAAGAGCGACAGGAAGCAAAAGCGTAGGAAAATTGAACACTCATCAGAGTTGAACATGCATTTCCCAACTGGGCAGCTTTCCTATCTCTTAGTGTACAAGACCTTGTCTCAATTATGGGGCAATTCCGGTTCACAGCCCCAGGAGTAGTACATCAAACGCGGCACCCCCTCCGACCACAATTCCAGCGTCCAGTCTACGATTTGCCACGTTACTGGGCACCAGAGTCATCTGAATAAGGACAAATGCCGCCTTTCCGCTGCCGAATATGCTTGCCCTTCTGCTGGTCGCTCTCTGGGGTTTCTCGACTTTAAACTTGTCGAAGGGTGTGGATGAATGTTTGACCGGTTCAAACAATAGTAATAGTTTGGATCAGATCGGCTGCCGAGGATTCCTTTGTGTCGCCTCGCAAGGCCAATTGCGAGACCAGGTGTTTTAGAACATGATTGCCCTTGTCATCTATCATGAAAGTTCCCATCCTGCAATATAGCACGGGATCGTCAGGAGAATGAGGCAGCATTCGCAATACCAGCCCGGAAAACAGTTCTCCAGACGAGTATCTACAGCTGTGAACTGTTAAGAACAGCAAATCTGAGCTGCGCTGCTCCTGGAGGTTGGACCATTTCTCAGAATTCAGATCATCTTCTTGAGAGAATTCTTCATCCCAGTAGATGGTGACCTCTGTAGATCTCGATGCCGGGATGTGTTGAGTTCCAAGTACATGGAGAGATAGGTGTGTAATGTAATACGCCTTCCCAGCAACGTAACCCCGTAACTTCCTCGAAATGCGGCTCTTCAGGGCCAGGCCGCGCAGCGTTAGCTTTTCCGTCAAGTTGCTCGGAACGTCTGCAACTTCAATCAAGGATACGTATTGGTGATCTGTATCGTAGTATGCTGGATCGAATTCAATCATTTCATTGCAATTTGCCCACGACCACGTTGGAGCAATTGAGTTGGTCGTCCGGGGAACATCAGTCGGATAAGTAGGCCTCCAGCAGAGCTGCCGGTAAAGATCTTTCCTCCATAGTCCAAAAAGGTATGTGTCGTCCACCATGCTCTGCACCTGATTCGCCAAGCCGGATAGGGCGACTAGTTTGTCGGTTACTCGACTAAGATGACAGCGTGAATATAATTCCACGAGCTCGGCCCAGCCCTGTCGTGCCTGCTTCTCGTCGTTGATATCTAGGCACGGTTTCCGAGGGCTTTGAGTCGCTCCAAAACGCCACGGCCGCTCCGAAATGTCGTTATTATCGGCGGGATACCCATAGGGGAATTCCTCAGATGCCAATAGATCATGGCATTCCCAGTAGAATTGAGATTTAGTGGCACTCAGCTGTCTCCGTGCTAGGTATCTCTCTTGTACGACCCAGCCTCGCTCGTTGAGGGGTGCCTGAGTAATGTCTTCGTTGTATGCATAGTCATTGGACCGCGATACCTGGTACGTAGAAGAACCCTCGATGATGGGGTCCAGCTTTATGAAGGTAGGGCATACTGTAGTCGGATCTCTGGTGCTGAACAATCCATCCTGACCATCTGCGGCGCAGGTGGCGGCAATGTTACAGATGGCGTAACTATAAGTCCGTCCCATCAGTGAGGACTCCTTCTCCCAGTCTTCTTCGTCGTCTTGGCAGATGCACAAAGAGTCAATCCAGATATACTTGTAGCCCAGTGAGTTGACGATAGCTAGTGCGTCCCGGTAGGTCTTGGGCAATTTTTGGACGGATGATGAGTTCGATAGAGAGGAAATGTTATCCTTCGTCAGGCGCAGGGGCTGGTAAGAACCCCAGCAGTGGCTCAATGTGAAATAAGGAACCGTACCAGTCCTGGACGAATTGGCAAGCCTCCAACCAGATACCTTGCCATTGGTATTCGTGAGAACTTCAATTAGCCTCTTGGGTGAGTAAGTCTCGAGACGCTGCTCAAAAGCACGACAGGTAGCGTGGGTTTCCAGGCATGTATTGAGCCAGTGACGCCACAAATTTGTTGAGTCACGCGTCCAATTACTCCGAGTCTCCAGGATTGTGTCAGAATGGGGATTGGCCCTTGAACTGTCGAATGGAGTCGGCGAGAGGAGGAACGGAATATGTGCCCAACCAGCAAATGGACCTTCGTCAAAAAATGAGAACAGGGCTGGCAGTGTGTTGAGCCATCGTTCAAAACCGAACGGTAGAAATCTGATTTCTAGTGATGAGTCAACACAAATCCAGAACTTGTATCTCCTTGTACAATACTGCTGTGCTGCGCTCAGGAATATCTTCGATAAAACAAATTCAGTATGTACCGTCCAAGGAATGAGTACATGTTGTATAGTCCAATTCAAAACCCGTGCCAGAAGGTTGCGGGCAATCATGAGTGGCCTAAAGCCCGCAACGCCATGTTTGTGTCTGCGCCGAAGCTCATATTCGGCACGGAGTGTATCCTCGAGATGTCGACAAACGTAGCATCCTGCCGCAATCGAACGCCTGAAGTCACGAAGCGATAGATGCAAGAACGCGGAGTTGAGCCGGGCCCGAACATTCGGATCTGAGATGCCTTGGGTCCGCCGAAAGTTCTTTACCGCAGCCTGAATTGCTGTCGTGCAATTTTGGCACAACATTTGAGCTTGGGATCGAACGGGATGACCGAGCGTTGACTGTGTATACTGGTCGAGAATGAGTCTGAGAGGCAGCAAGCTGTGCTGTTGTTGACTCAACCGCTGTGAAGGGTTTAATCACAAGGCATGACAAGTCAGCGCTCTTTGAGACGAAATGGAGGCGGGGTCAAAGTGAGTCATCTTTGAATGTGCTTATTGGGCTGACTTGATCGAAACGCATAGCGCCTTCTCGTGTCGTACAGAGAAGTGCCAAAGGGCAAGGCCAGGCCAGAATGGAGGCGACTTGGATCAAGCAGCTGCAGGAGAACATTTTCATCGTCCCACTGCCGTATCTCTTGCACCTTTGATGTGCATACGGTTGATAAGATGTGCGACCCTCTGGCGAAACGATCATCAGTCGCCCGCACCCCGGATCCACATAACTTCGGGAACCATAAAATTCACATTGTCCCTAAATCTTACATAAGCCCATAGGAACGCTGTGATGTTCAAATGGAAGCAGGTACTTATAGACTGGAATCGATTCTCGTCTTGAGCGGAGAGGGAAATCGGATGATATGAGCTTCGTTGTGGAGGCTGAGAGGATGTGTCTGTGTGGACTATCCAAGGGGACAAGCAGCCTGATGTCACGAGAATGGTGACTTACCTGTTCTCTTTGTCCCGTGACTCGGGAGGACAGGATACTCCAAGAGGACACGAGCAGTGCAGCTAATGGTTGTGACAGAAAAGTCGTGCCACTGAGAGAGACACATGACTGCTTCCTTGGTCTCTTCCTCGTCCGTCCCGCCCACGTTTACTGGCCCTTACGGGAATCCAGGCTATTACATATCACGATTGGCACCTTCAGACAAGATAACAGTGGGAGAAAATAAGGCTTAGCGTGGACAATGATGGGTTCCGTGGGCGTAAAGAATCAGGGGAGGGGGCTTGAAGTCGGGAGTTAAGGCTCCTCTTGGTGAGATATAGAATCCGGCACTCCCCGGAAGCAGCACATCTACCGATCTAATCCTTTCGGAATAGCGCACACGCCAGACACTTCGGACGCAATCACGACACATCTGCTTACAGTTTTCAAGGAATATAAAGAGTTCCGGGTTTCACCTTGAGTGGTACTCGGCGATATCAATCTCAATGAGATGTCGGCTGATATGGCTCCTACACTTGCACTAGTCACGCTGGCAATCTGAGGGCAAGGTCCCCTCCGAAGGGGGTTGCATCTCCGCGTTCTTATTAGAGTTGTACCATATGAAATGAAGAACACAAAAAAAAATTAAAAAAAAATTAAAAAAAAAAAACAACCAAGGTCGGGCCGACTCGGTCCTCTTCTCCACGGATGGACAAGAGGTTCCCCAGAGTTGGGGTACCAATGGCGGGGACGCGGGGTTGAAGACAGATTGAGAAGCTGTCTGTGGCAAGCAAAATGCCACCCCCCCCCCTTGTCGTTTAAGCCGTGCCGCAGAAACAAAAATTTAAATAAGCCGAATTTTCCTTCTAGTCCAAGACTCTGTGGTAAGGGTAGATGACGGCGCATCTCTAACAGTTGCTATTCCCAGCCTCCGGAAACAATCCTGTGCCGTTTCAGGTTGCGAGACAATCTTCAACACAAGCCCAAACCTTCGATACTCAGAAACAACCTCCTGCAACGTGGCTAACACATCCAACAAATAGACTTCGTTACGTCTTATTTCTTCTGTAAGACTTTGGTCCTGGTCTAATTTTGCTACCCAATATGGTGGACTTTGATCGTGTTCAGACTGATTGTGAGTGAACATGCGATAGCCCCTCGGTGACTGCCTAGAGCCGTCGTCATGTAAGGCCCATGCGCTCACTACGCTAATAGGACCTTTGATGTCGAGCCATCCATCTATGACTGTTGCAAATGTTTCGGGTGGATCATACTGGCAATAATGCCCCACGATTTCGCTCATTGGTGACACGTCTTCGTCTTTGAAAGGTGGACCAATGACTGCACCTTCCAAGGCAGCCCAACTCCACGTTGGTGCGCGGTAAGTAAGCGGTTTGCTCATGTTAGTACACAAGCTGGACCTGGCCCAGACAAGACTGTGCGGGAGTGTTTCCAGCCACAAGCCAGCAAGATAAACATATCCTGTTTGCGATTGGAAGCTCTCGGCGAGGCCTGCCAAGGCTGGCAGCCTGTCTTTCTCCTTAGTGATCCGACGCGAAGTGAAATCATGCATTATGATTTCCCAATGATTAATATTGGAGACGGCCCTCTGGAAAGGTGATTTGCGAATGGATCGCTTCTCAAGTTCATTTCCAAGGCCTTCGAAACAGTCCCAAATGGTCATGGCATGAATGTGTAAAACTCGTGGGGATAAGAGCCACTCTTGAAGGGTCCACGCCCGACTAAGCCAATGTCCCGAAGGCCCGCGTCGCCCAATAGTTTGAACTGTGGTCCACCACCTGTCGAGAAAGCGGGAGCCCTTAAAGGACTCATCTTGCCAGAGATACATATCGAATTTGTCGCCTGTCTCAGGGTCGTTGACAGGAATTCTCGAGCATCCATAAGGTCCGTCTGACCACTGTTCTGTATCCAAAAGACGTTTCTGTAGGAAGCTTTCGGAGGCGTCACCACAGACGTGGATAGCAAGAGTTAGCGCCGATCTGCTGTAAATTCCTGCCATATTAGATGCCTCTCGCAGCCAATCCTGGTCGTCGTCCTGAATGATACACAAGGAGTCCACCCAAAGATATTCGAACCCCAGTTTGTAACAAAGCTTGATGGCATCGCTGATGGTAGAAGGAAGCTTCTGCCATGGTATCGCGTGGCGATATTCGTTTAGCTTTTCCTTTGTGGTCATTGACACCTGGCAATTTGAACCCCAGCAATATGACAAGCATGCATAAATCCCTTCAACATCATTCGTATTGACGAGTCTCACTCTTATCAATTTGCCATTACCCCCCTCGATTTCCAGAAGACGGGTTGGCAATTTCTTCACAGCCTCAGAATGCTGGACACATGTCTTATGGTCGGCTTCACAAGCGCTCATCCAGGAGCGCACTAAGCTGACATGGGCTCTAGAGAGAAGATCTGTTGTTGGCCGGTGTGCATAATGCTCATCGATCGTGTCGACTGAACGTTATTTAGTCGCATTGACAGAATGGTGGGACAAGATTGGTTACTAACCAGGCGAACAAGTGAGATACATACTTGTGGGCAATCGAGGCGCCACAGCAGCTGCGTCGAACACATGAATATACACTTTCAATCCACCCCACTTGGCGTAGCCGCGTGGACCTGCGCTGTTGCCTGGCTTTGTGATGCACAAAGCAACTCGCCCGGAACCACATCTCTCAATCTGTAATTCATTGCTACCAATACCGACTTCTGCGGAACTCACAAGGCTTGCTGCCTCTTGATTGTCCTGGGCAAGGTCGAAACTGGCAAGTCTGTCCCTGTCGTCCCGTGCCTGCTCGCCCTGGTTTCCTGGACTTCCCTTCGACTCATTCTGGATGCAGGCAAAAATTAGACGGCATGTTTGGCATCCATACCTTTCGTACGAACTTCGTATAAATTCCGGATCTGGAAGATGTAGGTATATGTACCAGATGGGATCTAGGTCGGAGTGGAGTGCCTCCACTGTCTTTGAACGAGGATGATCCTCCTTGCCAATACCTTCGCATATGCTACAGACAGTGGGGCAGCTTTGGTTGATTGTCTCAGGCTTCGAGGCACGTGATGTCGCAATCGTATGTATGTCCATCTTGTGTGTTCTAGGTTATGCTGATCTTGTTGTTCAATTTATCACAGGAAACGTCCCCAAACGTTGGGAGAGTATGAGAAACGACTTGCGGGGTTGATGAGACAGTCAACGTCAGCGTTTTTGGCTACAAGCTGGAGTCACATGATTGCAAAATATCAGCTCACGCTTGGTGTCGTACAATTCCTGGGATGCGACTTTGCACAGACGGGATCTGAAGTAGGTACTAATGTAAGCCTGCAGGTACGACCAATCTTTAGCAGCGGAGAAAACCTCTTCATAAAAATTTTAAATAATCGGAATGCAATCAGTAGGAATTGATTCTATACTTTTAGAGCTTTCTAAATATGTATATAAAGTAAGGTTGATGATAATACGCGATGTAGTTCTTGATGAAGTAGTGAGGATATTTGTGAGCTGCCGATGTTGCTAGCAAATTTGCATTGTTTCTGCGGCACGGCTCAAATGCAGTGGGGGGGGGGGGGGGGGGCGCCCCGCCCGCCCCAAAAAGAGGCACACCCGGTTTTAACACCGGGATGAACCCCTGGGTTTTTAAAACCAAATCAGCTAACCAAAAAAGAAAATAATGCCACACCC